AAGGACAGGAAGGGGTATCTTTGAGTTGTTCGTTGGGAGAGAAGAGCAGTCGGGACCTGGAGATGGCTTAGTTTCTACGGCGCGATGGTGTTTGGGCAGATCGTGAATGTCGTCCAAGTCGTCGCTGGGGCTTTTTTGCTGTACGCACTAGCGGCGCCAAGGCAAACACCCCCGGCCTATCAGCGCTCCGTGCGGTCCTCTTTGCAAACACCACAGCGTGACGGTGAGCGGCTTTCAGCACTGCATTCTGCCTTCACCTCTACAGTGTCCTGCCGTCTCCACCATGCTGCCATATTGCTCTTCATTGCCATTTGGATTTCGTCATCACCTGAGTCAGCTGTCGGAGGCACGTCCCTGCCTCCCCAGGACGTCTCATTCGCGGGTGGGACGCTCAGATGTCAATGGCCTGGACACCCGAATGCCTTCCTGCGCCAGTCCATCCACGATATTCCCTGAGAAGAGGGTGCATGGCTGTCCACAGCTGTCGCCGGATTGCCACTTCTCAACCTGACAATGGGGGAAGGCGCTCTCAGCGGCTCTGGCAGGTGCAATGAACCCTTCGCTGGGGTTGGCAGTTCCCAATAATCGCCTCCTTGGAGAGGAGTCTTGCCGGCAGGCGTTGCAATTCCCGCTTGCAGTCATCCTCGTCTTCGACTAGGACTTCACCAGGAGCGCCCGCCAAAAATAATGTCGACCTGGCTTGTTCTGGTGTCTTGTTCTGCTGCCTTGTTCCGGTGTTTTGCCGCCACCCCTGGTCGGCGGGACGACTTTTCGCAAAAAATTCGATGCGGGGACCTGCACAGAACACAACCCTCCTTTCCCTCACCTCATTTTCCTTCCTTCCTTCCTTCCTTCCCCATAGCGGCTGCCACTCGTATAAGTTTCTTCTAGGCCTTATACGACTAAACAGCTTCGCCATGGATGAACAGGAATTCGTGCAGCTCCTCGAGAGCCTGCTACTCCGTGGGCTACCCAAAATCTTTCTCGCGTCCTTCAGCCTAACACTTCGCAGCGGACACTGACCGCGTCAAGTCGGCCACATCAACCCTCAACAAGACTTATTATACTTCCCCCGCTTCGCTTAATGCCCTCCTCCAAATTCTTTGCAGCCACCCGAAACCAGAGCTCCGGCAGCTGGCTGCTGTCGAGGCCAGGAAGTTGGTCGACAAGCACTGGGAGCACCTGCCGGCCGACCAGAAGGCGGCCCTCCGCAACCAGCTCTTTCAATCCATCCTGAACGAGGACTTCACCCTTACCCGCCATTCTGGTGCCCGTGTCGTCTCTCAAATCGCCGCTAAAGACTTCGAAGATGGCGAGTGGGCTGACTTGCCGGGATATCTACAGCAGGCCGCTACAAGCGCCACTGCCCGACACAGGGAAGTTGGCTTATACATCATCTTCACAATCCTGGAATTGGTTGGCGATTCGTTTCCTGGCCAGATTGCCGACCTATACAAGCTCTTCAGCACCACAATCCAGGATCCGGAGAGTGCTGAAGTGCGAGTGAATACAATGCTTGCCCTTAGTCGGCTCGCTATGCTCTTGGAGCCTGATGAAGACCCCAAGGCATTGAAGTTGTTTCAGGACGCCATCCCCGGCATGGTCAAGGTATTGCAATCTACTGTCCAGGAGAGGGACGAAGACCACGCACTCCAAGCATTCGAAGTCTTCCAGACCCTCCTTGGCTGTGAATCTGCGCTGCTTCAGAAGCACTTCGGCGACCTCGTCAAATTTATGATGGAGCTTGCCTCGTCTACAGACATCGAGGATGACTACCGATCCCAGGCTCTCGCTTTCTTAATGCAGTGTGTTCGATATAGGAAGCTGAAGGTGCAGGGTCTTAGGATTGGCGAGGATCTCACCCTTAAGTCTCTGCAAATTGTAACTGAGCTTGGCGATCTGTCAAGTGACGACGAGGACGTCACTCCCGCCAGGTCGGCCTTGGGACTGCTCGACATTCTTGCCTCAAGTCTGCCACCAAGCCAAGTCGTGATTCCCCTCCTGAAGGCGCTCGGTCCCTATTTCAACAACCCGAACCCGGACTATCGCCAGGCCGGAATCCTCGCGCTGGGAATGTGTGTCGAGGGCGCTCCTGATTTCATCGCTACCCAGCTTCATGAAATCCTTCCCATGGTCTTGCATCTCCTAGAAGACCCAGAACTCAAGGTTCGTGCAGCCGCACTAAATGGTATCGCCCGGTTGGCAGATGACCTGGCCGAGGATGTTGGCAAGGAACACGGACGATTGATTCCGGCCATGATCAAGAATTTTGACCTCGCTGCGAACAACTTACAGGCACAGAATGATGAGCGGAACCTTCAGATTATCCGAGGTAGCTGTCACGCTATTGATTCCTTAATTGAAGGACTGGACCCGGAAGACGCCGCGAAATACGTCCCGGAGCTGATTCCGCGCTTCAGCAAGCTGTTCCACCATGAAGATTTCAAATGCAAAGGGGCAGCCATTGGTGCTGTCGGATCGATTGCTTCCGCCGCGGAAAAAGCCTTCCTGCCATTCTTCGAGCAAACGATGCAATCTCTGGCGCAATATGTGACAATCAAAGAGAGCCAAGACGACCTTGATCTTCGTGGTGTGGTGTGTGACTCCATGGGGAAAATCGCTTCGGCGGTTGGCGCTGAACCATTTGAGCCATACGTTCGCCCGCTCATGGAAGCATCAGAAGAAGCTCTCCACCTCGACCACCCACGTCTGCGCGAGACGAGCTATATCCTCTGGAGCACTATGGCTAAGGTTTACGAAGAAAAATTCTCTCCATATCTCGCGGGCGCCGTGAAGGGTCTTGTAGAATGCCTTGACCAGGATGAAACCGAGTTGGAGGTCCAGCTGGGCGAGGAGGCCAAAGATCTTGTTGGATCGGAGGTGGTTCTCCAAGGCCGGAAGATAAAAGTCGCTGCCGCCACCGATGACGATGACAGCGATCTGAACGAAGCTGCTATGGGCAATGATGACGACTGGGATGATATTGCCGGTGTCACCGCTGTTGCAATGGAGAAGGAGATTGCTGCTGAAGTCTTCGGAGATATCATCACACATACCCGTCGAGAATATCTGCCATACCTGGAGAACACCATCAAGAAGCTCCTGGAACTAGTGGAGCACTCGTATGAAGGTATTCGTAAAGGTGCTATTGGAACCCTTTGGCGAACCTATGCATGCCTTTGGGGCATGGCTGAAGGCGATGGCATGGCCAAGTGGAAGCCTGGACTTCCTCTTGCGGTTGAGCCCTCGGACGATTTGAAGAAGCTTGGAAATGTGGTCATGACTGCTACCATGTCTGTGTGGCAGGATGAAATGGATCGGTATGTGAAACGTCTTTCTTATCTTTGCTTGCTACAAGGATGAACCAACTTCGTTATCCCAGCTCACTCTGACGCCAAAGTGCGATATGAGGCGAAAGCGATCTACTTCTGAGTTCTTTGTCATTTGTCTCTTCACCACCTTCCTCGATAGACTCAGTCATTAATGGGGTCTTAGGGGTACCGTTACCGACATCAACCGCGATGTCGCTGCAACGCTCAAGCTCTGTGGACCAGCTGTCTTGATGACGCAAGATGGCACTGCTGTCCCCGACATGGCACAGCAACTGCTCTCTATCATCTCTAAACGACACCCATGTCAGCAAGACTTGGGCGACGAGGGTGACGAAGACATCCTCGAGGAATCGTCAGAGTATGATTGGTTAGTTATTGAGACTGCCATGGAGGTCATCACGTGCCTGTCGGTGGCACTCGGGCCTAGCTTCGGTGAACTCTGGAAGATCTTCGAAAAGCCCGTAATGAAGTATGCCAGCAGCCAGGAGCCAACTGAACGAAGCGCGGCTGTCGGAACTATCGCTGAGTGCGTTGGCAACATGGCCGATGCATGCACACCATATACGACTACCCTGCTGAAGCTCCTTCTTCACCGTTTGTCGGATGAAGATCCCGAGACGAAGTCGAATGCCGTGTACGGGGTCGGGCTGTTGTGCGAGAAGTCGGCGAATGAGACTGAGATTCTCAAGTCGTACCCTACCATCTTCTCGAAGCTGGAGCCTCTTATCGATGCCCAAGATCAGGCGCGTCTGCTGGATAATACTGCGGGCTGTGTCAGCCGTCTGATCTCTAAGCATCCAGACAAGATCCCAATTGCAGAAGTTCTGCCTCGTCTGCTGCAGCTCCTGCCGCTGAGGGAGGACTATGAGGAGAACAAGCCCATCTTCAGTATGGTCGTTAAGCTTTGTAAGTAAAGACGGCCGCTGCGCGAAAACTACGCACTAACGTCTATAGACCAAGCAAATGAGCCGACGATTCAGCAGCTTACACCCCAGTTGATGGCGATATTCGAGAAGGTGCTCGGCCCACCTGAGGAGCAACTGGAGGACGAGACGAGGACACAGCTGGTTGAACTTGTGAAATATTTGCACAAGTAGGCGGCTATGTGGGGCACCATGCGATGACTTCAGTTGGTATACCCGGTGAATGATATGAAGGCACGAAGGATATAATGAATGGACGGGAATGCATGGCGATACCAAGGTTTTTTGGCTTCTTTCTCTCCTGAGGGCGCCGGGAGTGGATCATCCTTTTACAGATAGACCACTCCTTTCTTTTTTTTTTCTTTTCTATTTTTTTTTTCATAGGACTAAAACCGTTTATTTTCATACCAAGTATTTTCAAGAATGCTCTTCACTTTGGCATGACATGCCATATTATGTGGATGATGAAGGTGGGGAAGTGCTTAGTCAGCGCATTAGCGGCTCGTGATGCTCGATCTGACTCGATCGGTTCCTGGGTCCCCAGGAAGCTTGGAGCGTGGCGCAACGACATCTTCATGACGACACAGCAAAACACCATCACTCCTTCTGCCTAGCCGTTGCACACACCCCTTTCCATCCTGTTTGCTTGCTTTATTAAATTTTGCAGGCTGCTGATATCTTCACACTAAAAACCCACCCCCCCCCCCCCTTTCTTCTCTTAAGAACAAGTCGTCACCAACTGCCCGCCACGTCGACAACCTCTTGTCATCGGATGAACTTTGCGCGCACTTCGGCAGCACCTCCTCTCTTTACAGTTGTGTCCTTCATCAATACCTGGTTTTAGCGTGGACTTCGAATCTACACGACAAGTGCGCTGTTACTGAGTGATCGGTCATCCCCGTCTGCGTTGGGCCAACATCGCCCGATCCTGCGAAGTGCCGCCTGGCGGCATCGAGAGGCCACGATGAAATGCTTAGGAAGAGGGTGGAGAGTCCTCACAGCTGGCCTGCTCTCTATCCTCGTTGGCTCGGCTCTCGCTGATCCCGATTTGACAACAAAGCACGAGAAGGGAAGGTGCGCGATACGGGGTCATTGCGGGAAGCAGGGCTTCTTCGGGTCGGACCTGCCATGTCCGGATAATGGGCTAGCAGAGAAACCAGATAAGGAAACGAAGAAGAAATTAGTCGATATATGCGGCAATAAGTGGTCCGATTCGGATGTGTGCTGCAACGAAGAGCAGATTGATGCTCTCCAGTCAAACCTCAACAAGGCAACGCCTATTATTAACGCTTGTCCGGCTTGCAAAGAGAATTTCTACAATCTATTCTGCACATTTACTTGCTCTCCCGATCAATCGCTATTCATCAACGTCACGGCAACGGTGCCAAAGGGAACCAAAGATCTCGTCACCGAGGTGGATCATCTCGTGTCCAACGAATATGGCTCTGAGTTCTACAGTAGCTGCAAGGATGTCAAGTTTGGAGCCACAAATGGGAATGCCATGGATTTCATAGGTGGTGGTGCGAAGAACTTCACGCAGTTTTTGAAGTTTCTTGGAGACAAGAAGCTGTTGGGAAGCCCATTCCAGATGAACTTTCCCCGACCAAATCGGACTGAATTCCCTGATATGGTTCCAATGAACAAGACTGTCTACCCCTGCAACACCACCGAGGAGAAGTATCGATGCGCGTGTTTAGACTGTGGAGGATCTTGCGCCAAGCCTTTGGACGTCCCCGAGGCCAAACAGTGCTATGTTGGACTATTACCATGTCTATCCTTCGCCGTAATCATCGTATATTCCGTCTTTCTTGGGCTGCTATGCGTTGCGGTAGCTGGACATGTAGCGTACCAGAGACACTCAAAGCACAAGAATGAACGACTACGGCTTCTACAGGATATAGAACCGAGTGACGATGAGGATGAAGGCGATATCGTTCACAACGTCGGTATGTTGGATCGGCCAACCAAACACTACTTTGTCAACACCTGGTGCGACCGATCTTTTAGCCGGCTAGGATATGTCTGTGCTAGATTCCCGATTATCACCATCATGACTAGCATTCTGATTGTCGTGTTGATGAGCCTGGGCTGGATACGATTCCAGGTCGAGCGGGACCCTGTTCGGTTGTGGGTGGCTCCTGACTCAGCCGCTGCGCAAGAAAAGACTTTCTTTGACGAGAAGTTTGGCCCATTCTTCCGCGCCGAACAAGTTTTTCTTGTCAATGACACGGGGAAGGAGCCCGGCCCAGTCCTTAGCTACGATACCCTGAGGTGGTGGTTCGATGTCGAAAGCGTTGTACAGCGCCTCAAGTCTCTCGATGGCGGAGTGACTTTGGATGATGTCTGCTTCAAACCCGTTGGAGATGCTTGCGTTGTTCAATCTGTGTCCGGATACTTCGAAGGAGACTTTAGCCGTGTCGATCCCCACGGCTGGAAAGATGATCTTGTAGATTGTGTCGATAACCCTTCTTCATGTCTGCCAACTTTCCAGCAACCGCTGGATCCGAGTCTTCTCTTTGGCGGTGTAAACAAGAGCGTCCTCGACGCTGAAGCCCTCATCATTACATGGGTCGTCAACAACCACCCGGAGGGCACACCGGAGTTTGGGCGCGCTATGGCCTGGGAAGAAAGCTTGAAGAATTACTTACTTGTCGTGCAAGACGAGGCCCAAGAACGCGGGCTGAGATTGAGTTTCAACACAGAAGAAAGCCTTGAGCAGGAGTTGAATAAGAGCACCAACACCGACGCAAAAATTGTCGTGGTGAGCTACGTGATCATGTTCCTTTACGCATCGCTCTCGCTCGGCTCTACCACCCTCACAACTCGGTCGATTCTTCGTAACCCGGCGAATGCGCTCGTACAGTCGAAATTCATGCTCGGCGTAGCCGGTATTCTGATCGTGCTCATGTCCGTCTCTGCTTCTGTTGGGCTCTTCTCGGCTGCCGGCGTCAAAGTCACTCTCATCATTGCCGAAGTCATTCCGTTCCTGGTGTTGGCTGTCGGCGTCGACAATATCTTCCTCATTGTCCATGAGTTCGAGCGAGTCAATATCAGTCACCCCGAAGGTTCCATTCCAGAGCGTGTCGCTCGAGCGCTTGGGCGCATGGGTCCATCAATCCTTCTCTCCGCCACCACTGAAACCGTAGCTTTTGCTCTGGGATGCGCCGTCGGTATGCCTGCGGTCCGGAACTTTGCTGCATATGCCGCCGGAGCTGTCTTCATCAACGCTATCCTCCAAGTCACGATGTTCGTTGCTGTTCTCGCTCTCAATCAATACCGTGTTGAGAACAACCGAGCAGACTGTTTCCCATGCGTTAGAGTTCGACGAGCGGATTCAAGCTACCTGAACGGCGGCATGGGCCACGGTGCTGGTGAAGAGGGTGGATTGCAGCGGTTCATCCGCAAGACGTACGCCCCAGCTATACTGGGTAAGAAAGCCAAGGTCGGCATTATTGCAGTCTTCTTTGGAATCTTCACTGCTGGCCTTGCACTGTTCCCGAAGGTTGAGCTTGGTCTGGATCAAAGGGTTGCAATACCCAGTGACTCGTATCTAATTCCGTACTTTAACGATCTTTACGATTACTTCGATGCTGGACCTCCAGTGTATTTCGTCACCAAGGAGCTGAACGTCACCCGAAGAGAAGCGCAGCAAGAACTATGTGGACGTTTCGCAACATGCCGTCAGGATTCTCTAGCGAACATTGTCGAGATGGAACGGAAGCGACCTGAGATATCATACATCGCAACTTCCGCAGCAAATTGGCTTGATGACTTCTTCTACTGGCTCAACCCAGAAAACACCAAATGCTGCGTAGATGAGCACGGTGCGCCATGTTTTGCAAACCGCGATCCACCGTGGAACTTCACACTCTCCGGCATGCCCGAAGGCCAAGAATTCTTCCAATATCTAACTCGATGGATTGAAGCGCCAACGACAGAAGACTGTCCTTTAGGCGGCGCCGCCGCATATTCTAACGCCATCGTCCTCGACGAAACACATCTCACAATCCCAGCATCTCATTTCCGAACCTCCCACACCCCGCTCCGCTCCCAGAAAGACTTTATCTCCGCCTACAAAGCCGCTCGTCGCATCGCCAACGAGATATCTAAAGATGTTGGAACGGAAGTCTTCCCGTACTCCAAATTCTACGTCTTCTTCGATCAATACACAACTATTGTGCGTCTTGCAGCTGCGCTCATCGGCTCCGCCCTTGCTGCCACGCTCGTCGTAACAACAATCCTTCTCGGCTCGCTACAAACAGCGCTCGTCGTGACCCTCGTTGTCGCTATGACAGTTTCCGCAATCATCGGTTCCATGGCGATACTCGGTGTCTCACTCAATGCTCTCACGCTTGTTAATTTGATTATCTGCGTGGGTATTAGTGTGGAATTTACGGCCCATATAGCACGTGCATATACTTTTCCGAGCAGGGTGACGATGGAAAAGGCGCCGAGACAAAGGTTTCGCGGTAGGGATGCGAGGAGTTGGGCGAGTATGGTGAATGTGGCGGCGAGTGTAGTCAGTGGGATTATGGTTACGAAGGTACTTGGGGTGGGTGTGTTGGCGTTTACGAGGAGTAAGGTATGTTATCCTGTCTATTCGTCCCTTCTCTACTCAATCTCCCCCCCCCTTCATTCGCTTCATTCCCTCTGGGGATCCTTCTAGTCGTTATTTATAAGGGCCTATGCTGACATCTCTGACCCAGATATTCGAAATATACTACTTCCGCGTCTGGCTCTCGCTCGTCATCTGGGCGTCCACGCACTCCCTGATCTTGCTCCCGGTCCTGCTCAGCCTTGTAGGTGGGAGAGGGTATGTGGATCCGGAGAGTGAGGGTGGGTTGGAGCAGGATCTGAGGAGTAGGCAGTATCCAGCACTGTTGGGTGGGGATGATGAGGAGGAGTATGATAGTGATGATTAGTAGGGGTTTGTTGGAGAAAGGGGGAGAGGGATTGGGACTGTATTAGTATAAGTATAGCAACTCGGCATAGAATGTTACATCATTGTTCTGAATGTCGTGTAAACACTGCTTGTTTCTCATGTGTGCGCAGCTTCCTCGTCTTGGTTTCACCTCCTGAAACCCGTGCTTCTTTTAGGTTACTTCTTCTCCTGTTGGATGTGGTTTTGTCCTTCGTTTTCTAATTCTGCTAATCTCGGCGCTAAGAGGCTTGATCTGAGAAACATTTCCAGACTCCTTCCTACAATATAATTCCTGTCCTGCCACTCCTGTCTTAATTTCTCCAAAAGTTGAGGTTGAGGTTGTTGAGGCTATAAGCCTACCTTAATTTTGCTTTATCGCGAGTATTACCCTAGCGAGCTTGAGCGACAGTAAAGATTGTGAACTATAGCAACTTAACTGTAGGGTAGCCCTATACCAAGGATCCTCTTTTCTAAACAGCAGGCTCAGTGTACTGCCTTTCAGATGACAAAGTGAGTGTGTAAGCAAATGAAAACTTGCTCCCTCTATATTTGGTATAGGATGTTACTTCAAACCTAGGGGATGGAAGACGCTACTTCCTAAAAAGACCAGCGGTGGAAGACATAGTGCAAAGGATCCACACCATGCAGCATAGCTAGAAAGAAACGTTACAAAATGGAAGGAAGTTTATAGAGGAATTCACGAGAGAAGTTGTGTGATGGGGGTTTGACATAGTGCTCCTGTATGAAGACCTGAGAGGCTTTGAGGTAATGCGTTGCATCTTTATATTAGCTTGGGGTAGAAGATAGAGGGATGAGAAGAACGGTTGGAGGGAATTAAAGTATGCATTATGAATTCGGTGCATGGGAAGCATCCAATAAAGCGTCACACCCGGTATCTCGCTCCGAGATTCTCAGGACTCTCGTCACGGCCTGGTTCTCGATGCTTCCTCTTTAGATGTCGTAGAAGGTTGTCTTTCCTCGTGAATGTTTTCTCGCATCTTCCAAACGGACATAATAACGTCTTTGTCTTTGCATGGCGGGCTTGTACATGCCGTTCCAGGTCAGTCTTCAGTCCGAATGGGCGTTGATTGCAGCCAGCTACTTCGCATGTGAATCTTCGGTTGTGGCGTCGGTCGAAATGCTTCCTAAGGTTTATTTCATCAGTCAAGATCTTGCTAAATTGAGGAGCATGTATCAGGAGATTTCGGATGGCGGCGGATAGGGGCAGATGGTTTACTAACTTGCGTTGATACTCCTTACTGAAGTTGACGTTGCATACCGAACATGGGAATGGAAGGTTGTTGCATGTGGGAGATGTAGGTGATGCAGTTGACGGCAGAGTATTAGGCTCCTCTAGCAACACCGATTCGTCTGTGGATGGTATTGAAGAGGTAGGCAAATCTGCAGATGGCGCTTGGTCCGGCTGATATCGTTCGTCAGCTTCGGAGAGATTCAAGGACGATTGATCCTCTGAATGTGTGGCGCCATCTAGTGAAAGTTCCCGTGGAAGTTCCGTTTCTAGTACGATCTTTTGATGGGAGTGAATGAATGGCGCAAATATTACTGGATTTAGATCTTTTTCATAAACAAATGGTGAGTCATAATAAACTGAAACGTATTTCCCTATCTGTAGACCTGGGATCGTGTTTAGGTGAGCGGGAATGAGGACCCAAAAGAGGCCGCGGCGATACGAGTATCGCCTAGCCTAGCGACAGAGAGATAGTAGGAGAAACCTCAACAATAACAAGAGAGCGACAGCAATGCTCCTACAAGGGTCGAGCTTGAACCCCAGGGACAACCCAAGGACACGTCGCTTACAAAGCGCGGGTCTGGGGCGTCCTTGAGGGCAGGGTATTGAGAAGTGGACTGGTAGATTAAAGCTGAGACAAGCGGAGAGGCAAGGATGCTTCAAGAGACATATGGAGAGAGACTTCCCCAGGGTGAAGTCCCCCTGTGGGGAAGGCGGATGGGGAGGGAAAGGGAAAGGTGCACCGAGGCAGATATTTATGTATGCGAAATCTGGGAGGCAGACCATGAGCTTTAGACAATCCTCCATTACAAGTGACAAGTCCTTGGTGCACGGATGACGTGGCTGCATGAACAAGGCGACGAATTGGAGAAGGTTATGGTGGCGAAGCCTGATATTAGCTGCAACCTCCCAACCCACAGCCTTGGCAGAGGCAGACCATCAATAGTACATCCACTGTGGTTTCGTTTTGAACACCAACAGGTCTCAGACAGTACACAGCCCCGCCACGTTTGAGATCCGTGCAGTTCCCGAGTCATTCCAAGGTTTTAACAAGTCAGGCATGTGGCTGTCTGCCTCCCAGCGAGCTCCAGAGCTTCCAGGGTTAGACCCTCTAGTTCCGAGCTTCAAAATTTTGGCGCACAATGTATGAGGAACCCAACTTTATTGGGACAACTTCGAAAGAGGATTTGCGTTATGCTTCCCAATATACCGGAGCACTTCCTATAAAAAAAATAGTCTTCAAACAAAATCAGAATTGCTGATACCGGTCTTGAAGCACTTTGAGAAAGAGATATCATATATCTTGAAATTAAGGCTCAATCCCAAGCTAGGGGATCTAACATCGGTAGCTAGGGAGGGAGTAGGGGTGGGTGGGAGGCAGACCGGAGCTAGGAACTTTGTTTTATGAACAAATTACAATGTGTTATTGGATTTGGCTGAGAATGCCATTCGTCCATTTAGAGCCCTACAAAGTATCCAACGGGAGCCTCTCCCGAAACGACCTGCGCCACACGAAATGACCTGCCTCCCACAAAACAACCTACCTCCAGCAATAGGACCCGCCTCCAGAGAAATAATACTCAACCACCGGCCTTCCAGCTGTTAACCGCAACAGCAAAACTCCAACAACTAGCTTAATAAGACAAAATGGTCGTCGTCTTCACCAATTCCACATCCTTCCCTAATTCCCCCCCTTCTCGCGTCTGCCAAACCAGCAACCCCCGGAAGCACTCATTTTCAACCTCTTGGCTATAATATTCGCTGCCACCTCCGTCGCCGTATCGGTTCTCCACCTTAGATTGAAGATGCAAAGCCGGAGTCGAGGGAAAAGAGCCAGTGATGAAGAAGCAGGGACCATTTTGGTGTCGTATGTTCGGACCCGCCAAGGTGAGGAGTGTTCTTCACAGCTGCCGAGAGAGGCTAAACCGATAGTGATAGAAGAAAATGAGGAAGAAGGAGAGCTAGGAGCACACAGGAATGGAGACAGAGAGGTGGAACCAAGAAATAAGTCTCGAGGATAAGGGGATGGGGAAGATGGAACCTAAAGAGCTTTGTGATGGAAGATTGTAAAAATGTTTTGTTACCTAAAATATATGCACGCTTCGTTGTATTATGAGAGCCGTAAGACCCCCAGCATTTTGTTCGAACGCCAAATGCATTTCCATCACAGCAAGTGAGAGCAAGGCAAGACAAGAAGAAATGACCAACAAACGATCTGAAGCACTGACATAATTGTCAACTCCCGTGAATACGCTGAAACACGAGGTGTATATGCTCCTAATCCTCCAAACAGGCAGTGATCGATACTTGAAAGCGTGATGTCCAACACTGAATTGCCAAAAACATGGATTCCTTAGATAAAAATCCTGCTAGCATAGCTGGGATATAAGCCGCACCTACTTTTTGCCATTTCTTGAATCATTAGTCATTTGCGGTGCAGTTGCCGACTGCACGATAGCATAAATAACTTAGTTCAGTCAGCCAGTCTAGCTCGTGCCACTCTACGAGCAAGGGAGGAGGAGTGCATGAAATAATCCTCTTATGCTCCTCGGGGGTAATTGAGCGTGATGAGGCTGAACCCGATCCACTGTCACGGTAGACAAGCAAAGGTAGAAGGTCCAGGAAGTCTTGGGCTTGGGTTTTCGAATTGAAGATTGGAGCTTCGACTCCGCTACGAACGAACGCACACATATCTGTAGATCGCTTCGCCTATGCATGAAGGAAATTACTCTCTTGCGCTAGGGTCTCGACCTTGGCAGACCGTGATGGTGCGAGGCATTGGGTTAATCTATCGTGGATAACGAGTTCGAATTGCGTAGTGCTACACGTAGTATTGCCGCAGATGCTACCGTGGGCTGCTGAGACTTCGCCGTCGATGGTGAGAGATCCGGTGAGAGACGCAGAAACCTTGTCACGAAGAAACAATTCGAATTCGGTCTCGCTAGGCCGGCTGGTCCTATACTGCTCCTTTCCTGTTAGTTCTTTCTGTGACTTCGTCATTGTGGAATTACAGGAGACAATCCCCGGATCCCTGAGCAGAACTGGAGCTGCAGCCCTATTCCTAGAACCGGCCGCCAATGTCTCCGTTGCAGAGGGCTGGCTGTAAACAATCGCCGGATCAGTCATGGAAGTCGGCACTTTGTCAAATTCTAAACCGCAATCGACCTGGCTGGCAACGTAATAACCGGTACTTTGCAGAGACTTGAGAATGCAATCAATAGGATCGGACATTTCAACGGCCTGGCCCTTGCTGTACTGGTCCGTAGGATCCATGGCGGTATTGTGAAGATACAAGGAAGGGCCAAGCGGGTGCAAATCCTCTACTTCCAAATGCGGCTCAGTTGCATATGACTCACCCTTTGCAGCATCGCATGGAGGAGGTAGGGGTGAGGAGGTAGACACTGTGTACGTGGACGCAGAGCCGTCAGCGAATGCTGATTCCCCTAATCCAGAACCCCACGTGTCAAGAGCAAAGTCTTTGGGAAATAGCAGCAGCTCTGCCTCCCTGCGATCCACATCGTTCACAGAATACCTCCTCCCAAGCCCAGTGCCGAAGCGAGGAAGGTTTCGAGCCCCCATTGGGTCGAGGAGTAGTTCCACGATGTGATGAATTGGAGTAGCTGAGAAAAGGGGGGAAGTGTGGTGTTGGGATAGATCCTCAGCCAACTCTGCCGGCTTTGATACCTCAAGGATACCTTGTGTGGGCTTGTCCTGGGTGATACTACCGACGGTGTCTGAGGCCAACAAGATTATGTCCTGATCGGTGGGATCATTACCCGGCCCGGCTCTTACACCAGCGTGCGCAGTGGAGAGAGCTTGTATTTTAGAAGAGACCTTTCGAACCATATGCCGACGGGACCTGCTCTTCGATGGAAGCCAACCAGGGTGGTGCAGGCCATCTGGTCCATCCTTAGATGAGTTCCGAACTGCCACCTGATATGAAGTAGCGAGTTCTAGAGCAGAATTTGTTAGAGATTCTGTTTCCTTAGATCCGACACAGTGGCGTACCTTGAGTGACCTTCGGTTTACGGAAGTCCCTCTCCTGGGCTCTACAATCGATATCCCTATCCTGGGTATCCTTGGTCTTCTTGTTCTCACGAGAGCGTGCCGCTTTGAACTTGGTAGCCTGGTGGTCGAGTGAAGTGAGGCTGAATTGGAATGACGTAGCTGCATCGCCTTGCTTCGAGTCTATATTGAAAGATTCGTGAGCGACCTGGATACTGGGTTGATTTTGTAGGGTGTACCTTTAACTTGCGATATGGCGGCCTTTGTAGCAGCTTTTACGGGTCCGGCGATCTTCTTGGAAGTCATGTTAGTTAGGATAGGCTATATAATTGATTTGCATAGAAACAGTTGGTTGATGTTGCAGGATGTCAAGTTAGGTGCAGATAGGCGTAAGTGGGTTGTCGATAAAGACGGGGCGAGAGGGTGATGTGGCGAAGTGGGTTGATTTGGAAGCAGCGGGGGCTATAAATGAGGATTTGGATTCTGTTACTTAGAGAAACAAGTGCCAAGACCCAGCGATGGAGGGCGAGGCTAGCGTCACCTCTAGGCTGTTGTGGCCAAAAGCATCACCCGGGTGTGGTGACTGATATCTGCTACTCACCGGAGATTATCATACTAGCGGGGCAGCAGGAATCGGCAATGGTAGTGAAAGAAATGCTGATATAAATGGAGTCACCACTTGAACTACAAGAGACTTTGGCGAAGAACAATGATACGGGGGAGACGAAGGACTGATGTACCCAAACATTGAGAGTAATTGTGAGTATACAAAATTAAGAGAACAAACGCGAAGGAATGAAATTTCGTGCTCCAACTGCTCATCAAGCTTTCAGAAAGTCTCGCTCTCAGCAACAATATAGTCCTCCCAGCCCAAATCGAGGTCGCCCGAAGTTTTCACCAATGTGATCTTGTTCTCCTCAACGATCACATTATCAAAGTCTAGAATTGGCGGCTTCAAATTGACGACATAACCCTGCGCGCTGTTACCACCACCAGTCTACCCAAGGCTGTGGCTCAGGGGGGAAGGCATCCTGACCCGTCAGCACCCCTCCCCCTGAAGACCTTCACCAGAAATATTAGAGAGTTCCACTTACGAACAGAGTTTTTGATTTAGCTTTCTCTTTCCACTCCTCCTTCGATATGTCAAAAAGATGAGTCCAATCCTTGCCGGGCGAAGCGTAAATCTTTTGCCCAGTCGCGTGCTTCTTCTTCTTCTTCTTCATTCTCCTCGGTTGTTGCGATACGCGGATCTTGAAGCCGCGGTCGCGGAGTCCGTAGACCAAATCTCCAAGATTGGCAAGGAATGGGTGGAGGACATACCGAACACCTGTGCAGACGACGAACTCGATTTCGCAACTGTTCTTATTCTTGACCAGAGACAGTTTCTGGAGAGCTGCACTCTTGTTAAGCTTTGCCCCATACGTGTCTTGGGTGGTGTCGTTTGAACTTTGAGCAGGACCTTCGCCGAATCCCGAACCATCCCAGTTCCAGTCGCTTACGATCGTCAAATCCGGAAGCGAGACCTTCAGCTTCCGAATCAAGTCGCCTGGTACATTGTCCATCTGGAAGATATCTAGGGTAAGAAAGTTTTCTATGTCTGCTGAATCGCTTATGCTGAATACATTTCTTTTGTAGAAAGCCTCCGTAATTTCACTAGCAACGGCAATACCAAGATAGGCAGGGGAAACAAGCCGCTGGTGGGATTTCCTGATATCAGCGACGCGGTCCACGTAATTCAATGGAATAGGATCATCGCTCCAGCTTCCCCAGCCGCCCCAAGGGTCGACGTCCGTGACGCTCTTGATATCGACGGGCTCGGGTGACACGACAAGTTCTTCGTAGATGATGTCGCGCAACTCTCGTGGTAGAAGTTTGTACAGCTGTTCACCAAAGCAACATCCCCAGGCCTTTGAGTACGTATCAGCTTCTGTGAGCAACTCCCTTCAGATGATTAGTATATCGAATATGAAAGATTGTGATGGCATACTCCTCTATCGGCTTGTATTCTTTCAAGAGACGCAACGCATCTTGGCGAAGCTTTTCTCGCTGGCGTTCAATTTGGAGCTTTCTTTCGCCATATTAGAAGCTATGAATCCTAAAGATGTAAAGGCCGTCAAAACTCACTGCTCGTTGATGCAGCGCAGCCTGCTCTGCAGCCTACAGACAGTTCAGCCCATGTTGGATGTGTGAGTTGCACTGCATACTCCTCAAGACGCCTGCGTGAGCTTTCAGCATGATGGAATTGTTCAGTACGCATGACAAGCTATTATACGGTTGCTGTGAGGATGCTCGATGCGGACGATAATGGCTGGAAGGATGAGCGTTGTTCAAGGGCAAATCGACGCTAGCGCCAAACTTGATGTAGCGCTCGGGCCACTTCCGGAAATAGATCCTGGGAATCAGTCTAACAGGCACGTGTCAGAAGCCTGGTTCGCTGAACCAAATTCAATTGTCATTTTTCTATTTCATCAACGTCTAAGAATTCCATTGACACTTGTTTCAAATGTCAATGCAGCTGAGCACAATACGTCTCGTACCTCCATAGCATGCCAGCAGGAAAATAGTCTATGGGTTCATTCTAAGGATATATACTGTGAGGAGTTAACTCACTGCGTAGGGTCCTACACACCCTACACGACATCATAAGTTAGTCGCAAATTCTCTGACTTGGATAGACTCAGGTGAAAATTTACGAAGACACTCGAGGTGCAGATCTGTTCCATTCGGTCCACTAACAGACGCTCGGGGTCGAAATCGTCGTCATCGCAAGTGTTACAGAATGCATCTTCGTTTAACTCTACCGTCGTTAGCCATGAAGCACCAAGCTGCTGATATAGCCGCAGCAAGCGGGTATACTCTAAGATAAGGATTGGAGATGGGGTGTCTGGGTCTTGGCATGTCATACCCTCCAGCACTCTCCAGTCTCTCCTTCGCAGCAGAAGCCCGGGTGACGAAGGGTTTCAACTTGCCGCCTAGCTGTTTCTAATACCTCTCAGGTTTGTTTGAACCTAACTTGCTTATCGAGGGCCTCTTCGTGAGATAACCTCACTATAACCTTGGATCAACTCGGCTCGGCACAAAAACTTGCCTCCTCGTCGTAATTTCGTCACACATTACGTATTTGCTCTCTATTAATGTTTTGGCCTGACATTGCTTATTCTTATTTTGAATTATCCTCAACTAAATGCTCCTTAGCCAATTCACCTACGAACGGAGGCAATCATTCTCACTTTCACTCTCTCGCTCTCATGCCTTGAACTCATTTCGTGGTGATTACGAACGAGAGTGCTCACGTGGTATTAACGTGATACCTGCAAATCACATCCGGGTCAAATTGGCATGTAGTGTTGACCCTGACGTCAGTTCTGGGGCAAATTTAAATCCCACCCTCTCACACCCCCTCGTCTCCCTTCTCCCCTCTCGCCTCTTTTCAATCCTCTCTCTGCTCTTGACGGCAACTGGGATTAAGCTTGAGTTTCTTGTGCCAGCAAAATCTTATCTTTTCTTTCTTTGCTTCTAGGCAGCGCAACACCCAGAACGGACAGCAAAATGCCTCATTTACCTGCGACCAGCCACTTTCAAAGCAAAGAGTTACGCTCACCGTTCGTTGATTCAACTTCACCACCTGAAGACCGGTATGAAATGCTTCCCAACCTCAATTGCGACCGGTGTGTGAAGTCATCAAATCCGTCAAGCAACCACGACGTTTTCTTGGGAGTTGTGAGACAGTTCTTCTCGCTCTTTTCTAATGTCTTGTATGCTCATAATGAAATAGGAGAACAAGCAAGCTAATTTTTTGCTCGCTTCACCATCGATTGATCAGGGCTCCGTTAATAAACGTGTTGGTGTCTCTTCGTATGCAACTGCAAGCAAGAACTCCATCGAGCCGACGGTCCCTCGCGATCCCTCTGACCCACGCGCTCGAGTGCTTTGCATCTCAAACTTGCACTTTCACGCTAAGGAAGATGAGGTGCGAAACTTCTTCTTCAGATTTGAAGTCATCGACTACACTCGATACTACAAGCCTGAGACTAAGAAACCTCTGGGCTATGGCTTTATCATGACAGCGTCCGCGTCTGCTGCCCAGCGTGCCAAAGGATGGGGTGACGGGAAGACATTGCATGGTCGAACGATCGAGATTAATTTCGCAAGGGAATGCCCAGAGGGTGAGGCCTTACAGTCTCTGCTGCTTCGTCACATGCTTGCTAACGAATGTATTGTAGTTACGGAGGATGGCTTCGTGCAATCTGGCAATAGGGTCGCTCCTGATCGTCCAAGCGGGAGTAACCTAAATGTCACGGACAACAGCATCGCACAACTCAACCCCGACCTGGCCTCTGTTCGTAATGTGAAGCTCGAAGACAACGAGGCTAGCGAGAGTGTTCAGTCTATCGCTGATAACCATACCGTCAAGCCCGATACCGCTAGCGCTTCCCAAATCTATGAGCCTAGTTTTCAACAGCACCTTCACCTTGCCGACAATGGATCTGTCACCCATCATCTGAAACGCACGGGAGCGTATAAACCAAGGCCGCCGAAGGGCGAATTGAGAGACGTTCCCTATATCGCGTTCTCTACTCCAAGTTCGATGCATCAGACAAGTGAAGTGGGTCACATCGGTTTCAACCATAATACGCCTTTCCGCCACCGCGTCCCCATGTCGGCGGTTTCTAATCCTCACGAAATTTCCCCACTCCCTCCCGGTTTCGAAATGGATAGAGTGAAGGCCATGAAAGGTAAGCACGCCATTGAAACAACACCTACCTGCAGTTTTTCCTCCAAATTTCTCCAGACTGACGCCATCTCAAAGCGATGGGGTTGAAACAATGGTGCACTCCCGTAAGACTTCCCCCTCTGTTCGGGTTGGGTGCGCCTGAGCTTCAGAATATGGACCGCACTTCCAGCTTCAGCACTCTAAAGTAATCACGGGCCGGCCAGAAAAGATCTGGGATCACCGGTCTCAGTTTTAGCTGGTAATGATACCATGAAATGCATTAGAATATCGGCATCGATGTGAGTTTAACGGACTTATCCCGACCCTTTTCCCAGCATGAATGAGCGCTGCTTGCCTGCCCGAACAATAGGTGTATTCTAATACCCCTAACGTTGCTACGTTATAGTTACATATGCAGCCTTTAGAACTGTAGAATCAGAGTTGGGGATCGGTAATTGGGGATAAAGAGAGGTGGTTCATGCGAAGATGTCTACATACGAAGGCTTTCAGAGGAGGTTTTGGGGATATATATGCATCCGCATGTGTAGCTGCGCGTTCAAATCTGAACAAAGAAAGCCTCCCACTAAATGTAAATCCACTTGATGCGACATTTTGTGCACAAAACCGCTAATTCGCTGATCGTCTTGTAATTTGTAAGGCCCTTTAGCTCGAGCCTAGAATATCAGCTACACTTAATCTACTTTCTCTCACGACTTATCCTTCTCAAATTCCTATACCCGGACGGCCGTCTTCGCAGTATCAAGCACGGTGATGTCAGAGCATAGTGTCTCGACCTCTTTGAAACAAACGCGCGCATCAACCAGTATAGTCTCTGCGATCCAAACTGTATGCCAACCATGAGGCTCCCCATGCATGGCCTGGACAGCGGAACATAGAAATTCCTTCAGAAACCGCAACGTATTAGGGTTGAAACTAAATAGGTAATGGCATGAATTCTCATCAAGGATTGCCGTTGTCCTTTAAACAGAGTGGAACATCTAGTCATGGTACCGTACATATCATCATGCCATACCTTCTTTGCAACCAACACACCTATGAACTGCATCGAAAATTCATCCGCCAAGATGGACGTATACATGTGCCAGAGATTAAGAATACCTTTTTGGGACGAAATCCAACCACAAAACACCTCATAGCTCTCTATAGGACCCTGAATCGGAGCGCTAGAAAGGTGGCCGGTAAACAAGCGACGGTCAGAGTTTGAAGAACACCAGAACCAGGAGACTGGCTGTAGATTTGACATGGCGGGCTGAATGCCACGCTTGAAGTCTCTAAATCCCAAGGTGCAGATATAGAGAACCAGCATAACGAAGATAACGGTGTCGACTAGTCCAATCATGATAGTGCTAGCAAGAGCGTTTATAGAGATATCGGCTTACTGTCGAGGGTCCCTCGCAGTGGAAATTATCAAGGGTCCTCATTCGCCACCTCAGATCCAGTTAGAACGAGACTGAGGACTCCTTACGGCAATAGAGTCGAAGGGTTATTCATCGGTTGTGACACTGGGTTTTCCCGGTGTTAGAGGTTGCCATTTGGGTGAATAACCTGCTCAAATGTCCCCGCTCCATTGAATTGGAGAATTTGTCGTTGTCTAAATTGCTATCGTCATCGCAATGGGAGATGCTGTAGAGCCAAGTAACTTATGGTGCCGAAACCTCGCGAGCATTACATTCAGACGGTCAGACCTGGGAATAAGAAGAACCTCATCTTCACCCTCAATAAAAAGTCCGCTATCAATATGCGACTCACCTGAGAAATCACCATGGCGGGTTAGTGTGCCGCAGCATTAATTGCGTAGCAGAATCTGCGGTATGGGGAGGTTTTCTGAATTATGAAGGAGGGGTCGGTGAGCTTGGAGCCAAAGAGTCAGGCAAAGAAGTTTGTAAGCAAGGCTCTAGTGCTAGAAGTGGAGTTGTTTTTATACAGTTGAAGGAATCTAGGGGAGAGACCCCTACAAGATTAGGGAGACAGCAAGGAGATTATTCTTTAGTTATATGATTTGGTCGCATTTACAGACAAGGGAATGAAAGATTTGGGGCGGAATGCCTGTGGTCGGTGAGAACGTGCGAGAAAGCACTTAATCTCAAAACTGCAAGACAATGACAGCTCATTCATTCACCGCTGAGTCCAAGTACCGTATCCGCGGTCGGATGGAGTGCATAAATGACATAATTCTGAGGATGTTAGTCACTTCTATCTGGTTATTTAAGGATTTGTTGCATATCCTCTCGCCTTTTCATTTTATGATTAATGTGCATATATCCCAATGAAAAGTCCGCCGGATGGTTCACTGCCACAGGTCTTACGACATTTGACACTCATTGTCCAGTTCCGCCGCACAAGCCGTCAGCCAGGTAAAACAGCGCCTAATGACGAGGCTAGAGCCAAGTCTCCAGCCAGGAGAGTCTGACTTCTCCCAAACGATTAAAGCTTTACCACGACGCCCACCACACCGCCATTGAAATCATACCCGTTCCTCTGTCTTCTTCTTCCTCTCCCTCTCGCTCTCACCATCATAACCTTCGCCAAACCCATCAACCCCGGCCTTCGCAACTGACCCCAACCAACCTCCAACCCTTCCCGCACCAACAACAGCCATCTGCCCCAGAACCGCGACGAGGTATCCAGCCGGCTCAAGCAAAAAATCCCCTCCCTCAACCTCATCCCAGCCGAATTTATGCGCAACTGCTGCATACCCGGCCAGTACAACAGCGAAACGCCATAGCATGAGAAGCAAGCATTTTGGTCCGTCGAGGGCTGTGATAAAGAGCAGAGTGCTGTAGAGGACAATAGTGACGCTGACGACAAAGTCGGGCTTAACGATGGTGTAGGGGCCGATCGCGATGGTTTGTGGATGGGGCGTGGTTAGAGCGACGGTCCAGACTGTTGCCGGTTTGTCTGATCCACGATTAGCTTCCCCAGAATGTGTCCTGAACTGAACAAGGACTTCGCGAACCTTTCTCCCCCCTCCCACCGTCTCCACCATGGAATCCTTCAACATGCCTCTCCATAGCTTGCGTAACCTTTTTAAAAACATATTCCCTTAACCCCTCAATCGTCGGAAGTCGCTGCATCTGCATGCCCGTCGGAGATCCTAGTTGGCTAGGTGCACCTAGGGTTATTGTTCCGGTTGGAGTGATGGGGATGCTGACGGCGCGGCGAGAAGAGGTGGTTGCCGGGGGTTTGGGGAACGCGGTGTCGAGGATTGTGTTTTTGTGTAGCGAGGACCTGACCTTGGTCAGGGTTGTGCGGTTGGGTTAGGTGTGATGGAGAGAAATAGGAGGGAACGGGACAGAAGGACTTACTCTTCATTTCCACAGTTGCCGAAATTGAGGATCGGGTATTCGCTGTGGTAAACTGCTGTGATACCCGTGCTCGTGTCGTCCTGATGTTCCGTATTGACATCCTTATTAGCTAACTCTTGCTCCGTGGCCTGGACCTTAAGTTCAGGCCCAGCACCCGCATTTAAGACACCAGAACTAGACATCCCGATATCCAGCCAACGCATACTCTCCCGCTCTCCCTCATATTTACATCCCTCCATTCCTCCCGGCGAATTCGAAGCCGACGCTAAAGTCGTGACAGCAGAAAATCCACTTGCCATCCTCAAACTCCCGCTGCCACCATCTTCGCCATCCTATCCCACCTCGTCAGAATTCGCACTTCGCTCCCAGGGGAAAACGCCAACCTTATCGAACCCAGGCTTCAAACTCCCCGCACCCATCCTCGGGCACGGCGTATTTTTCCCAGAGCTCGCACGTGACGCTGAAGTCGGGATGTTCAGATTGCCCAAACTGGCCAGACGTGGGATATTGAAGATCTTGGTGAGACGGTTTGATCTTGTCGACTTAGGGGTCTCTGGTGGTGAGGATTTATTTGCGGCGCTGAGACGGGCCATGATGGAGATGTGTTCTGGGGATGTTGTAGATGGAGATGCAGACGTAGACGTGAGGGTTAAGGCACGGCGAGTTGCGGCGTTTGTTGTTGGCGATGGGGGGCGATCTACTTATCCTGGCCAGTGCCTGCAGTGGCGGTGAGAGAAATAAGGCTATTTTTGAGCTTCGCGGCGTGTTGAGAGGAGTGAATGTGTGTCACATGTGATCGAGTAGAGATAAGAAAGAGACGCAGTGTCAGAGTAGAAAATGTGGAGCGAAATGAAAGTAAAACCAAGATGCATTCGACGCTTCAAATGAAAGGCTAGAATTCCCTGCAACGCCTTCTATTCCCAATGACCGGAATGAAGAATATACCTCCACGCACCAATAAGCAGTGGAGATTTATTGTCGCGCGTGCCTTAGCCAGGTTTCAAGGAAGCTCATCACCAACTTCCCTCCTCTCGGCATACGCTCTCACAACATCCCCCAACCTCTTCCTGCCTTCCTTCCGCTCAAATACCTGAGCATGATCGCATGTCGGAAACCAGAGTAAATCCAACCCAGACCCTGTCCAATCTCTCTTCTTCCACTCTTGGTCCTCACTCTCCCATCCAACTCCCGCGAGATACTTTCCCACAATCTCAGTGTCCACGATTAGGTCTCTTCCTCCTAGACTGACAGTAACATCTCTGCCCGCGACGTCCTCTTTCCAGAGAATATTCTCTGACCAGAAGAAGTTTCGCGCGAGGGTATGGGCGACCATCATATCCGTGCTAGCAAAGTAGTAGAGTTGGTGCTCATTCGCGCCGCGGGGCGGACGAGCAGTGAAATTGTAAGCTACGTCCGGGAGTTGGAGCATGAAGGTGACGGGATCAATAAACACAACCGGGCCGATCATTCTCGCGACATGAGGAGTCTGGAGGAGATGCGTCGTAATCACCGAGCCATACGAGTGTGATGCTAGAACGAATTTGTCCCACCCATGTGCGTGAATGATGTCAGAGATCTGGCGGACCATTTCTTGCTTAGCAAGAACAGGCGACGTGATGCGGAAGCTAATGGGCAAGATTTCGATTGCGATGATACCAATTTCACCGTCTTCTGGTCCCAACGGGTCGTGCTTTGTTATTTCGGCGAGGAATTGGGCGTATGAATATAGGCCCATGCTTATGCCATGGATGAAGAGCACTGGTAGGCGAGTCTTAGACGTGTGTGGGCGGGACCAGTAGTTCAGATTAGAAGCTGGGGAAATACGTGATGTAAAGAGACAGCAGAGTCTCCAAGGAAATACGCCGAGCCATTGACGCATTGGGGTTCGGTGAAGCTTGAAGCCGTTGTACCAGAGATAGCCTGCCGTAAGTGTATCCACGAGTCCCACAATCTTGAAGGGCCAAATTAGCGCGGTAAAGAAAAGCGAAGGAGCAATCAACTTGCCATATACCACAAAAATGGACGATGCAGCATCTTCACCTCATCGACTGTCAACCTCAAGCTCTTCGCACTCCCCATTCCGGCGTCAAGCTTCCTACCCATCACCACCTCAACGCCGTCCACATACCCCTCCAGCTCCTCCTCATCCTCTTCAGCCAACTTCCCGTCTGCATCGCCCTTACCAAACATAGCCCACCTCAGCCATTCCCTCACGTTACCCCTCGCAATTTCCTGCGCCTTCGCCCCGAGAAACCACTTGCTCAAATATGCCTCTGGCTCAGGTATGTTCCCTGCACATTTGCTCCATAGCTCCTGCCTCTCTTCCCGATCGAGCGGTAGCGGATGCTGTGCCGGGCTTTGCAGCTGCCGTTTCCGGGGAAAGAAAACAAGTAGATAGAAGCCTGCTTCGACCGTGGCCCACGCAAGCGCAGCCTTTCTCAGGGAAGAAGACGGCGGGTCCGCGATGGAGAAGGCGACGTAGAAGACGCTGAGCGGGGTGATGGCGCGGAGGGCAAAGGTGCTGATGCGGATGAAGATGTATTCGGGAACGGAGGTCCCGATCATGGTTGCGAGATATCGTGGGAGAAGTTAAGGTGACTTAGCCGTGATCCATGGTGTTGTTGAAGGCCATGATGGCTGTGCTGGTACCTGGCCTTGGTGGGTTTCAGACGTCACTGCTAATCCTGGAAGGTCCGATGGATGCAAAGCCCGGCTTAGTCATCGACGCCCTGTTGACCCCTCACCCAGAGCCCACGACTTGATTTTCGTCCCTCCGCCAAGTAGCCAGCCCTGGGGGCCAAAGATATTTCATGGCCGTCTGACAAGCATTGATTCCATGGGCTGGTTGCGGCTGAGCCATCCATAGATACCTTCGACTCTCCGCCAAGGCTCTGCTCACAGCCTCCTCTTCTCCGGAGAGCACTTCTTGAAATGCCCACTGGACCGTTCTTGCCTTCAAAAGCTACCTAGGGGTAGAAAGGTGTAATCGAACGCGATGGCCTGCACTGACTGTCTGTCAGAGGGTAAGAAATCATGTCCACAGTAACCCTGATTCCCAGTATTCGCCGTCTGCCTCATCTAAGAGCGCCACCTGACGGACAGAACTCAACCATCCATCAAATGACATCGAATTGGATAGGAGGGGCGCCACGTAGAACTCCGGAGAATTCGGCATATTCCGACTCATAGCTTTGCATGACCGGAGTGTCCTCCAATGGTTGTGGGTTCATGGCTGTCGGCCTTTGGCATCATTCTAGCCTCTCAGCGCCATTTCGATCATTCGTCAGCAATAGCTCAAGGGGCTTAGGACCCTGTCCCGGTTTTGTGTTTCCACAGCCCTCAGCCAGGGCGCTCCTTCTCACTCCGGCAGCAATACAGCTGGTCCCCCATTTGAGCTTTAATGTCCTGGAAACGGGCCTATCAACTTGCTCTTGCTTCCCCTGAACAGAACCCTGCTGCAAGTCCTTATGCTGTACGCTGACACCCTTCATTGTCGCCAGAAACCGCGTGATGCAAAGCCATTCCAGATTCCGGTCGTTCAGCTGAAGTTTGAGAAGCCAAGGATGAATATTGAAATGAGACTTCTTCGTGTGGATGCCTCATCCACAGGCCGCAATCAGGAACAGACTCTACAATCTTTTCAGGATGAATTTCATTCAGCCAGCACGCTTGGCACCCTCACTCCTTCCAATTACAATCACCTCTTGTTGTAGCCAGGGCTTCCAACGAGGCGTAGTACTGTACGATTGGGCGATTTTGAGGCCTGTACGGGTGAGATTTTGTGTACGTTCGTACGACAGGGAGGAGGAGAGGTAGATGTACGTATCGTAACTGTTACGGCTCACGTGATCTGTACGAGTAGTACGATTTGATTAAAGTACGCCGTACTCTAGTTAAAACAGCTAAGACTATGGGTCTCTAGAGATGTAAGATTAAGGTCTAATTAACTAGTTCTCTCTAGTAACAAGAGCAGATAGGACTAGATAAGGCCTGTAAGGCTGTAAGCATAGTGTTTAATAGAATGTAGTACTGCTTCTACTGTTACTAATAGTAACAATCTCTTAGCAGTTAGAACAAAAGTAAATTACCTTCTGTTACTGTACAGTTAATGAGGCTATAGTTACTGCAGTAACTGCCTATACTATCTATTGTTAGTACAGAATAGTAAAGTAACTCCTTGCACTTAAAGCTTGCAGCTAGTTTAACACCTTGCAAGCTCTTGTTAGCTTAAGAAGTTAAAGGCTGCCTCTAGAAGCTCTTATAATTAAGGCCTTATCCTCTAGTTTTTCTATTCTTATAAGTTTTAGGACAATATCTAGACTTGCAGCCTCTAGCTGAAACCTGGGGGCCTTAGATATTGTGTGAAGAGCATATTAGCAAGATTATGTTAAAATTAAGCCCTCTAGAGCCTTTAGTAACACTAGTTGCTGCAGTAACTGCACTAAACAGTAACTTTACTATTAATTAACTTAGCAGTAACTATTACTGCCTATAAGGCTGTTTTAATTCACTCTTTCCATAAGAACAAAACCCTATTGCCGCTAGTAACGCTTTAAAAACACTACTAATAGTAATAGTTACATTCTATTAAACACTATAGCTGTAAGAGGCGTGGATAGATAACTCTGCAATAGAAAATGGTCTGTAACAGGCATTTTTAAGACGACAGACAGATGGATAGATTAAAACCCTTAGAAAGAGATTTAAGCGTCTGTAGGCCTCCTGCTCGCCAGAGCCCTTATACCCCTCTAGAACCCCTATACAAACTTCCCAAAAAGGTAATACGATCTGTACTACGTACCGTACCTAGGGCATCATTAAACGTACGGTACGGCTCACGAACTCGGTACGTTCGTACTGAACACGTGACCGTTACGGTTCACTTTGTACGGACCGTAGTACGGCCCGTTGGAAGCCCTGGTTGTAGCTACGCCCGTCCAAACTCCTCAGTGCGACATCACTGGAAATCCTGATGTCTGTGGGCTTCCATCCGTTACATATTCTACCTGCAGCAGGAAGCGGTTAGCATATTTTCCCTCAGCTGCCCTGGAAAAGCCAATATTGCCCGGACAGCGTCCCCTATTACTATGCTTTCAGTATACGTTAATACTTTCCGTAGCCTTTAGTCCGCTCTTGTGGAACATCGAATGGCCGCTTCAATGGTACACAACCAGCGCGCTGCTTATCTTCAAATTTCCCACTTCATGGATCGACTTGAAGAACAGCGGCGCGTCTCTTACCACGGTGTTCATCATTTAACCCATGCACTACGTAGCCAGTCCCTGGGTATTCTTCCCTGGACGTTTGGAAAACAGCCTGGCTGTGACATCAAATACCCCCTTTACGTCCTTATCGGTGTCTGCGCTCGCGGTTTCTGGATATTCATGAAGGTATCCTCAATCATGGGCGCAGTCTCCATAGGCCCTCTGTTTTTCATCGGAGTTATATATTTCCTAGGTGCCTGGTTCTCTGGATGGGGTGACAAGGAAGTGAAGAAATACCAGGAAAAGCCTAGTTGGGCCTCTGCCGGTCTCGGGATCTGAAACGAAACGACTGGAGCCTTTGCAGTTACTTTTACAGAGATGACGATCAAAGTCAATCACATAACATTCCCCGACACACGCATCTCACGGATAGTGGGCAGCTCATTGCATTTTGACTGGGGTCTTGGGTTTCGCATCTTCGGTGTTTAGCGTTAGGCAGTCGATTATCTCTTCGAACAGGTAGATGGGTAAGTAAACTTATATCAGTTTGGGCCGTCCTGTGAGATTTCTATCTTATTCCCATTATCTATGTCTCGACACCGATCACACCGCTCGCCTGTGGGGATGCCAATGTTTCCATTTCCGCCTATAAGTGTATTTTCTTGCAGTTACGGAGCTCTCCAAGCCCTAATCACCTGACACTGCTCTCACCTGCTGCTACCTAAGCTAGCGATAGCCTTAGGTCACATGACAGGCTCACTCAGTACTATATAGACCCTTAGTTATCCTCCTTTAGCAATCAATCCAGTTCCTCGTGCCTCTAGTGTCCCGACAAGCTTCGCAGTTATGAACCCGGCAATTACATGCTAGCCAATTGAGCTATTTTCAAACCTATGCCAGGGAGAGCTCTTTTGACGCCCTGCATACGATTGTGACCTCTTCACCACTTCTCTACCACCTCAAAGTCGCTCTTTTGCAGCACTTTATGTATCTTTTAAGACCAATCGGTCACCAATCTTGACCTTGCAGTCCAAAGAGGCGACTCAAAGTCTCTGCCTCACTCGTCGCATCAATCGCGACCTCTGCGGTCTCCTGGGTGCGATACCAAAGCTTTCAGTCGAGCACTGCAAGGACCAATCTGTCTACCAATTGCAGTCAATTGCTGCTTCTAATAGACATAACTGTCGTGACCTTTGACCAACTACGACATCGACATGACAGACTCCACCGATCTGTTAGTCTCAAAGACTATAATCATACTCGATACGACCAGCGACTGGGACAAATGGATCTACCTCTAAAAGCTAATCGCGCAGCAGCAGTTTGTCTGTGGCTACTGCAACCCAGACCTCTCGGTAGCTGAAGTGAAGATACTAGGAGACGAACCAGTTAAACCAACATGCGACGACCACCAATCTGGCGCAACCAAACCATCAGAAATGGACACACAGAGCCTATCTGGCTATAACGCTGACTGTAATCAATGGAAACACGACATTACAGAATATAAGACCTTGGGCAAATCTCAGGTCAAAATACACGAGCAGAAGCATGATGTAGCTCCAGCGCTCAACTACAGCCAAATCTGTGTTGAAACCAAAATAAAAAAGCAGATTAATCGACGTCTGCCTCAGCTACGCTCGCCGCGCTCATTTCATCGCATTGGCATCGGCCTCCTTCAACTCTACCCTACTGGCCAGCGCTGCTACGTTCCGCGCTGAGCATACAAAGGAGCAGAATGGACTCACGACTCACCGAGCTCGCCATCATCAAAATCAAGAGGTGTCGAGGTGCTCTGCCTCTCTCGCCGCTGCCGCTGCCGCCGCCGCCGCCTGTCTCTAGAGCATTGTGTTGGATGCAAACTCAGGTGCTAGAGGCTTGATCGTACGAAGAAAGTCGGTTTGCGCGCAGGTACTCTATACATCTGGAATGTTCGCTTTTCTGCACTCTCCGACGGTATGCAGCCAGCCGTCCATCCAGGCATCAAAGTCCTTGCGTGGTCTCTTCTGCAGAGATCGGTATTGCTCTACTAGTATCTATCCTCTTGCGATTGGCGGTGGTTGGCGCTAGTTGGCGTTTGAGCGCTATATGTTTGCCGAGACGTCGTTTTGATCTTCGATTAGGAAGTAGTGTCGGAGTGCAACTGTACGAGAGATCTCTGGGTTCATTGTAACTAGACATTTGCGCCGGGTCTTGTATTCTGTAATGTTGTGTTTCCATTGGCTATAGTCAGCGTTCTAGTCAGATAGGCTCCTTGTGTCCATATCTGATGGGTTGGTTGCGCCGGATTGGCAGTTGGTTTAACTGGTTCGTCTTCTAGTAATAGCTGCTGCGCGATTAGTTTTTGGAGGTTAATCCATTTGTCCCAGTCGTTAGTCATATTAGGTCCATAACTGCAAACAATTCTCCTCGCTGGAATACGCATCGCTCACTTTCTCGAACCATTGCCCGGTACTCAGGCTGCATTTTATTCATATGTGCACCGCACACTATACTTTTCTGATTGCAGTGTCCATGAAGGATTGCGTGCCCCCGATGTATTTATTTTCAAGGAAACTATCACGTGATACTATAGAGCATGCATCCTCTTGGCAGGGTTGAATCCTGCACACATTCCGTCGCGTTGCTCGGGATTTATTATTGTAAGGCATATATACTATTCCGCACGCGAATCAACTGTGGATTGATTATTAGTACCTTTTTGGTTGTGACGACGGAGTCGTGCGGAGCCCCGTCCTTACAATTATGTCAGGATTTACCCGCCCCCAAAGCCTCCATCCACAGTACAGGGAACATCAACGCGGAGCTAGCGACTTTATCCCATCTACCCAGATCACCACGAATTAACCAACGACAATATAAGAAGGAGGCGATCAAAACTATTCTCAACTTCATTGGTGCCCGGTTTCTTGAATAACTGCCGGCCTCTGAGCACTCACCCATGGCTGTCTCCATCAATTTAATATATTACTAACGAATTGGTTTTGTTATGGCATATTGTACACACTGCCGAGAAATGAAAAGCTCCCTTCAGTTCGAAGGGCTGTTAATTTATCGGGGAGTTGCTGCTGATCAGAGTGAGATATATACAGTATATTGATACCCGGAACGACGACGGGAGCATATTGGCCTCCTCCCCAAAAGCAAACAAGCTATTCTAGGAACTTGGACTGGATTTACAGTAAATCTGCAGGTGTATAAAAGGCCACCCCGCTGTCTCTTGGCTAACTAACAATCCGCATTTACGCCCCGTACGTTCAACGTTGAAAGTGAATCGAATACATTGCCATCAATTGAAAGTAAGAAGGAAAATCGAAACGAACAATCGAGATGCTGGCGACATCTATCCTCATGCTCGCGCTCGCCGCGACAGGCCTGGCTCAGGTTCCTGAAGGCTACCGCAAGGTCTACGTCACTTCGATGGTGGACGCGAAATATGTTATGGTACCGAAAGCACCTCCAAAGGCCGGAAGCACTATGGTCGTGTTAGTCTCGCCGCCCTCCCCACACTGCACGCTTTATTTGAATAGAAAACGCTAACCCCGACTATTTTGCATTTATAGGCAAACACTTAACAACAAGCCTGAGCAACAGTGGTATCTCAAAGAGGGCAACACGACGATCATTCTGGCAAACACTACACTGTGTCTAGACGCTGGGGCTAAAAGTACGCATCTCGCACCACAAACCTTACGAGAAGTTGTCAATAGCGGAGTCTGATGATATTCGAATAGGCAACTGGAAAGACATGGGCGCCCTCTCCCTAAAAGAGTGCGCCGCTGCCGAGCCCGGCCAGCAGTGGAACGTCATGGCCGACGGACGAATTGCGCTGACAGCTTCCTCGCCGCGTAAGCTACCTTCTCCCTTCTTCTCTCCTCCCCCTATCATCCTCTACCGCACTTTACTATAGTGGGAATATCCCAGAGTAATGAGTTCTTCGGCTGATATCCAATGCAGAAGAATGCATCGATCTCCAGTACATGAAAGCCACGGCCAACAATCCCGTTGGTTTGTATAGTTGCGCGGGACTGGGAAATACAGGTGCGAAGGATAAGGGGATTAACTGGCCGCTTGTGAATGCTACCACTTGAAGGAAAATCCTTAGGGGAGGATACTGTACATACAGAGAAAGATAGTGATGAGGAAGGATTGAATGAGAGCTAAGACCTAAGCGTGCTTGGGCTTGCAAGAAAACGGACTGCGAAGTCGAATTTGCAGTGTGTGTGCCAGAGCTGTAGGCGTGAAGTTGAAGAGTAGAGTGATGCGCCAAATGCCAAGATCATCTGCTGAGAGTGCCATTGTGGCGGCGGGTTCTTTGGTGTTCCTGATCGGGCTTCTGTAAAGTCGATCATGGCAGCTGAAGCGGTGTAGAACGGCCGACGACTTAGTGGTAAGTGTGAGCCAGTACGCCTACGTTGTTACACGTCACTATCACTAACAACGCCTTTTTCTACCCAACCCATCTAACCCACTCGAGCATTAGCCAAATGTAAACACGTGATATCTCTACTTCACGAATTATTCGAGACCGACTGCTGGTGGTAGAGAACTAGGTATCCACGCCTAAGGAACTTATATACAGAAATACAAATTCGATCGCTGTGGAGTCCTACCCCAGCGCCCTAGCATCGAAAGCACTAGACCAAATAAAGAGCTAGAGATAGTATGTAAGGAAGATCTTCAGTCAGTCATTTCATGTCCAACGTCTGTCCCGAGAATGTGATACTTCAGCCATTATCAATTAAGACACAAATTTAGGATGTTGATGGTGAACTCTGAATTCTAGGGGTTCAACAATTGAATGAAATTGTGGCGTGCTCTCGGTCTCCGTATCTTGGTTGCGATCTCCCTTGAGGGCGGCCCCACCTTCCCTCTCAGGCATAGATGGCTCTCACTCCGCCTCCTAATCTCCACTTCACACTCGTCGCGACAATCTCTCTTAACCTCATCTCATCGTTCATGCTGTGTAGCTAGCCAGCACTTCATGTCTCAATTGTTCGGTTGAACAAATTACCAACAGTCAGGTCTCGTGCTTCCGTCCTTGCCGGCTGGTTGGCTGCACTTCAATTCGATTCCCTCAATCCCGTGTCCGTGGAACACATCCTACTAACGCATGTAGCGTGGGCTCGCCGTTCTAACTTCCGCGGTCTACAGTCTAACACGCACCTCGACCGCCGACTCCTTGCGTATGTTGTGACAAGTGACACGATGGATTCTTTGCAGTTACTCCACGTGCTCCTGTGGCGGGGATGTTGCGGAACAAATATTTCCCTAGGACAAACATCGCAACTATCGAAAGCCCCAGTGGCAATTTACATCTGGTCACATGCGTGGGCATACCTAACTGCGCTGAACATCGTGATCTTCTACACCACTGCACGCAATGATAACCTGCCCGGATTTTTACTAACATTGCACACTCAAGGGATTTACAGATTTGTATTAAAGTGCTCTATTTCTCCATACGCTAAGAGATGAAAGTGGCAATACTTTTCCCATCCAGTTCGCTGCGTGCGTTGCGGTATGCATCAATGGACGCCGGGTCGCTCGCAGTGTAAGTAATCTATGTCAACTAGACACTCGCCGGGTTCACGTTCGCTCCGCAATTCGCAATTCTCAGGTCCGATCGAGAGCTGCAATTCTACAGAGAATATGAAACTCCAGCGACGGCCCTACTACTCCTTCGCTCCCTCAAGATAAGTAAGGCATAGCAGGCAGTGGACGCGGCGGACAGACAGATCGAGCCCATACAGATGGAGTATCCTTTCTTGTAATACGGGGCATCGGCAGCGAGGAAGGTGAATGTCGCGAGAATTCCTCCCGTGTTTCCGAAGCTGATCATCCATGCAGTACCAATGCTTCGCTCAAGATGGCCATGAAGATTCATGACATACCAGCAAACAATAGCAATACCGGCGATGAAAGCTCCCATGGCAACGAGGCAGAGTGCGCCGAACTGGACGGAGAAGTGATGGTGTACGTTCATGAGTATACCAAGACCAACGATTGCGAGAGCGAGTCCGAACGCCACGAATGGAAAGCGCATCCCAATCTTGTCCGATAGGTAGGCAACGATAATGCATCCAACCAATGCTGCAGCGAATGGGATGACAGATCGCAGTTGCGTCTGCACAACCGAGTAGCCGAGCGTTTTAATAATGGTTGGTGCAAAGTAGGAGTAAGCTGTCTCTGTTAGTACCGTCCCACAACGTTAGTGCTGATGCGTCCTCACCGTAGATTGGAACCACGATGCCCCAATACATGAAAGCACCCAGGATTCTTTTCAGGTCGGTGAAGAACCAACCAATGTCTTTCATGTCAATGGGCCGATGCGGTGTCTTGTCGTGGCCTGTCCTGTGCCTCACAAACTCCCGCTCTTCCTCGGTCAACCATTTAGCCTGATCTGGGAAGTCGGTGATGAAGAAGAAGGAGCACACTCCAATAACTATTGTGGCGATGCCTTCAAGAATGAAGATCCATCTCCAGTTCTTATAACCCGCGACACCGTTCATGTTAGCGATTGCGCTCGCTAAAAGACCGCCAAATGCACCAGCGATCAGGACTGAACACCAAAAAAATGTGAAACGCTTCTGGGATTCTTCCCGCTTGTACCAGAAGCTGATCAGGTAAAAACCTAGTTCATAGGTTAGGCCTGATTCTCAACGCTGTTTGCGGAATGACTCACTTCCGGGGAAGATGCCAGCCTCGGCAAGTCCCAGTATGAATCGCGTCCCGAGAATGCCACTGAAGTTCTTCACTATGGGTTGGTTAGAACATACTACACAGCGGCGACTCTCCTACACGTACCGAATCCTTGGCCCAACATGGCAATGCCGAAGACACAGGTGCAAGCGGACACTAGACACTGTCAGATCTTTAAAGCCAAGCAGTATGCTCATCAAGAGGACATACACCAGACATGAGGAGTGAGTTTCTTCATCGCAATGTTAGAGGGAATCTCGAAGAGAACATATGGAATGAAGAACATGGTTAGAGCAATGTTTGGCTGGTCTTTGGTTAGGTGAAGATCCTTCGGCAAGCCCATGGTCAAGGCATTGGAGATGTTGACTCTGATGTAGTGAGCACTTGCTTCGCGGGCTTTAGGATGAATCATACCGGTCTAAGAAGGCAGCTAGGTAGACGATGAAGAGGACGGGCAGCAGCCGCAAGTCAATCTTCCTCACTAAGGCAGCTTCATCGATGCCACGAAAGCTCGCCGACGAGCCATCGAGTTCATCCTCAAGGAAACGCTGCGTATGGCCGTTCTCACCGGCGAGAGAGGTCTTGACTACAAGTGGAGAAATCTGACGTTAGCAGCGTTTTCAAGCTCGCAGCATGCGAGCTGTACGTACCTTCACCTTTCTTCTCTTCCATCGGGACAATTGTAGACAGTCGCACGAGGTCAACACAGCTGAATTTACCCAGATGCTACTCCGTCCAACACGTGTTCTATATGAAAACGTGGGTGCGCAGGAGTTTTAAGGAACAGAGGAGCTGCACCAGAGTTGAATGGGAGGATCAAGGGTAGAAGAGGACAGTCCGGAAAGGGTCGGCAGCGTTACAGTGCGGCACAGCGCACGATCAGTGTAACCGTTGGCACCTTCCACGATTCGGCTCCCTCCTTCTCACCGCAAAAACACGAAGGATTCTGCAGACGCGACCGGAGCAGTGGTGTGAGACACGAGGGCGAGTGAGAGTGACTGGATACTGTGTTTAACCATGCCCTGCATCCCAATCTAGCGGCAGAATGGCGATGCAGGATCTGTGGCACGGCCCGAACAGAATACGGGCTGTGTTTGACTCTCATACGCCGTCGCTCGACGCCCACATCGCACGGTGGCGCCGTTTCGCGCTGCTTGGGCCTCGTCGCGCCCATTGGTGGGATGCAATCGTCTCGAATATAAGTCCGATGCTTGCTCCTCCTCGATTCGGTACGGAACAGGCCTCCCAGCACAGACTTCGGTGCGTTTTACTGCAGATTCCTGCATGCATGGCAACTTCCATCACGCAATATTGTAAGATTGTCAGTTCCCTTCGCCTTCTCGAACCGCCACATAGGTTCGCCCAGGGATCCTGTCTATTCTCGGACATCGAAGGACCAGTTCAGGCACCATCCATCGCGAGAATGTCATGCTGAGTTGATACCAGGCTTATAGTGCGCTGCAGGCCAATGGCAGCCCGGCAACGCCCTGGGGGCCGTGTCAATTCATACGCATCTTAAACTAGGAGGCACGTCCGGCGTAAGTCGGTAGTCGCCCCTCTTGCTGTATCGATCTCGTGCCTCCACGCCGCTACGCTATCTTCCCGTATGGAGCATCGTGATCTTCATCATGGCGACTAGCACCATAGCTGTGCCTAAGCCGGCGATGACGCCGCCGCCAGGCCAAGAGTACGATCCAACTGACCCTCCGAATGCTCTATGGAGGTTCAACGTCGCCGCGCAGGCTGTCTGCATGACAGTGGCGACTATCCTGTTCTTCATGAGATGTTTTATACGGTTGGGACTGAGTCGCATGCCAAGGCAATGGATTCTCGAGGACTGTAAGTACAGTGGTTGGTTAAGAAAGGCGACAGTTACTAATTTCACGCAGGGATGGTAACGTTGTCATTCGTATGCTTCATCAACTGTCGCGATAATCGAAAGAGTCTAACAATGACTAGATCGGGCTTGCCTGCTACAGTGCGCTCATCACCTATATCATGGACTCCGATGGCGGTGTTCATCAGTGGAACCTCCTCAAACCTACGATAACCAAGATCCTCTACGTGAGCCGTCCATGAGTCGCTCTATTACATTCGCTCATTCTCAGCAGTATTTTTACATCGAATCAATCATCTACGGGCCAATCATTTTCTGCACCAAACTCGCCATCCTACTTATGTATCTACGCCTCCTCATTCCGTCCCGCTGGTCTCCTCTATGGACATCCGTGCACGTGTTCATTGCGATCTGTGCCGCATTCTATACGGGCCTCACTCTGGTCAAGATATTTCAGTGTAATCCTATTCCGAGAACCTGGGACAAGAGTATCCACGGGAAGTGCATTAACACGCCTGTTCTCCTTCAAGTCAGTGGGCTCTTTAATACAATTACTGATGCCCTCATTCTGCTGGTGCCTGTCAGGGCAGTTTGGGATTTAAAAATGACGTGGAAGAAGAAAGTGGCTGTTTGCGCCGTCTTTGGTATTGGTTGCATGTGAGCATGTCCCATATCCTTATTCTCCCAGAAATAGCAAAGACTAACGCGAATCAGAGCGCCTGTATTCAGCGCTATCGGCTTTACATATCGTGTTAGGGCCGCAAAGAGCGCCGATCTGACCTACAATAACCCTCTCATGCTTCTGTGGGCGTAAGGCATCCCCTAACATTTATCTATTCTTAAGCTACCCCTAACAGTACACAGTACCGCCGAGATAACAACAGGTATAATATGCGCCTGCCTCCCAACTCTTCCAACTCTTTTCCGCCGCCGCCGCCAAAACACCACTTTAACTAGCTCACACTCCCAATCCACACCACACAGCGTAACGCGCTCCTACCAGCGCAACAAAACCTTTGAATACGGCGAGTACCTCGAGCTCGACGAAACCCCCGGCAGTAGCAGCCCGAATCGAGAAGAAGTCGTCACTACAGTTAAAGGCGGCGCAAGTCCTGCGGCCAGCCTGAATATGAACGATGGTTGGGGCACTGCGAGCTCCGAACGCTTAACTGAGGAAGAAGAAAGGAGAAACGGGGCGCATGGCAATAGTAGGGGCATTGTGAGGACTGTGAGGATTGAGCAAACAGGGTCGGTTTGATGGATGGATCGTAATCTTGACCAGCATATGCCTGCCGTTGTATGTATATATAAAACACCTGGGATATCTAGGCGACATCTAAACTGTAGATAGTTCTGGACGATTGGAAACAATTAGATACCTATTTCATCATTAGTACTCTGTTGCTGTCGTTGTCGCTTTCGCTGTCACCTTCCTACCACAGCCATTTGTACTCACATGTGCTACATGCAATGTTTCAATCCTATTCACTTCGCCGACCTAATTTAACCCCCTTAATCACGAATGAACTATCTCTCCCTGCGCTGCGGCTGCATCGATTGCAATCGGCCCAAATCACTGGAACACCGAGCCGCAATGCCGGTACTTACCACCCACTTCTTCCGCACCACAGCCCTGTACAGCGTTGCAACCCCGACCTCGGCTTCAGCCCCGGCCTGCCCCGGTATCTGCCGCGCGTCGGACACCGAAGGATTCGCAGGATTCGAAGTGGTCTGAATGTAATTTGATGAAATGCAGACCCCTGCCAGAGTTTGTGTGAGGTTTGAGGGTTTGAAGGAAATGGGGGAATTGGGGAAATAGGCGCGGTTCGTATATGCGGGGATGCTAGTACAGTCAACTCTCGATGGCGCGATGCGCGATATAACAATAATTTGATATAGCGATATTGTTTCAGCTCCTGAATTAATTTCCCACTAGAAATTTGCGATTCGCGATACTTACTATATCATAGGCTTTTTAATTAAATATTGTTATATTAAGAAAAGAAAATGCTATGTATAGCAATTACTAATAAGCAGCAGCGTGCTCTGCAACAATAGTATTAACATTAAGGGCCCTCTTAGAGGCAGATTAACATAATTAACTAGTTTAAGCAAAAATACAGCTATTAAATCTATTAGTTAATAGTATCTAAGTCCCTCTTAAAGTAATATAGCTACCTTAACAGTGCTAATAGCTCTGCTACTAACCACTCATGTTAATAGTAGGCACAGTGGCCTATCCTAGAAGCTATCCTCTTTAACTAGCAGCAGCACCTTAAAAGCTCTAGCAGCGATGTCTTTAGCAATATCCTTATTAAGAAAGCAAAGGCTATCTAGCCGCAGATACCTAATTACGTCAACCTCCCTATACTAGAGTTTAGCGCAGGCTAGCTTACTAACTTTAAGCGACATTATAATATTAAGCTTTATAAGCATTACAGCAAGGCTGCTTTAGTGCCAGCCTAAGCTAAGCAAGAGATAAGGGCTATTAGAACACTGTGTAGAGAGTACGCAGAGAAGGATATATTTAATATAGACAAGACAGGCCTATATTAGCAGTAGGCGCTGTTATTAGGCCTCTTAACTAGAGCTTAGCCTAGTAGGAAGAAGAACAAGAGCTAGATATTAATTATATGCTGCTATAACTTTACTAGTAGCTAGCGCTTTACTCTCTAGGCTATTAGAAAGGCAGCTAAGCCACATGCCCTACATCACGTTAACCTTAAGGCTCTAGATGTCTAATAGTTATTAAATCTAAAGGCGTAGATAAACTATATAGTTATAAAGGACTAGCTACAGGCCTTCTATTAGTAGATTAGGACTAGGACTATTCTACTGCTTATAGACAACTATAGCGCTTATATATTAGAGGTTAATCTAATGCTACCTCTACTAAATATCTAGATTTAATAGCTACTAGCAAATTCTACTAGTATCTATTAGCTACTTAATTAAGGCGTAATTAGTTAATTTAAGCGCTGCTATAAAAAGCAGTAGATACGCTATATAGTCTTTAGCTACAAGCAAGGCGCTAATCTAGCTACTAAAGTTAACCTCTACTATGCCCTACGCTAGGCCTTTTAAGCCTAGTATAACAACCTTTGTAGTAATACAGTCTATTGCTGCTTCTGCTAAGCTAGAATCTAGCCTACACAGGAACTAATCTGTCTACCTAATCTAGAGGAGCAGCCTTAGCAGGAGCTAGAGGAGCTATACAAACAGGTACAGCACGCTAGCAGGATCTAGGACGCTATAAGTCTTAAGAACTTTCTTAATTCTATTAATAAAAACAATAAGCCTAATTAATCTAACTTTAATATAGCAGACGCTATTACAAGGTACAGCTAGCTGCTAGCTATAGTTAAAGAGAAATTAGAAGATAAAAAGGCTCCTGTACAGATACCTACCCCTGCTAAGGCAGAGCAGGCTCTTACGTTACTACTCTTATATTAAGAACATACAGATAGGACAACTCCTTAGCAGATAAAGACTCTATAGTAGCTGTATACTAAAGCAAAGGCTTAGAAATCTAAGCAGGCTGTCTAGGGCACCCTAGATAGTTAGCTTATGTAACTATTTTGCTATAACAATATTTCAATATAACAATATAATCCTAGCTCCCCGTTTGTATCGCGCCATCGAGAGTTGACTGTAAAGGGAAGTATTGAGGGCGAATTTTGGCGGGAGAGATGTGGTTCGGGTCCGAGCGATATCGGTGCGAAGGTGTGATTGGTGTGATTGTTGAGTGAGGGAAGATAATGTGACGTTGGATGAAGTACCAGGTGAGTAGAAAAGGGCACGTGAAAGACACGTGAATGGGGTGGATTTTAGCGGGACCTCGGGATAGCGGGTGGTTGTTGGTGGTGGTTTGGCGAGTAGCGTACGAGGTTGAACAGGTATTGCGATGTTCACCGTCCGCCCACCATCAGTCTTTCCATCGCTACGCTAAAATCAACGCTGTCATTTCCATCTTTACACTCGAGAAATTAAACAATTGATAATTGCTAAACACCTTGTTTGATCCAATCATGTGTTAATGTGCTATCGCAGAATTTGATGCCTCAAGCTCTGCAATTCGGCTGGCCGCATACACTTCTCCAAAACAAATTTCGCGGCTTCCAATACTCAAAACATTGAATAGTTTCGACGGGCTTGGTAACAAGCACATGCAAGCTTGCAGGTGACGCGATCGCATCTTTGAATCTGTGGCACGCGCTGTCGGTCGCACAACAGCACAATGATTCCCGGGGAGACTCTCACTCGGAGACTCTCTACTGCAAAAGCGTTTCCGACAAAAGAGCCTTCGAGCAGCTTCCTCAACACCATATCGCTAGCGTTAATAAATATTAGCACAACTGAGGGCATTGCAAAATCCCACGTCGCCCACACCACTCACAAGATACAACGCGACTTATTTCACCCCTTCCATCTTGCAAATTCTGAGTTTAGGACCTCACCATACAATCGCGTATCTCACTGCCTTGTCCAATTCTCGAAGATCAACGTGATGCGACACCTTCTCGGGCTCCCGCCGTTTAGAGCTCCAGACGTCCTCAACAACGCTATATTTGTGTGAGCCAATACGGAATGGTGAGAGCGAGAGCCAAACCCACCATCGAGCTTATAATCGTGCACCTCAGCGCGTTAGGCATGCTTGCAACGACTCTCAGAGCCCATTAGGAGAGCATCTTGACCGAGATACAGGTTTCTCATGCTCGGATTATGCTGTACGCTCATCTGACCAATGGATTCCAAGGCTGCAGCAACCCTGAGCAATTCGATTTTGTCACAACTCTGCTTGCCACACTGTCATAGCTAGGCTGTCATCGAGAATACTATATTAGTTGGAAAAATACATCCTCCACTGACTTGGGGTCGTTTTAAGTATTGTACCAGATACGGTCGGCAGAGTGATATAAGACTGGAGTGTTTTTGATATGCCACTTGCCAAGCCTGCAAAATTCATTAGAATGTGCGGAACCATTCAAGGACGTATAAGACAGTGAAGTGGTTGCGGCGGGGGAGGGGCAGTGGGACAAGTTTGAGAGGAGGGATGGGTATATGTGTTGAGAAATAAGTAGAATAGTTTTCATACAGAGTTAGTCGGGTGGTCAAGCTACAGATGAGATATGGGTTAGGTGAATGGGAATAGTGTACTATTGATCACAATATGTTCAAACATGTAATAGTTCTATTTAGGAAAGTCAATAGATATATAAGACTGTTGCAAAGTCCCCAAACCTCAATCCTTCAATACTGAATCTCTCTTGATTGACAGCATGAGTACTGCCATAAGTAAAGACATATTACCGAGCTTCGCTGTACCCACCTTACACCTCCTCCATCCACGTCCAACGGTTTTCAAGTTCTTCATGGTCCAAGTCTTCCTGCTGAAATATCTCTTGCATATGCGTCCGTGGAATTCGGGCATGAAATTTAAACCCAGTCTCGTGCTTGCAACCCAGCTGAATACTCTCGTACATGGGAGGGGGAGAGCCGGGAAAGTGTGCCCCCATTAGGCGCAAACCAACGCGTAGCTCTGCCATACGTAGGACGGGTGCGCTCCCGATGAACAAGAATATGGCCGAACCTGAGGCTTTAAATTTACCAATAGCAATCGGGATAAGGGGTTCATTGAGCCCTGGGGACTTCTCAAGCTCTGTAGTATTTGAAATGTGTAATGGATAGTTGCACAAATTTCATAAACCGTGGCCGCTTTTAGTAGGTGCTTATATGCCTCGGGTGAGATAGGACCTAGTGATTTGGGAAGGGTGAGCTCGTATTCGGGGAGGGACATCAAGGGTTCCAAGACAGAACCTGAATCCAAGATATCGACCATTATCTTGGGGGCTTATCTTAACGTTGCCGATAGCTTGGTTTTCATGGGAAATAACTCTGAATATAAGCGGAAATATGCGTAACTGCAAGGCCAACCACAAGTCACTGAGAGAGATCCTTCATGAGGTTGAAGAGCGAGAAGAAAGAAAGAAACTAGGCCTGATGAACCTCTGCCGAAGCTCCAATTCCACAGGCCACTTTTTTATTTAACCCAACCATTTACGGAAATCTTAATATTGCAGTGCAATACGAAGCATTGAGAAAGAGGAACGGCGGGGACCGTTTTGGCCATCTTCCCCAACCTCTCCCGCGGTCAGCTTGAAGATGTGATGGCTAGGTTGAAGCGGAGGATCTAACTAAAAATGGTAGCACGAATATTAAAGCGGGTTCTCATGAAGACCAAGGCGCGGATAAATCGAAGGTTCACCAAATAAAGCTACCAGCATCGAGACCCATTCGCGAAGACTCCAAAAGCCACCCAAATTTTCACTAGCCCATCAGAGCCATTAAACAAAGAAATCCCCTCTTGAGCGACTATATTTGCATGCCCAGCTCCCTAGAAATTGCTGTCGGCTCCAGGAAATGAGTTCAGAGAGCTAAAAGATGGAGTTCTAAGAAATGGGAAGAACGTTTCCACTAAAAAGAAGAGGCAACAAGGGATTTCTACGTCCAAGAATTGGTAACTTACTTGGCACTATCGCTCTGTTGGCTTGTGCTACGATGTCTGGCGTGAATATCCTTGCCTAGGTTGTTCGCGCTTAGCATATTTCAATATCAGTCGAGGTTATTGAGAACAATGCTCCTTTCAAATTTGGAGACACACTCGAAGCTTCGAGCCCGAGCCCTTGCGAGCATAAGTAGATGTATTCTTTGCATATTGCGGTGAGGTGCCCAGGTAGGAAAATTGGCGCCTTTGAGAAACCGTTTTTTGAGAGTGTCTGTAAGAACTGAAGCCCAATAGCAGACAATATAAATAACTGAACGTGGGTTTAATTTGGTTGGGAGATGAGGTTCTGTTCAAGTGGAGAACATCCTAATAATTCAGATATGGGTTCGCCTAAATCCCTCTCGTGTTTGCCCACTGCCGTGGTCCATGCTCTTTCAACGATTTGGTCACCAGCAGTTATTCTTCTTTTGAGACCTGTCCGGCAAATCATGCACCAGCCGCTTTCTTACCAATTTCACATTGTGAAAGCTCGACGTTCTGCTCATGAGATATATCTCCAGTCCAACACACCACAAAAGCGCCACTCTATTTTTGCCTTCTCCAGGTTCGCTTTCGAACAATACGAGCCATACGAAGCCATCTTAATCCCTGCATTCTTCAATGAATAGTTTGACTCTATCGTCCTCTTCCACCTGATGCACATCATGTTCTTCATAAAATTCGAGGATAATTTCCTTCAGATGGCCCTCTCAAACGGAGGGTTTTTTAGATAAGCGGGTTTAGAATTAAGAGTCGATTTAGGATAAGATGAAGATTTGTATTCCCGCCCTTGCTCTGGTAAGAAAGTTATCGTTTAGCAAAACAAGTCGAAACGCTCACCAATAACACGTCAAATCGTTCTTGCGGAGCTTTTATCGTAAGACTCGTTCAATGTTCTAAAGTCGTTCAACTATCATAATCACGTGACCGTAGGATGGCGGCAAAGTTCGATCATGCCCTCGAAACTCCCCCCTCCAGACAACTGCATTTTAGTATAGAAAAAGAATTTTTTCTCGAAAATAGGTTCCCGCTCAAGACTCCACAGCAGCATTCCGCACAACGTTGTCGCACATCCTACGGCAGACAGTTGATCTCGATCAGCCGGAACAAGGTTTATCGCCTTAGCATGTTCAATTCCCCCGCTTGGCTATCAGAAAAAAACGTTGCTTAGGATCTAAATGAGGCACAAGATTCTTAGCTCGCCCGTCCCGGTTTCCCAGAGTGGAGAATGTGGGGAGGCCATCGGGTACGTTTTACTGGATTAATCAACTTCGATGATCCTAGAACCAACAAGACTCTTGAGCACAATATCGAAAATTCGAAGTAAGAAATACATATGAGGAGTGGGGCAAAGACATACCTGAGTGGCGAGCGGGCATTTTGCGTTTGGAACTTATATAGCGGCAGTCTTCCTTAGAGCGGTACCTAAGGGTTCGCACTGATACGCAGTCTCAAATTTCGACTACGCAAAATTTCCAACATGCACCTCACAATTTTATTACCGGCGCTGCTCGCTCCATTAGGTGCGTTTGCAGCTCCCCACACCCTCGGCCATGCCGTCCTCCTCAGCCGCTCGACGAAACCCAAGCCCTGCTAGACCATCGTTCCAGCCCCAAATGAAACAGAAACTAAGGCACGATTCGATAAGTTTGTTGACGCTTTTATCTACCAGAAGACTATCGCCGCGGCGTTTGGATCTATTGATAAGAATTACATCGTACGCCAGCCAGACATAACCCCACCTCAATCCGCACCATCAAATGCTAACAATATTATGTGACATCTAGAACCACAATCCGACGGCGAAAAAAGGGTTCGATTCCGCGTGGAATATTTTGAGTCCGATTTGGGCGAGTCAAAATGTCACACCGCTGCGGACATTGTTCAAGGGAAATCAAGGGTGGTTGAATTACGGATCTTGGGAGGCTGTGGATCGTTATGGGATAATGGGTGTATTGTGGAACATGTACGCTGACAAAGTTCTTGCAGTTTGAGTTTTTGCTGATGGTTTCCTGGTGGGATGCCGGGAGAAACTTCCGACCAATGCTGCATTTTGAGAAAGTGACTAGGCGGTGGCTCGAGGATAAAGGGTCTTGAGGAAATAGGCAGCGTTCCCAACCGTACGTAATACGTTTCAACTCGCCGTTTTTTAGGCTGTAACTTCTCAGTTTGTTAGTACGTTTTAACATAAAGGGAGAATTTAAATCTACTTACAGGGCGTAACTGTTACAGCTTACAATCCTCCTATGTTTTAACAGCTTGTGAGACGTTATAGCGTATACAGTCTACTAAGTCCCCTATTTTACTGTAAATATAACCCTGCTAGAGCTAGTTTTTCTGCAGTTAGAGAGCCTTAATTATTAAGCTAGAAAGCTTGTTTCTGTTGTAAGTAACAGTTTTTCTACCTCTAGAAAAAGACCTCTTACAATTGCAGCTTATAAAAGGGATAGATAAGAAGTTAAAGGCAATTTTATATAGTGTAGAGTAAGAGAGTTGTCTAACTTGTTCCTACTAAGTAAGAGAGTTAGTAAACAAAGGGCTGTTATTATTAGCTATAGTAACGTCTTTGCAGTAGCTGTTATAGTACTACTGCAACTCTGTTGTTTTCTGCTGCTTTTTATATAAGCAGCTGCTAGTAAGGAGGCTTATGTTAATAAAAAAAGTCCTCTTAAAGCTCTTATTATAATAGTTGCTACTAGGTAACTTGCGTCGCGTAGGCTTCTAGGTAACATTGTTGTTGTTAGCCTTAGCCTTAGCCTCTGCATTAATGTACTCTTAAAAAACAGCTTTTATTAAAGCCTTAGCTTTTTTATGCTATGTAGGGTGCTTTCTTTAGTAGTCCTTAAACTAAATAAGATAAAGTTAAAAGTTTAGAATTATTACTATGTAGTAATAAAATATAAGTAGCTTAATAATAAACTTCTTCTAGTATGTAAGCAACTTCTCTGTGCTAAATGCTACGCTAGATTTAAGGTAGCAATTGTCACTCTTACCCTTAAGTTTATCGCCCATACGTAGAAGCTTAGTATAGAGGTGTTACAGGTTAATAACAGACATCTAAAGAGAGCTATAGGAGCTGTTGCCCTTAAAGTGTTTTATTATAAAGTAAAAGACCTTAAGAAACTTATAAAAGTAATTAACCTCCTTCTATTTATTCTTAGTAATAACTTTAGTAAAAGCAGAGTTACTAGGGATAGTAGAGTTTACAGAGTTATTATTAGTGCTTCTCTACTTGCGTATAAACTTAGTAATAGTGTCCTTAAGCTTAAAACAGCAGAGGAGCATAAGATAAACGCTGTGCTAGCGTACACTGCTATCTTGTATAAGATTAAGCGTCCTAAAGCTCTAGAGAGGGTTGTTGTTGTTAAAAGCAGCCTAAAAAGTTATAAAAGCCTTCTATTATTTATGTAATGCTAGCACTGTGTTTATAAAATTGTAAAGTTTTCTAACAACTTTATAGCAGTAATAAAGGTTAAATTGTTCTTAAGAAGCTGCTTAGGCAAGCTTTGCTTTAAAAGCGCTTATTCCTTTGCTGTAGATAACTGCTTTTACTACTAGCTAGATTATATGGCTAGCGCAGCGTATACAGTGCTTAGAGGTAAGGGGCATATTAAGATGTTAGGTAAGGGCAGAGATAGTCTTATTATTATTATTTAACACATTATTAGCTACTAGATAATAAAATTTTAACATAATTTTAAAGTTATTAACAACTTTAATAATCTCTAGCGCTTAATTTACTCTAGTATAGTTGCTATACAGGTTGCAGAAGCTAATTAGGACATTATAGTGTTAGTAGTTAACATCTACACAGTATTGTTAGTTAGTGTTTAGTTTAATAGAGGATGCTAAGACGCTAAACTAATAAGCTAAAGTACACCTACTAATAAAGTGCAACACTACACCTAGAAAGAAGAGGTAGTTTAGAAAAGTCTATATATTAACGCTTAACATAATTTTGCTCTAGGCTATTCTTAGCATTATTTAAATCTCCTACTTCCGCCGCGTATATCCCTGCTGCACGTAGGACAAATATGTGGTGTTAGACACTAGGAGGGCGGCAAGAAGATTAGCTTTATTTTAGGTAATAATGCCCTAAAGTTCTGCTAATAATGCTATATAGAAGAAAATATTATAAAGTATTACCTAGTTAACAACTACTACTTATAAAGCTTTCTCCTGCTAAACACTATAAAAGATAATATATAACAAGCCTGTAACCTTATAAGCTACTTTAAATAGACTTAAGGGGATTCTTAGCCTATTAAGTAAGAAAGCGCCCTTACTTCCCCTACTAATGTCTATCTAGTGCTTCTTCCTAAGGTAGTAGATAATATAAGCGTAACTATTAACTTTCTTTACCCCTCTGTAATTACCCTTAGTGTGGCACCTCCTGCAGAGCTACAACTTTATCCTAGAGGCGTCTCTCTTGTTGTTATACACTAAATTAGCTTTATAAAGCTATATCTAGGATAACTAATAATTGCTATGTAATTAGCTCTTGTGCTTTACCTAGTATCTAAGCCTTTTTAGCCTTAACTTTCTGTTTCCTATCTAGACGTTGTCCTACTTAATAGCAAATAATACCCTGTTGTTAAGAGTAGAGTTGTCTAGGTACTCCTTTATAAGGGCTAAGAGACTATTAGATAGCGTGCTATTATAAGAGAAGACTAAGGACTCTAACAACAAGGACCTTAATTAGGCAAGTTAACAAGAACTAGCGTAATAAGTAACCCTAGTTTAGTAGGAAAAGCTAGCTTAAAAGGATCCTTAGAATAAGGCTGTACGCCTGCTACGCTAGAGGAACTAGGACATCTAGCTTATAATAGGTAAGTCTATAGGCAATTATAATTCTTAACTAAAATTATAGAATCCTACGCCTTAATCCCCTCCTCTGCTAGCTCCTTAATTGTTGTACAAACTGCAGAGTTTTTACCTAATTGTTACTCTAAAAACACAACTTTAAACACCCTCCTAACGCGTCCCTATAGCTGTCTAATAAGACCTCATATTACTAGGAAATATCGTCTCTCCGAGACGTATTACGGTCCGTAATGGGAGCTGGCTCCTACGTACGTTACGGCTCACACTCCTCCTACGTTTCAACGGCTCACGTGACTGCTACGTTCACGTATCTACGAGTCGTAGTACGTACGGTTGGGAACGCTGGAAATAGGAGAACGCTTGGGCTTGGGTCGAAATATATGGCAGACATCATAGAATGGTACGCTTCATATTGCGTTCAACGCAACGGCCTACGACGCTCATAGATCGAGGAAGTGCAACCAAAAATCCCTCCTCATGTTTTCAGTAAGCTCAATTCCATCCAAACTACATCCAACTCCACGCTCCAGTTAGCTATTAAGATTCAATCACATTGGACATATTCCACCACTAGAACATACTTGAAGAGCAACATCGATGTCGAATAGGGAAACTACAGCCGGAGAGCAGGATTCGATTTTGTGTGGCGAGAATTAGGACCTCTTCAAAATAGGTTGGCTGGGAGAATATGGTGGTACGGACGATTTGTTTGGGATGCGCTCTTTGGTTGATTGTACTTTTGGGTTGAAATTGAACGGATGAGGGACCTGAGAAATTGGGTTCACTATATATGTAACGACTAAGGTAGTAGTTCAAGACACAAATATTTAACCCCGACTCTAAGGCGAGAATGGCCTAGGATGGGGATATGGATGTAGCTCGAATAGTAGAAAGTACCTTACTAACAGACTCGTTAAGTAAGTCAGCAAATGAGATACTGTGAATACCGAGGGGAATGAGAGAGATGGTGGAAGATGATGGCATCAATCTCGGCGCTACTATTTCTTTACGTACAGATTTCCAATACGAGCAGCCTTAGAGCGAGAACACTGATGACATGCCTGCCGCGCTGCATCTCGAGGAAGAGCCGGCAGAGTTCTTGTGCTCTCTATTGATACAAATAATACTGTTATTGCATTGATATCTAGGACCACCTTCGCCTATTAGTTGTGGTCTTGGATTTGAGGTTCCCGGCGCTGCATTAGTTTACTGGGTACTACCGAGAGTCTGAACTACTGCTACATTGCCTAGGGTTATTGCATGAATTACAGGTATGCTCTCACCATCGCCATTGGTAGCCCAGTCATACCAGGTTGGTGGTACCCCTACATGTTTCTTCAGTATAGCAACATCCTAGGATATCTTCCCCTCGAACCCTTTCGTAGATGACCTATCTGAGGCTCACCCGGACACCGCCCAACATAGTTGGTGTCAGGACTATAGATAGAAGGGCATAGAGGCATGATGTCCTTGTGTTCTGATAAGGTGCTATCGGAATTGACCTTCTCACAGCAGGGGTGAATGGGTGGAACGGGGAAAGGACGTGAAGGGCCCAGAGAAATGATGTCTGGCGGCAGGTTGCAATCACTAATACCGTAGGTTACGTTTGTGCAAAAGCTATTATCTGCGCAGGCTGAGCGACACATGGTCATGTTCCATCCCAACTCGTGGTGCTCCAACTCTTTCAGCCACAGCAAATGCCCAGCCATGCCATGTGCTTTCTCAGAGGGGATGTACACAATGAGGTATCTTGTACACACACATTCCAGCTAATGGGAAACCAGCATCATGTCGTTCAGTCGAGTCAGTAATGACCGGAAGTCTGCTAGGAAAGTATTGATTCTATTCCAAGATAAAATTGCACTTAAAGGCTGATACTCGCACCACCGGTCAACCTAGCCTGATAAGCTTATCATACTTCAACCCGAAGCCTTATACGTCACTTAAGCTATAGATGCTGTGTGCTACAAAATGAAGCTAAAATCTATCCGTAAGCCTGCTGGAGATCGGAAGACTCTTGTATTAATTTGGAGCCTCTAACGCAGCCGTATTATGTAGAGATACAGACACTAGTAGATAGTGGCTTGGCCTGGCTACAGTATCAAGGCTTGTGCACTCTACACTGAACTGGACTGCAAGCGAGGAATACCCACACTGGATCGTTGTTCGACGGCAAGCGACGAAGAATGGGATAACTTCAGGCCTCCAACTGTTATGTATGTTCCCTTCCAACATGGAGTGTTGTCTGACCTTCTGCTTCCCCTCTACGCACCACGTGCTAACCCAGGATAGTGGGACGGGACTATGGACATTCTGAGGACGGTAGGCTACAGGAATGGGCAGTCTTCAGGGGTCTGTGTCGATGATTGCGACTGTGTTTGTGATGGCTTGAAGCTGAACTGTCATAGCAATGAGAATGTTCCACCTATATGCACGGAATGGGGGTTGAAAGCTTGCAGAGCCCAGTTTGATTGATCACTACGTAAAATCTAGTACAGGGGCACGTTAATCATTTAAATTGCTGGGTTTTCTGCGTATCTATCGGGATCCAAGTGTTCTATCGAGTCTTTTCTGTACTTTACATTACGTACTTTATCACAATCCTTTCTCACTTTTTTGTCATATCTGGGCTCTTTCAATCGTGACAATTTCTTCGATCATTGTGCTATGGCTAGTTCCAAAAGAAAGAACTGATCTTCAGACAAATTTGCGGCCGGTATCCTGTAACACAGAGATATCTCTGACGGTTCCTGCGATAATATCAGCATAGCTACTCCAGAGACCAGGGAGTGTCAGCGGCGAAGAAACCCAACAACCCTGGTCAGGGCTTCCAACGAGGCGTAGTACTGTACGATTGGGCGATTTTAAGGCCTGTACAGGTGAGATTTTGTGTACGTTCGTACAACAGGGAGGAGGAGAGGTAGGTGTACGTATTGTAACTGTTACAGCTCACGTGATCTATACAAGTAGTACAATTTAATTAGTGTACGCTGTACTCTAGTTAAAACAGCTAAGACTATAGGTCTCTAGAGATGCAAGATTAAGGTCTAATTAACTATAAAATAACTAGTTCTCCCTAGTAACAAGAGTAGATAGGACTAGATAAGGCCTGTAAGGCGGCAAAAGGCGTGGATACATAACTCTGCAATAGAAAATAGTCTGTAATAGGCATTTTTGAGACGACAGACTGCAGATAGATAGATTAAAACCCTTAGAAAGAGATTTAAGCGTCTGCAGGCCTCCTGCTCGCCAGAGCTCTCCTACCCCTCCAGAACCCCTATATAAACTTCCTAAAAGGGTAATACGATCTGTACTACGTACCGTACCTAGGGCATCATTAAACGTACAGTACAGCTCACGAACTCGGTACGTTTGTACTGAACACGTGACCGTTATAGTTCACTTTGTACGGACCGTAGTACGGCCCGTTGGAAGCCCTGACCCTGGTTACCACCACGAGATTGCCGAGGACTCACCCGAGCTAAGGCCTTCCTACGATAGTACGTCAGGTTCTCTCGAATTTGTTATTTTCTAGTTAACATGATAATAGAAGCTCAATTGACCAGGAGGAGCACTTCAAATGCAGCTGTCTGTTGCTAGTCGCGAACTTTCGCTACAAATGGCACCATGTCTTCGAGGCGCTTCTTAGGTCAACTGCCCTACAAGTGTTGGCTCTTTCCAGGAGAGAAGCAAGCCACCCTGTCCGTGCCTACATCCAAGTATCTTCCGCCGGCAACGTTGCCTATTCAAATCTTTATTTTGAGGTAGGCCTGAGCCCTTATATTCATATCACCACAAATCTGAATACATTACCTATGGAACAGCCCTTTTAGCGCCATTCTATTTCTTTCTGCGACCACATCTTACTATGCTGTATCGAGTCTAGGTGGGCCTATCAATAGCCGAGGCTAAAAGGCTTGAGCTTTCGGAGTGAATTAAGGAAAATGTTACAATTAAGTAATTAGTCGACGGAGGGGTCTCAAACATGCTAAATCGATTCAGAAGTTACAACGTTTAAACGTGGTTTCACAGCAAATTAGCTAGGAAGAGTACGCGCAGACCCTCTCCGCACTCGCTAATTATAGGTTCCTAATGATCATTCGCCCCATGCGGATAATTTTACACCTTCAGTCATTGAGCGCGAAAAGCTACATCGGGCGTAAAAGTCACCTGGCCTGCCGCGCATTGAATCGGTCGGATTTGTTGGACATAAACCACGCCTAAACATCGGATGGGATCGATACACGCTAAAGAAAATGTTTCAGGTGAGGACCGAAGTCGGAAGTGATTCAGCCCCATCCTCGAGGATGCTAGATTCACAGCCACCATGTGTAACCATGTCCTTGCTTTCTTGTTCTTGTAACCCCAAGTCTCACCAGTTCTACAGCTTTGCTTCTCAAGCCTCATTACCGTCCAACTGACATTAATCAACCTTTCTCCGGTTCACGTCAGCTTCGATCATACCAGCCTCGTTGTGAGATGCAGCTTCAGAAGATCGCACTGTTCGGACTAATCAGCTTCAGCACCAAAGCTTGTGGGAGTAAGTGAAATTCTCTAGAAGACAACGTGACGAAAGTTCAAACTAACCTCAGGTAGGTCAAGTTGCGATCAAAGACAATGCAAATCAATGCGACACCGCTGAGAGTGATCGTAGTGCTTGCCAAAGCACCTTACATCCGAATCTGAATTTCAGACCCCACTCTCGGGATGTAAGTCAGCCCTCTTCAACCAGCTCATCTCATCGTGTGTTAAAGCCACATAGGAGCGCCAACCCTGGATTCTGGGTAACGTGGGATGTACCAAGAACTTATCAACAGAATTCTGCGTCCAAAATTGCAAGTGCAAGTGCAATGGTTTGAACCTGAGCTGTCCTAGTGCACCTACGTGCACACCAGAAGAATCTTCCCTCTGCGAAAAGTACTGCATATGTTGGACTCCTTGATATTTTCCTTAGCTATGGGACTGGGTTAGGTTGATCAGCGGCTCGGCACACGGTATATGGAGTAATTATTCAATGGATAAGTGAACGGTCAATGTAGTGCTTCAGATTTGTCTCCCGTGTTGGACGGCTTTTCCTGATTCGCTGACTGCTTGGATTATTAAAGCTCGCGGCATTTCACCTAACGATATTGGTGCAGACGCAAAATTTCGAAGAATAGAGCTCAATCCTCAAGATTGATGGTCTCTCAATCAACACTAACTCTGAGAATCGTAGGGCATTCGATACGTCTTCTTCATATACATTATGCTTGGATATGCTTGGATATGCCTCCCCCAAAATCCACCAATCGAACAGATCGTGCACTGCTGTGAAAAGATCATATGACGCCATCGTCCACACATCGATCTCAATCTCTAGAGAGGTTAAATACTAATGTGAACCCATGATCTCCGCTGTCATCACCTAGCTTGAGGTTTTAATATAGAGACACATTGGGGCATGACGCCCTGTCGGCTGTCCGAACAATGATCTTCCACCCAAATAAGAGTAAATCTCTCTCCACAGGAGATTCGAGGTCAAACTGGTCGAATTAGAAGTTCGATTCAATCCCAGAAACCATAATGTGCTTCTAGCGGCGAAGTAAGACAATATATGTGTTTGATTAGACAGTGATTTTCTTCTGGTCATTAATATGATGGTCAGCAGGTTATCTAAACCGTGATTTTGGGCCACTAGCTGAACTGCATCCTCAGAATGCTTCGGCAGAACATGCAAGGTGTTCTAGATCTCATCTTGGATTCCTACCTCAAATTCCTCCAGCATTGCTTGTAAGCCCCCATCAGCTCTTTCATCAACTGCTGCTCGAGCCCGTAGTAACAGAAGTAGCACCTCATCCAACACAGGCATGTCTCGCAAGAAACGGTAATAGAACGCGGCTTCTAAGGCTAACGAAATCAGGCTTTCTAGCCTCGTATTGGCATCCGCGCCGTTGTCAAGAAGCAATTTGATTGCTCCAAGGTCGAGATAGAGCACTGCCGTTGCAAGTGACCTCCTCCCACTTCTGCCAATCTTGTTATTTGGATTGGCTCCGATCTGGAGGAGATACCTGGCGGCTTCCAGGTTCTCGCGATTTATAGCTACATCCAGTGCTTTTCTCAAGGCTACTGATTTTCTGAGCTCACAATGGACGATTAGATGATCCTATTGCATTTGGATCATGTTCGTTCCGCCCATCGCGGATGCAGCTATGAGTGCGCTCAGGAGCCCGCTGCCAATGGAGAAGAATTGTCCATGAAAAGCGTCGAGAGTGTTAAAAAGTGTTGCTAGTGCATCTATTCGCTGGCTTGGCGGGCAGCGCAAACTGTTGTAAATATAGAGGTAGTGTAAGCATGCAGCTATGTAAGAGGCTGATGAAGTAAAGTGCATTGTCCGTACTTAGGAGCTCAAGAGAGCTCTAGGGTGACTATATACCGTACGAAAAAGGAGCTAGTCATAATGAGTGAATAGCGCAGTACATGGGTATAGTATCGCGTGAAACACGTGCGACAGTTTCTGTACCAGAAATGCGACACAAACGCCTGCCGCGGAGATTTTCCTTGAACAGGGAAGCTGGTATTTTATTCGCGTAAAACGGATCTTTATCCGTGTAAAACAGATCCAAGGCAACGAAGCCTCGAGAGAGCGTCAATCTCTCCATAAATAATCATTGTTTGTGGCACGCAAGAAATATGAAGAGAAGTTCGAATCCTCACATTACAAAATAAAGGCCTCAGCCGAAGGTGCTCACACTCTCGTTATCCTGTCTTTGAGGCCAGATCTATTTGGCTTTTCACGGGCCTTTGTGTCCAGAAAGTCAGTGTGTAGTTCATCCTATCTTTCATTCCATCTCCGCACTGCCTGGACCTCCGGTCCCTACAGCAACCCCATGCAGCAATATCTCGAAGCTTTCTCCGTTTAAGGCATCAACCCGCCTGTACGCTTAACCCCCTTTCAGACATATCTCCCCAAACCACACCGACCACATTCCCTCAGCGTAGTCTTAGATCGCAACCCACCGTCACATTTTTTGGCGCCTCTAAAATTTTCCAAAGATCGGCGAACCAACCCTTAAATTTGCCCGCCCAACCAGAGATTGCATCATATTCACCCCAAAGGGTCTAGCCCACCAACGCTGAGCTGAATGCAACGGCTGGGGTCGAGACAAATGATGGGTTAACGTGGGTGAACTATGTTTAAAAGTCGAGCATTAAGCTTGTTGTCGAAAGGAGGCATATCGCAGTATTAAAGGTATATTGTTCCCATCCGAGACTTGGAAGATTTATAGGCTCTGTTGCTTTGTTGTCAAAATCGTTCTGCGTGATTGGCCAGATTTTTGGAATTTCTCTTTGCTTCCTTGAGGTTCGTCCAATGCTGCTTCCCGCTCAAACAGCCCAAGAAAGCAATATGGGTGCTTCAAAGCTTCCTATGAAAATACTAGTTTATCTTCTGTAATGGTAGGAGCCAATTTATTTGCTACGCTTTCCCCTATGAGCACCTGCTCTTTTCTTCTCTTCTCTTCTCTTCTGTTCTCTTCTTCTCTCTAGCATATTTCTTTGCTACAATTTCCCCTACGAGCGCTTGCTCTTTTCTTCTCCTATCCTCTCTTCTCTTCTCTCTAGCAGATTTATTTGCTACCCTTTCCCCTACGAGCATCTGCTCTTTTCTTCTCTTCTCTTATCTTTAGCAGATTTATTTGCTACACTTTCCCCTACGAGTACCTACTCTTTTCTTCTCTTCTCTCTCGACAGTCTAGCCAAATCATTTGAAATCGCACAAAAATCTCATAAATCACTCGGATCTGGAGTGTGGGAAAGATGGCGTTCAAGCAGCCCCCCCCCAAGAGATTGGTCATCTGTTGCGATGGTAAGGATGCAGCTTTGATGACCATGGGCCACTGCTGCGTTTCCAGCTCATCTTCCAGTCCCCTCCATCTCCATTTATATTTCGATACCATCTGACGCATGTACTAGGTACCTGGCTTAATTCCTCCTCGGGCAGCGTAGTTTCCCTCGACCCGCGAAAAACCATGGCCGTGGAGCTCACAGGGAAAGTCTCACTTCAGACGCCCTCGAATGTCACGAGGATTGGACGATGCATCGAGCCGTTGGATACTAGGGAGTAAGCATCGAAAGAATACAAATAACCCATATAAAGCTTGACTTACCCTGCACAGTCCTTCACGACCAATACAACAGATAACCTACTACCAAGCTGGTCTCGGATCCCGGAACCTTCAAGACAAGATACTCGGAGGCGCGGTTGGATATGGCCTCGCCGAACATATTCGCGAAGCATACCAATTCATCGCCATGAACTACGACACCCTAGCCTACGACGCCAACGGCGGTGGTGTCACTGGTGATGAGATCTATCTGATTGGATTCTCTCGTGGTGCATTTACGGCACGGTCAATCGCCTCGTTCATTAATGACGTGGGACTCTTAACGAAGATTGGGTTAGGGCATTTCTACCCTATATTCGCAGACTGGGAAAATCAACAAAAGAAGGACTGGAAGGTGCCGTTCAAATATGATCCGTTCGTCGGGCATGATAAGCCGGAGTATAGCCTATTTGATGTAGCTGGAAAGAAGAGGTACGTGGAAAAACTGGTGAAGTTGGGGATGACGACACCGAATGTAAAGATTAAGGCGGTTGCGGTATGGGATACTGTGGGTATGTTAACTCCCTTTCCCCTAAGTCGTTGGTAAAACATAATACCAACAAACACAGGCTCCCTTGGTCTCCCTCGCTTAGGGATTTTCAACACCCTACACCACGAATCTATCGACTATGCCTTCGTGGACACAGAAGTTCCTCCAGCTGTCACCCACGCCATCCACGCCATTTCCCTCGACGAAGACCGCAAGTCATTCATGCCCACCATCTGGGAGCTTCCCAACCCTGTACCCGGCCAATCTCTTAACCAAGTCTGGTTTGCCGGTTCGCACTCTGACGTCGGTGGCTCCTACGATGACACGAGGGCTGCAGATATCACTCTCGCTTGGATGATCAGCCAATTGGCAACCCTCGGCCTCAAATTTAACAAAGAAGTTATGAAAAAACAATTCTACAAGCCCATAGGGAATGAACCTGAGCTCCCGTGGAGTTGTGGCCCCCTCCATAATGAGTTCAAGGGAATGTATGTCCTTACGGACAAGCTTATTCGGTCGCCGATGTCGTACTTGCGCCATGACCACTATACCGGAGCGCCGAGGGTACCACATGAAGTTCTGGTCAACACGCAGGAGAAAGTGCATTCTTCGGTTCGTATCCGTTGGGGCCTGAGGGGGAAGAATTACGAAGGGAAAGATTATGTGAGTGCTGCGCTCAATGGCTGGACAGTTGAAGGAACGGCGACGGATGCTGCGGTTGATGAAGGAAATATAGATGCGAAGACGATCCGGGATGAACAGGCCGGGATTGTGTGGAAGAAAGGGGAGAAAATCATGAAAGAGGAGCTGCTTAGTGACTTGGAATGGGAGTTACTGAAGACAGTCAGACTGGGTGTTGGGATGAAGTTTGTGACGATTACTCCGTAGCGTCGATATATACGAGAGGGTTCGGTGTAAGTAGAGCTAGCTATACGCCGGCCTAGGTTATATGGGAGGTTTGGAACACGCTGTGGTGTCAGCGCAGTGGAAAAGGTATTTAGAGGCTGCTACATAGAAAGGCTGCAGACTTTGTATTCATACCGAAGCAAAGTTCAAATACTTTCGAAAAACCATGTATGTGCGAGTATGACGGTGCTTGTCTGTAAATTACGGAAAACATTGGCGCAGCCTTCGGATGCGATATTCTTCGGGCCGTCCTAACCTGTCTCATTCGTCTTTCTTATATTTATCTTGTCATGCATCATCCACGTTGTTGTTTGTTGTCTAAGGGATTGGTTTGGCGGAGAAGCCGTTCCTAAATTTTTGTATTGTGCTCATATAAAAGTGGAGCATGCTCCTAACGTGGTGCCTCCAGTCTGAAAGCGGTCTAGTCTCCTAACCGCAAACCCTCGATGGCGGACGAATCTCGCACGATTCATTCTCTTCATTATCTACTGTTTAAAATTTACTTCAACACATATTACGCGTTCGCTTTAAGATTGTCACGCGATGATAGGATGCCACCTTTATCACGGTAGGTGGCGAGCCGCAGTTGCCCCACCTTGATGCCGCATGACGTACAAAGGGTCAGAGCGAGTGTTCCGCATCCATGCGCGAAACCCTACATGGCAGCTCACAGGGCTGTCTCTCCAGCTTGACTAATTTGTATACAATTATTGAAGGCCCGATAACTCAGTATGCAAACATGATTCCTAAAACACCTTTTCATCACCTGACGCATATGGGTTGCGCTCGAATTCACACCCTACGATACCATGCCCACTGGAACTCAGTCCTAATCGCTCGGGACCTTAAAATGCGCCCTTCTACAGTCCAAGCATGCTTCCAGCAACCTAAAGTTATAGCCTCTAAACCTCTAGGCCGCCATTCCGGGCGTGATTCCTAGTCCTTCACTGGCTCGTTAAGTACGCCACATTTTCCTGCCTCCAACGATGTACCATCTAATGAGATAGCATGTAAGCTATAAATTAGAGCTGGTCATAATACTCCGGTAGAGGGGTTTGAAAGGAAGACTACTTGTAAAGAACAGAGACTGAGAAGCTTCTGCTCATACCAGAGAATATTGGAAATCTCCTGCCCTGGACTTGGATCAGTGTGAACTCCTGGAGTAGATCCAAGTTCGAGTTATATAGACTGACGAAGATTTATTCCGTCGTGGAGGAGGCAGGGGTTGCATCATCCAACGCGCTGAAGAGAAACACCTGCCTCACTGCTGTATCCCATAGTCCAAAGAATACTGCTGCATATTATCTGGGCCTGTATTACTTCTCACCAAGAAGGGCCCCTGGAGACCTGGGATTGACAACCTCGAGGAAAGTCCAGCTTACAGGCCTATATTTAATACTTTATCCCTATAGTCAATCAGTTCTAATGGAGCACAAGTTCTTTCGAGTCGGGATTGGCAATACTCTCCATCTCTATTATTCACTGTACATCTTGCCAAGTCTTTTCTCTTATTGGTTTAAAAAAGAGCCGGATTAATGTCTAATTGGCCTATAAAACTTTCCACCACTTTTGCAAATATTCTAGATTTTTAAGGCAAATAAATATTTTTTACTAGGTCTATTACTATATTCTAGGTGTTTTAATGCAATATTATAATGCCGTGTTCTGTTGTTGGTGGGCTAAAGTTTGCCCCTTTGTTACTGTTCACAGTTTTAAGGTGTCGCCAAGCCGGAATCGGTATGTCGGCGTCTGTCTTCCGAATGTCAAACCTGACTTTGCAACTGACCGACGCGGTGCTCCGTATGAACATTGTCGGCGGCACGGGAGATTTGTTCGTCTATATCGCTATTCTTCCTTTGTTATTGCTAAATTTTCCTCATCCAAGCTTCCGAAAAGGAAGGCTCATACCTGCTCGTATGTAAAATGGTGCGTCTTCTCACACAGCAAAGGGTGCAAGAGGACTCACCGTCAGTAAGCTGCCCGGCCCCTCTAGTGGTCAGCAAATCCACCTGATTTGAGCCCTATTAAGAATGTATAGAAGCTGCATAAATATTGAGCCTAGAAGCGCTTTCTAACGCCGAAAGGAGGCACTAGTTCAATATATTCAGAAGAAATGGGCCATTACTTAACTCGGGGATATTCAAAGTACACCACGAACATGTGACCGCGTTGTGATACAGTTATTTATCTAGGTTGTTGACATAGAGTATTTTAGAACATAGTTATGTCAGATCTCGTGAGACATCTCTGTGAGCTTCCACGCACGGATTTGCGCACAGACGCGTATGGCCTGCTCAGGTTACCACCTTGTATTTAGGGAGCTAAATCCCAACCAAACAACCCTTCAATATTACCGCACTTCAAATTCTCCCAATTCCCATTTAGCCTCAAATTGCGAAAACTCTCAGAATAACGACAATGAAAGCGTGGCAATTCAAAAGTGCAGCCGGAGGGCTCGAGAAGAACCTCTATCTTTCCGCCGGAGGAGTGCAGAAACCTAAACCTAAAGATAACGAAGTCCTCGTCGAAGTATACAGTATGGCGCTGAACCCTGCCGACTACAAAGTGCCGGAACTGGGTCTTATCGCAAAGACTATGGTGCCATCTCCATCGATACCTGGAATGGACTTTTGCGGTCGAATCGTTGAGGTTGGTAGCAAAGTAGAGAATTTGCATGTTGACGAGATGGTCTTCGGCGCTATGCAACCCGGAAACCTTGGACGCGGTTCTTTGGGTCAATTCATCGCAGTGTCCAAGGACATGTGCGCCGTGATGCCGGTAGGAATGCTTGCCAATGATTTCGCTGCGATAGGGTGCGCAGGTGCGACTGCCTACCAGAGCATCCAGCCAAAGGTCAAGGAGGGGGACAAGATCTTCATCAATGGTGGATCAGGGGGGACAGGTACCTGGGGTATCCAAATTGCAAAAGCTCTTGGCTGTCACGTGACGACATCCTGTTCGACCGCCAACGTGGAGCTCTGTAGAAGCTTAGGTGCTGACGAAGTCCTTGATTACAAAACTGTCGATATCGTGGAAGAGCTTGAAGGCAAGGGCCAGGTTTTCAGTCTCGTCATCGACAACGTTGGATCGCCATCGAACCTCTACAAGGTCTCGCACAAGTTCCTCTTGCCAAATGGCAGGTTTGTTCAAGTCGGCGTAGGCATGTCTTTCGGCTCTTTTCCTCAGCTCGTGAGCAATATGATACGCCCTGGGTTTCTTGGAGGCGGAAAGCGAAAATATGAGATGTTGATGGTGAAGCCGAAGGCGGAAGAGTTTGAACGGATGGCGACCTGGATGAAGGAGGGCAAAATCAAGGCGGTTATCGACACAGTTTTTGAATTCGATGATGCGCCGAAAGCATTCGAAAAATTGAAGACCGGAAGGGCGAAAGGCAAGATCATTGTGCATACCCAAGTCGACCGTTGAATTTGGCATCTCTTGGCACCAGTCTCAGGTTTGTGCGACAGACACAATTTCCATTTTACAGTCTATCAATTGCCTTTTCTTTTTTCACTCTGATTGGTTTCACAAGTTCAGCCTCGTTCCATAGTACTTTCATACCTGATTGCCGCCAAGAATGGACAATACAGCTGCCAAAGCAGGGCAGCGCCTGCCTAACCAGGATTGAGGCCCCTTCGGTTAATTTTTCTATTATGGAGACGCTCATGTCGGCCGTTCCAAGTGGAATATTCTCTCCTTGAATTAGTATTATCTTCTATTAAACAACTTGTTTTCATCTACTTTTCAACCTAGCGTACACCGTCGCTTTTTTCGTTTCTCGTATGACGGACATTTTCATGCAGTCTGAGAGCATGCAGTCAGACTAACACAGATTAACGTGTGAAACAGCGCCCTTGGGGCTGGTTGTGCTTCGTCAGCTCATTCAATCCTCCCTCCAATCCCATTCAGTCTCACCGCCACGGGTATCTCTTGCATCACTTTGATCAACAGAAGCGTATGAAACATTTTTATTGAACTCTCTTCCTATTGGACGGCCGGTTCCGCGTTTCCTATGCAATGTCACTGATGCCTGGTTTGAAGACCGGTGATGATGTGGTACAATGAGGGGCAAGAATGCATGGTTCCGAAATTGATTTTATATGAGAGAGGCAGAACCTCTACAGCCTGGACAACAAAGTGTGTTGCTAAACATTCCATCTTTCATTCGCAATGGTCACTTATCTCATCGTAGTAGTGTGTTTGGTCTTGGTGGCTCAGGCGAATTGGGATGGGAACTTAAACTACAAGTCTCCATCTCGGAGACATCCGTCTCTCGGAATCGATGTACCTAAAGTGGTAAAGAGGAGTTTTGAGCCTCGAGCATGGGATCCAGCGCAGCTGAACTTTACGCATGGAGTTGCGTCAGGCGATCCTTATCCTGATTCAGTTGTTCTTTGGACGCGTATTTCGCCAACAATGGGTAACGATAAGTCAAATGTGACGGTTGAAGGGAACGTTCCTCTGTATAGCCATGATACGGAGACCTACATCAAATCCTCCACGAATCCTGTCTGCGTTGAATATCAGATCGGCTCCGACAAAAACTTGGCCATCGTTGTTGACAGGGGCACAGCGTACACCACTTCGGATATTGACTACACTGTCAAGGTAAGGATATTTTAGATTAGCGCAGAGTACAAAAACTAATATACGGTAGGTCGAAGCGAAGAAACTCACACCATTTACTCAGTACTACTACCAGTTCACTGTCTGCGGTTCGAGCAACAAGAGTCCACTTGGTCGAACGAAAACAGCTCCAGCGGTAAATGATGACATCTCAAATATCGGGCTCGCTGTCTATTCTTGCAGCAACTACCGTAGGATCCCAACGTCTCTGACAAATCTGGGTTATAGTAATTGTTTCGATAGCAAATGGGTATTTCAACGCTTATGGCAATGCTGCGCGAAAAGACAAGGTTGACTACGTGGTTAGTCAGCCCACTCCCACTTTGGATAATTCTCTAGCTCACTAGAATACCGATTCACCTGGGGGACTACATCTATGAGAGCGGTAAGGGCACGCTGGGCAAAGACCCAAGAGCTACGAATCCGAAAGGGGAGATTTTCACTCTCTATGGTGACTTTTCGCTCCTGTTTCACCTATCCATGCTAACACAAAATGTAGATTATCGAACCAGAATCGCCCAATGTCCGTACTCTGTCCACTGTCTGCGTTATTGTACTCACTCTCAATTCTAGACCGAACGGATCTCGACCTCCTTCTTTCGCACCGTCAATTCCCCTGGATCCCCGTATGGGACGACCATGGCAAGTCCTCCGCACTCCTCATCCCCTCTCTTTAACACCTTCCATTATAGAAGTCTCGAATAACGGCTACCGTGATGGCTCAAGTAACCTCAATAATACCGAAGATTCCTTCCTCAAGCACGGTGGAGTTTCCGTCGACCAACGCAAAATGAATGCCGTTCGCGCCTATTTCGAATGGATGCCGATCAGGCAAGTCGATATGGACGATAATTTGCGCATCTGGCGGAATTTTCAGATGGGCAAGCTGTTCGATTTGGTGATGCTAGATACACGGAATTATGACCGGAGTATTACGACGCTCGGGTGGAATGACCAGTATGTGGAGGAGTTGAGGGATGATGCAGGGAGAACGTTGATGGGGTCGAGGCAAGAGAATTGGTTTTTTGGGCAGCTGACGAAGAGCAATAACAGAGGCGCTGTGTGGAGAATTGTTGGGAATCAGATTATCTTTTCGAGAATTAATGGGTCGTCGGTGAGGCCGGGGAGCGGGGTGAATGCGGATCAGTGGGATGTAGGTATCAAGCTTTCTCTGACTACGCCAACATTTGACACTCTTATGACACTTTGTCTCCCTCTCTCTCGCTCTCGCTCTCCCTCTTTCCTCCCCTTTTCGCCCCCCTCCCACTCTCTTCCAGGATACATATATACCTATCGAGCTGAGATAAGCATGAACGACTGATGTATGCGAAAACCAGGGCTACACTGCCTCCCGCAACCGCACACTCTCCCACCTCTACACCAACAAAATCCCCAACACCATCATGCTCTCAGGCGACAGCCACGCAAACTGGGTCTCCGACCTCGTATGGCTAGACACCAAACCGTACGATCCAGTCACAGGAGCTGGATCCGTAGGCGTGGAATTCGCCGGCACTGCCGTATCGTCCACCGGTTTCGGCGGCGGCGGCACCATTGCAAGCGCGAATAAGAAATCTACCGGATTGATTAGGGACAACAAAGAGTTGCAGTGGAGTGAGGGATATTACCGAGGATACTACGAGCTGCACATCTCATCTAGTTCACTTACCGCGAATTACTACGGTACGTTGTCTTCTTAATAAGCCTTGGGGAAGGAAGCAGCTCCTGGAGAGGCTTAGCAATACTATACTGTACTAATCTGCTCTGATGAACTCAGGATGTCCAACCGTGGCAACCCGGAATCCGTTCGAAATTAGCCTTGCAAATTTCACAGTGAAGGCGGGGGATAATTGCCTGCTGCGCTCAGTTGCGAATGGAAGTGTAGAGTCTGGGGCATTGCAGAAGGGGAGTGTGAAGCAGACGAATTTGACGCTGGATACGGAGACGGGAATGTGGAATATTACGCGGTTTGAACAGATGTTTATTCAATATTGAAGGAAGGTTCCAGCACGTGTTTTAGGGGGAAAGTATTGGGTAGAGTCACGATGGGATTTCGGCGTGCGGACAAAAGATTTTCAGACACATACATGGTGTATCTGGGCGCTGTCTGAGGGGACGCCCCAAACCCCCATTTACGATTGTAATCTTCCTTCTAAGAAGTTTTGTTTACGCAATCTCATACACTAATTTCACTGCACTAACCTTCCCATCCTTCAAATCCTTTAACCCTTGAATAACCCCGTCCAATCCCCCCTCCCTCACCTCCGCCGGATGGGCCTTGATCCTCCCGCTATTAACAAGCTCTTCGGCAATCCTCCAGAACTTCACTGCAAACTCAAAATCCTCTAGCTTTGCGGGGAATCTATCGCTAAAGCGTTCTCCAAGCGCGCTGTATGCCACCGTAAGGCTATTCTTTACATCGTCTCGGGGTAGCTTGCCAGCGTTCAGGCCCAGGGCTGAGTAATGCCCACCGTTGGAGCTGATGGCCTCACAGCAGATTTCTGGAGAGCCCTGATCGGTGATACAGTCGAGTACGAGGGCTAGTTTGTTGTTGGTCGCGTCGTGGATCTTGGCGCCAACACCCGGCTCGCGGTAGTCGAAGACGTGATCAGCACCCAGATTACGTAGGAGGTCGAGGTTGTGTGGAGATGCGGTTGCGAAGACTTCACAGCCGGAAAGCTTGGCGAATTGAATGGCCAAGGTGCCAGTTGCAGTGCTGGCGCCGTAGATCAAGATTGGAGTTGGGGAGGAGACTTTGGCGGGGGGAAAAGGGAGACCTAGGGATTGGTATAGTGCTTGAGCTACCGTCGTGATGCCGACACCTAGAGTTGCGGCGTCTGTGTAGGAGATGTTGTCGGCGAGACGCATTTGGAGATCTCCTTTTGCAGTGATGTGTTCAGCGAATGCCCCATCGTTATGGTTGTCAGGGTTGGCTGTAGTGAGGGATAGTTAAAAAAGAGCATGTATTTAACATTTCAATTTATATCTTACCCCCTCGAGCAAACCCAGCAATACGGTCTCCCGGCTTGAAAGGCGTGGTGACGTGTTTTCCCACAGCCTCGACAATCCCAGAATAGTCACATCCGGCAATTGCGCCTGGACAATTACGGTAATCGATTGCCTTCCAATCAGTCGGGTTCAGGGCAACTGCTTTAGTCTTGACGAGAATATAATCATCGCGAAGCTTGGGGAGAGGCACATCCTCTCTGATTTCAGCGACGCCTTCAGATTTGTGGACGACAGCTCTTTGGGTCGACATTGCTACATGCAAGGCTCGGGATAGCAAATTATATGGTTTGAAATGTCGACAAGTAGCAAATTGGATGGATTGCATGAGGACTAAGTATATTCAAGTGAGAATTGAACCTGTACTCTCCCCCCGCTCCCTTCTGATGACAAATGCAACTCATTACAAATTAAGACGCGGAGCCCCGTATAACCGGTGGAAGTCCGCCGGAGATCTTTCGGGCCTTACAGAGGGTGCGAGAGAGGGGAAGATATGTTTCTGATGCATGTGGGCGTGATGAGCGTGAGGGAAAGCGAACTGGGAAGCTTGGAGAGCAGTGAGGTGGGAAGTGCACAACATCGGGGGCTGTTTACATTGGGCTGTTGGCAAGCAGGGATGCAGGCGCTTGTGAATAATTTTGCCGAGATTGAGCCGCGACTGGAGCTTCATTCACGACTCCTCCACGTCCCCTTCACCTCAACTCCCGCACTCTCATACCCCGTTTCACTGAACTCCCTAGCCCATTTGGTCTGCTAAATATCTCCTCCACATACAGCGCCCAACTTACGATGGCACAACAACCTCCCGCTGCACCGGAAGATGAGCTAATCAATGGCTCATTCTTTCCCCTCCCCCCTCCCTTCTACAAGCACTTCACACCCGAGAACCAGCAGCGACTCAAGGAATTCAAGGAAACCGCTGGAATTTACAATACCCAAGCATCAACGCCGCACCTGTCCGCCGAGCAACTAGTCAAATTACCGCCTGAACTCCGCTTCCTCGTCCCGCCAGAACCGCCCGCCGACGACGAGAAATACCGCGTATTTGGTGGGGAAGTCCAGGCAAGCGCTACCCTAGGTTGTGGCCACAGCTCGCATATATGCTAATGAATTGTCCAGCTCAACCAATCCTCCCCAAAGCTCTCAGACTGGGGTTATGAACAACTCTACCCCTCCCCCCCCACCCCAACTCCTGGGGAAGACCCCTCAGTGCAGTCTGAGTGGAGTCTCAACCGCGCCGAATACCTTCAACGACTCATACGGTCTGCCCTCTTGAAATTCCTTGAGCTTCTTGGCATCATGTCGACAGATCCTGTCAAATGGCGGGACGCGATGGGCGATCTGGGGACATTGGCTGCGAACATGCACGCGCTGATCAACGAATATCGAGACCACCAGATGCGGGAAACGCTGATAATTATGATGGAAGAGCAGCTGGAGAGAAAGAGGGCTGAGGTGGAAGGCGTGAGGAAGATGAAGCACAAGGTCGAGGAGGCATTGCTTGGGTTTGCCAAGAATGCACCAAGGAAGATGGAAAGTGCAACGGAGCATCTCGATCCGTCTTCACCGGAGGAGAAGAGGAAGGAGAGCCAGCGGCATATGTGGCAGGCCATGGACGAGATACTGGGGCATTGAATAGTGCCAGATCCCAAAACCTCCTCCCTCTCCAATATCAAAGTAAACCATTGTCACATGCAACGGGGTTCCAAGGATGCGCCAGCTCTCACATGGAAGCAAACAGAGAATACGCGTTTAGCACCACTAGGTCGAAGCCCATTTCGATTAGCTTCCAGCGGCGCAAGTAGTTGTCTCACATCCAAGTCTTGTGTAACGTGGCGTTCTCATGCGGACGCCAAGCTATCCAGCCGCACCTGACCATTGTTCGCTTTTGGCTGTCAAGCGACCGCCATATATTACTTCTTGCTGCCTGGGGTTTTTTTTTCGTTCATCTTTTTGATATACATATGATCAGCCCTGGACGTCTTTCTAGCTTTGTTCTCAAGATCGCCAACCCTATTTTTCCTACCTGCCTAATCATCGACATGGCGACTCCTAAACCATCCAAACGCCTAGTTGTTTTCTGCGATGGCACGTGGTGTGGCCGAGAAACCGGAACCCAGAGCAACATCCGCATACTAGCCGACATGGTCGGCAACATCGACTTCAGCCCTCGTCCCGACGAAGACCCAAATACCATTGCCACGCGAGTCCACCCAATTCACGCGTTTCAAAACTACGTAACCGCAGGATACCAAGAAGGCATCGGTCTGAACAAAACCTTCCTGGAATACATCTGGGATGGCACGACCGCTTCCACCATCGCAGAAGAATGCACGGCGGTGTACAAATTCATCGTAGATAACTTTACACCTGACCACGAAATCTGGATATTCGGATTAAGTCGAGGCGCATACACAGCGCGCTGCGTCGCAGGCATGATCAACAATTGCGGCATTATCAAAGCCCCCAGACACCACCCACAACAACCCAGTCTCACGGAACACGACATCTCAACTCTATGCTACGAAGTCTACCGTACCTACAGAAGCCCCCTCACCATCGACCACCCCCAATCCTCCAAATGTACTGAATTCCGCAGAAACCCCACATCGGTATGGCAGACCCCCCGTCCGATCAAATTCCTGGGTCTCTTCGATACCGTCGGGGGTCTCGGAATCCCGCATCTTAACGCGGGCACTGGGTTCGACTGGCCGGATTTCTATGACCAAAAGGTCAGCTCTGTAGTTCAGCATGTATACCACGCAGTCTGCCTCCATGACCGTCTTTGGATCTTCCAGCCGTGTCTGGCTTTCGAAGGGGATGGTGAGGTGAGAGCAGAGGTTCATCAGGTGTGGTTCCCAGGCTGCCACTATGATGTCGGCCGCCAGACTTTCCGGTTTGTGCGCCAAGCGCCGCAGAACCAAATAGAGCGGATCGTAGGCGCATTACCGGATCGGCTAGCGAAGACTATTTATCCGAATCATGTACTTGCGGACTGTGTGTTGAGGTGGATGTTGGAATCTGTTCTTACGCATGATACTCAGAATCTCGTTATCCCGGGTCTTAAAAATGAGATCCAGGCGCTTGGCCAACGCATCGTGTCTGCGTCTTCTCCCAGATATCTAGGGGAGGGAGGCGCAAAGGCAGGGCCAACAGGCAGCGGCGACGTCTACGGTAACGTCCTAGAATACGCACCCGCTGGCAGCGTGTTTAGGCTGCTCAGTAAATTCGGGTCGCAGGCCGTTGAATTGCTGAACCACACGTGGCCGAACCTTGGGGATAATATTCAGGATCTGCTGGGTATTAAAACGATATTGAGGATTCTGACGGCGACGAAGGATCGGAGGATTCCAGGGGGTCCGGAGGGAAAGGCAGCGGTTTATAGGTATAAGGAGAGTGAGAGTGTGGTGGTTGACGGTGTGGTGAGGAGATTCAGTGTTGAGAGACAGGCGCGGATAGGGGAGAGGAATGAAAAGGGAGAGATGAGGTATCCGAGTCGGACGTACGAGAGCTGGGGGCTTTGGGGGAGGGTATTTGGGTAAGGTATGGCAAATTATAGTTTAAGGCAAGGGAGGAGAGCGATTAGGGGTAGATCACGGGGTGGTACGGGGTAAGGGAAGAGCTGACAATGCGAGAAATATAACAGGTTATTCGTTCAATCCCTCTCTCCTTTCCATCATAGTCACCAAAAGGCTAATGTTGCTCCGACACTTCCCTCAACCAAGTATCATCATCCACCCGAACAAATGCCTGCTCCCTATCCTCGCTTATCTTTCCTTTGAGCGTCCAAATCGACAATGGGTTATCTACAGCGTGGCCAACAGTACATAGTACGTTACGTTTAAGCTTTTCTCTGCCAGTAACTTCTTAATTTAGTAGTACTTTTATACGTAAGCAGTGAATTAATTAGCAAGTACATAACATAACAGTAACTTCTTAAAATCCTTATACTTTTGTACTTTTTACAAGAAGTTTTGTTAGTCTAGGTTAAAATTATTCTAAAAGAAGCTTTTTAGCCTAGATAAAGTCCCCTAGAGTAGTTAATTTACTCTTTATAGCCCTATAACATAACTAGTTTTTTTAGAGCTGTAGAGCCTTAATTATACAACCTGCTAAGTAGTTTTTATTAATTATAACTGTTCTCCTGCCTTTAGAGAAGGCTCTCTTACAGTTGTAGCTTATTAAGAGTATACAGAGGAAATTAAAGGTAATTTTAAAAAGTGTAAAGTAGAAGTAACAACTAACTTTAAGCTACTAAGTAAAAGGTAATTAAAACAGTAGAGATCCCTCCTTAGCTATAAAAAGGTCTTTAATGTAGCTGTTATAGTATTATTAAAGCTCTATTATTTTCTGCTGTTTTTTATATAACTTTAAGCCTATAAGAAGGCTTATGTTAACAAAAAGAGTTTACTTATAGCCTTTATTATAATACTTGCTACTAAGGAGCTTGCGCTAGTAAAGTTATAGATTTTCTTCTTTTTTATTACTTTTTATCTTTTTATTAATATAGTCTTAAAAAACTACCTTTATTAAAGCCTTAGCTTACTTATGCTACGCTAAGTGCTTACGCTAGTAGTCTTTAAACTAAATAAGTTATAATTAGAGGTTAAAAATAGTTGCAACAGCGCAGTATAATATAGGCAGATTTATAATAATCTTTTTCTAGTATAAGGTTAGCTTTTAGATTCTAAACACAACACTATTTTTAAGGTAGTAATTATTACTTTTACTCTTAAGCTTCTTCTCTATCTTTATAAGCTTTATATATAGGTGCTAGAGGTTAACTATAGTTATCTAGATAGAGCTGTACTTGCTATTACCTTTAAGTCTTTTTATTATAAAGTAAAAGAACTAGAGAAACTTAATAAAATAATTAACCTCTTTTTACTTTTCTTTAAAGATAGTTTTATAAAGGGTAGCAGCTATTAACATATTAGCACCTTATTATTTACATAGAAACTTGCTAATAGGCTCTTTTAACTTATAGTAACATAAAAGCATAAGATATATGCTGTGCTAGCGTACTCTACTGTCCTAGATAAGATTAAGGGTGCTAAAACTTTAAAAAAAATTATTAGCTAAAAGTAAAGCCTAAAAAGTTATAAAAGCTAATTATTATTTATAAGATGCTAGCACTGTGTTAACAAAGTTATGCAACTTGCCTACAACACTTTACTATTAGTATAGCTTAAATTAATTATTTAGAGCAGCTTAAGCTAGAGCTTTTTTAAAGGTAGAGACTTTCTAGCTATATATAACTACTTTAACAATAATTTAAATTATATAGCTAGCGCAGTAGATACAGTGTTTAGTAGTAAAAAGCAAGTAAAGCTTTTTAGCTAAAGTTATAATAGTCTCTATGTTATTATTTAACGCATTATTAGTAATGTAGTAATAGAATTTAAACATAATTTTATAGTTTTTAAGCACCTTAATAATCTCTAGCGCTTAATTCCCTCTAGTGTAGTCTTTATATAGATTGTTAAAGCTAATAAAGAGGTCTTTATGCTAGTAGTTAGTATTTGTGTAGAGGATGTTAGTGTTGTAGTTTTAATTTTCACGCTAACACAGCTAGGCTAAGGTTTTACTAGTACATACTAAAAAAATAAGCTACTACCCCTAGGCAGGATAAGTAGTTTAAAGAAGTCTATATATTAATGCTTAGCGTAATTTTACTATAAGCTAATCTTAGTATTATTTAAATCTCCTACTTCTAGCGCACTAGACTGTTCTAGATATAGGTTAAAAGCGTAGTGTAGAAAGATAGTATAGCGTTAAGAAGGTTAGTGCAGTTCTAAGTAAGTACTTTATAAGTTTTAGCTAAAAATGCGTTTCTAAAAGTTTAATCTTAAAAAATAACCTAGTTTATTACTGCAGCTTAAAAAGCTTTCTTTTACTAAGCTTTATAAAAAATAATTCTTATAGATCTAGCTACTTTTATTATAGCTTTAAAAAGATTAGCAGGAAGCCTTAAGCTGTTAAGTAGAAGATCTTTACTAGCATTAATTTTATGCTTCTTCTAAAGATAAGAGATAATATAATTATAACTACTAATAATTTTTGCAGCTTTGTGTTGCCCTTAAAGGTAACATCTTTTGCAAAGCTACACTTTAAAAACAGTGCTGTTGTTATCCTTATACACTAAATCCCTCTTATAACGCTAGACCTAGGAGACAGGATAATTGCTACAGAGTTAACTTTTATGCTTTACTTAATAGCTAAGTCTTTCTAGCACTAGCTTTTTCTTTTCTAGCTAAATGTTGTCCTACTCTATTATAAAAAAGGCTCTAGAGTTAAAGTGCACGTCTACTAGAAAATTATAAAAGGATACATCTTTACCTAGGGCTAGAGTTAGAGTTAAGGGCACTAACAACTCTAAAAAAGCTAACTTTAATTTAGCAAGATAATAAAAGCTAGTGTAATAAAGCACCTTAGCTTATTAAAACAACTTTAATAAGCAAAAGAATTAGAATAAGGCTATACACTTACTATAATAAAGGAATTAAGACATCTAGCTTATTATAATAATTAATAAAATAAGAAGCTTTTCTAGGGCAAAAGTTAACTATTTTTATAAGGGGCTACTTAGCACACTAATTAGGCTACTATGCTATAAAACGCAGAGTTTTATCTAATTATTACTTTAAAACGCAACCTTAAACAAAGCTCTTAACACAATAGCTAATAGGGTCTAAAAACAGGAGGGAAATCTCCTAAAATATGACCTCTCTGACCTATACTACAGTACGTACTTAGCAATTTACTGTACAAAAGTTACGTCTCACATTTTAACTACTTTTGTACGCCTCACGTGATTACTACGTTCACGTAGTTACGTTACGTACTACGGACTGTTGGCCACGCTGGTTATCTATGTATCGGATGCAATACCAAGGTACTCAGTAGTCCTCTCTACATCAGCATGAGCGTCGCGGTAGGAATTATCCAGCACATATATCCGCTTCGCATCTTGCCTTTTCGCTAAATCAGGACATAGTGGGATTTTTCCAACCAAACTACCCTTGGGCTTTGGCACGCTCAACTTCATCCAAGGAGTCGATAGTAACAGGGGGTTTAGGAGAATGAAGGATCTCGACCCTTCATCGCTGTAGCTCTGGAACGAGGTGAGGATGGCGAAGGATAGCCATAATGAGCTCTGGACAGGTGGATACAAGGTAGGGAGCAACACGAAGATATTCCGCTAGTGAATTAGTGTGGTCTTTGGGGTCCTGCTTTTGGTATTCAAGAGCTTCCGTATATTTTAATTTAAAGGGGAACCGACTGTTTCAAAAACTAGCATTATGGTTCCGGAGAATGGAGCGGCTGAGATGAAGGCGTTACAGACAGAGCGAGATGCGTGGTAACAGTATCTTTAGACCGAGCAGGCAAGGCCTAATTCATTGTAGGAACAATGGGACGCCCTGGATGGCTGGGGGCTGGACTCAAACGCCAGACATGGTGGTCGCTTTTTTGACAGAGCTGACAAAAGCGAATTCCATGCAAACGCAGTAGGATCAGCTGGGTAGTTGGAGGCTAGGCCCCAATCGCGTTACGTTATATCAAAGTTGCGCAAATAAACAAAGAGAGTAAGTACTTATTTACTACGGCAGCACTCTTAGCACCAGCGATAAAACCACAAGAGAAATAGCGGTAGAGGCAGGTTGGCCTCAGGGGAAGATAGGATTGCCGTTTCCGCTTGGATTAGGGGATCTCTCATACTGAACTGAGACCGGCGAGCTTTCGGTGGAGCGGAAGACCACCACACCTTTGAAAGACAAGTTAACACGACCCTAACCGTGACTAAGAAGGACGTCCGCAATATTATAGCGGGTAGGTTTGGGTGGTACTTTATATAAGCCAGAGTGAAGTGAGCTCTCGGTAGTGAATTATATGTCCACCTGCTCTACGTCTCGGAGTCCGTCCATTACACCATGGGGGATTTCATAAGAACAGCAATGAACGAGTGAACGACTTTACTGAATTTAGCAGCAAGATTTCGTTATTTTTATACGCAGCGACTTTGTTCTGGCATTGCTCGGCCAGTTTTCCAGTGTTGCGAGAGTGAAGGTTTCGTGAGCAATACTACAGTTGGCGATTCAATTGTATTGCGCTAATGAACAACAATGAACTGGTGAAAGATTCTTCTGCGCTTCAGTTGCAGTACTTCCTTATTTCTGTTTGCAACCGCACAGTCGTCAATTCCGGAGAACTCGTGGCAGCGCTTGATTAATAGTCTAGCATTGAATAAATGAAAGGCTCTCGAAGTGAGCGTTTGCAATGGTAATAGCCTCAAAGAGATATAATGAAGCAGCTAGATAGTTTCGCCTCAGATCAGTGAGATGATCTGCGTAGACGTGCCTGGCTTTGACCGTATCAGGAGGGGTTCATCTCTTCCTCCTTCTTACTCTACTTATCCCGCCATTAGTCCCAACAGCTATGTCGCAGACTGCGTCAGTACCGTCTTAAAAGAGAAGCTTCACATTGTCTGCCTCTTCTAAATATCCATAGTCACTTAGCATGTCGGTCATCCAGCCTTACGGAGAATACAGCTAGTCAGCGTCTAGTGCAGGGCACAAACTGTTTTGAGAACCGCTCCGTTGAGAGTAGAAAATGGCGCGATTGGCTACCTGAACTTCGCGTTAGATTTAAATTAGTTCGTTCTTCAACAACCGCGCATAGGTATATTTAGTTAGTCGTGTTGTGTCTAAGATCCTTCAGTTACTGTTGAGCGTTACAGAATCCCACAACACTGATCTTCTTGCTAAGCATATCCCTATCCTTCATTACATTAATCTCCAGTCTGCCTAGCATTAGCAAATGGGTAGCCCACCGTCCCACCACCCCCACCAGCTCCACCTCACTCCAAGAAGTAAAACCCAAAGCCTTCCAAAGCCCTTGAATCCCCCCTTCCTCCAATCACTGTAGTCTCTACTTCCCATTCACCTTCCCTCCCTTTAACTTCTCCACTAACCGCTCTATATCCAACGCACCCGCCGCATCATCTTCATCCCTAACCATTAGCGACCTTTCATCCACCCCTTCCCCCAACTTCTCCATCCACACCTCGGGCACAAACTCCACGCCAAGCGGATTCTTCGCAAACGCCTCACTCTCCATAAACGCCGTCGCATCTGCCGGCTCCTCAAAGCCATCCACCTGGGTCTCAATCGTATTGCCATCGGGGTCCCTGTAATAAATACTCGTCGTAGGTCCATGATTCACGCATAGTGTCGGCTGCATACCGTGTTTCTTGCGCTGTTGATAAGCTGTGAGCAGGGATGTGAGAGATGGGAAGGTGAAGGCAATATGGTTCAACCCCGAGGATTTTTCGGATCTGGGGACGATTCCGGGGAGGGCGGCGAGCGCGATTCGGTGGTGTTCCTGGTCGTAGGTTAGGAAGGCGAGGTGGTCATTGGAGTAAACGGTATGGGCGCCTAGGAAGATTTCGTAGAAGGTTTGCATGACGCGGAGTTGGGCTGTTTGGAGCACGACGTGGGCGAGGTGAGCGGGGGGTGTGACGGCGGGTTTGTCGGGGAGGGAGCTGAAAGTGGGGATGGATGCCATGTTGTATTTTGTTTGCTTGACAATGTAATGTTTGGTGGTGGGTCCGTTTGCTTTTTGAGTTCGTCTGTAATGGCAAAGGAATATGTCTAGCATTTTAGACACCGACAGCGAGGCCTTTATACACCCCTTCTCTACCTCCATTGCTCTCACGCTTCCATCATTCCCGCCCCCATCCTCGCCCCGTCTCACCTGAACCCCATACACAGCCATTGTATCCGACAGCCGAGAACTTTCAGTGAGCCCAGTTTCTCAGTTCTGTTATTATCCATTGGCGGTGGTAACAGCCCCTCCCGATTTATCGGTTCCGCACTCAGGCATTCCATACGGCCTCTTTTCCTATTCGTCAGTGACCCCTGAGAACATCACTTGTCGCTTACAAACCTTCCCCGGAATCTCGACACCCCTGTCTTCCGGCGCGGATTACTGAGGCCTCGCCGTAGCGAGTTTGGTAAAAAATGAGGGGAATAGGTCATGCTCACGCAGGCCTAGGATTCACTCAATCGGATCTGGACGTCTGCAGATGTGGAATGGTTGGATTGAGCGGAATGAATGAGATGGTAATGATGAATACGGTCGTTCTCTAGCCGTCGTGTGTTGCGAGTCGGGAGTAGGTTTTGATGGATAAATTTGTAGAACGGAGAATGGGTAAGGCCGAGAGAGCGAGAGAGGCCCGAGGGAGAGGGGGAAACAACTGAGAGACCAGGAATACAAGTCCGATAAAGGTAAATCCATGGGCGAGAGAACGTGGTGCATGGGTAGAAAGTCGGAGGTCGGAAGCAGAAAGACCGGAGGAGTAGTGTCTCGCATGGAGGTAGAGGATGAACCCGGGATACGGAACAGACTATTAGATCATTTCAGAACTCGTCAACTAGTTGATAAGGTTGTTTCCGTTTTCCTTTCCTACTACCTCCAACATAATCCTTCTGCGAACCCCGCAATTCTTAGGAGCCCACGAGCTCAGGTTGATGAGACAGGGGCCTTAGGTTTCGGCGCATCACAATCCTGCCAATATTAGCTCTCGATTCCATCACGTCTCATACCAATCCTACACATATCTTAGGGAAAAGCCGTCATTACTCACATCGACCAACAAGCATGCTACGCCCGGCCCTCCAACTTCTGTTAATAGCCCTAGCGAAAACCATCCACAGCGCCTCCACTGTCAAGTCACGATAGGAAGGAAGAAGCGAGTGGCCGGCTTTGGGAAGAGGTTGAACAAGAAATATGAGCTTCAAATTTCCTCTTATTATTCAAATTTCCTTATTATGTATTCGCTTCGTTGATCGCTGCATCCTCTTCAGACTGCACTTCCAGCGCATCAGGGACTATTCCAGTGGCTTGCCACACACGTTTGCCCTCCTCATTCCCTTCAAATAGCTGGTTAAAGAACTTGGTGGTGATCTCTGGAGGTGTCCAATCCCGTTCATCCGTCCTCAGATGCTCGCGTGCCAAATCCATAACTTCCAAAACTTCCTTCGACACATACTCGTAATGCTTATGTAACGATTCGAGGTCCCTACCAGGCCCTTCCGAGAACCCCCAATACGAGGAAAAGCCAATCTGACGGGCTTCTTCCCACCTCTTCCTCAGCTTCTTTATGTCCGTATTGTGGCGCGGAAGCTCAGATGTTTTCATGATGGCTTCAAGGAGCTCTTGCCAACCCCAGGTGTGCTCAGGGTCTTTGATTCGGTCGTCCCACCATATCCAGCTCCTGCCATGGCCGCGGAGAAGTGGCGCGGTAGATGAAAGAGCATGGCCGCATGTGAGCAGTAGGATTCCTGTAATATATCGCGAGCCCTCCTCGGGTTCATATCCAGACCAGAGTGCCTTGAGGAAGATGCGCGTCATGATGACCCAGTACCGCTGCCTCTGCGCTGAAACTTCCTTGTAGTACTCGTATATTTGTAATCGCAATTCGGCGGGAAGTTTAGGGAATGGGAAGTCGGACAGACTGGACAACGACTTCGGCGGACGGACTGGAGTGGAAAGTAGCGTATATGCTCGTCCTAATAGCATGCCATAGAGGAGGCTGTTCGCGTAGTACCACGGTGGACGGTGAGGTGTTTCGTCTCCATAGAGCCCCGGCGTTATGGTGATATTAACATAATCTGTTATGTAGACTTCGAGTTCTTGCGGAAAATGGTGTTCGTGGAGGTGGGGACGGAGTAGTGAATCGATTCTACTGGGTTGGCTTCGGGCGGTTTGGAGGAGCGGGTGGAGGAGCGGATTCGTAGCCCAAGACGTGCAAAGAATCCGCTGAAGGTGAGTGGTTACCTGAGGCGCCGCCATTTTTGTGATTGTAGGGAAGAGCTGGGGCTGTTGAAGTTTGTGATTGCTAAAGTCTACTTGATGATGTGCTGAGATGCGCGAGTCATGGTGACTTATGTCATCGACTCTTGTAACATTGAGGAACAAACCCAGGAAACAGTGTGCGACTCTGCGTCTTCCGCCTTCATCGGCTCTCTCTAGGCTGAATCTCGACTGATATATCTATTTTAAACTGCTCACTGCCTCGTGAATCTGAAATTTGAAGCATTTTCCTCGATTATGACATGCGAAACAACCCCATGTGCATCTGTGCCGCGCTGACGGAGACCAATGTCCGCAGGGCTGTGAAATCGTAGCATCCTTCCACCTTCCACCAGGGAAGGGAGCAAATGAACACCAATCGTTCTTAACGTTAAGTGGGGCGTTCGCCTGTCCAACGAGGCGTTCGTGTGGTATGGGCTTCATTGCGGTTAGGATACGGTTTTATCGTGAGCGTAGCCACATCCTTCTCAAATATATAGATCGATATATTCTCCCCACAATCCAAATCCCACTCTACAATTTTTCTGTCCCTTCTCTCTGAATCCTCGTTTGCTTTCATCTTGGAATAGCCACCGTGCAATCTCCTCTTTCTAGATGGCACCTTTAGTATCAAGATCATCCGACAACGATACTAGTACTGGGGGCGCCATTGCCGGCATCGTTATTGGATCTCTTTACATCCTATTTCTTGTAACCGTATTAACGCTTATCGTCAAAAACAAGATCCAGAAACGCCGGCGACAAAAGCATGTCCTCCAGCAAGCCGGATACAAAACCCTGGGGTCTCAGATTGAGTTGACAGCTCAATCTCCGAATGACGAGGGGAGCGGCATTGCCCAACTACCAACGAATGATGAGGGAGGAGAGGACTTAACAGGAAAGCCTAAGTTGGAGGTTGAAGGCGAGCCAATTCACCAGCTTCATAGTAACGAGGTGAGGACTATTCAAGCACCAATGCCTTACTTTCCACTTATCCTCCACTAGCAACCTAGAGCGCCATACGAGCTCCAAGACTCGGTCGAATATGTAGGCACAAACGAAGAGACCCAATCAAATATTACTGCAGCGAGAAGTCCTAGAGTACCTTCCGCAGCTCTAGTGCACACAAGATCACCTTCACCAATATTTTCCAGAGGAGAGAACCTACCATCTATTTCGAGAAGCCCGTCATTAATTTCAAGAAATCCGTCTACCGCTTCAAGAAACCCATATGCGGCAGCAATGGCCGCGAACGATGCCCGTACAACTACTTCTACGACCAAAAAACCCACATTGACGTTAAATACCTTGACAAATGATACTACCGTCTAGAATGCTGCCGTTTTTGGCCCTTCGGCATTTTCTAAATCTGGGCAGAACCCTTCTCGAATCAGTTCTACGCTATCAAAAGATTTCGAACAGTTACTTCTTCATTACATCGCGCTCACTCGCGATGAAGTTCGCTTCGAAGATTCATGATAATCATCGAAATCAGCCTTGGCTAACGGTCCTGTGCCGCAACCAAGCCACGCCGTTGGCCCCCAAGCTTTCAGGGCCCCAAACATGAGCTAAGGTCCAACGCTTCGAGGCTGTGCCAAACACCGATAAACACCAATCATTATCACGCAGAAAACGTCAGTGTCCACTGGGCAGTTATGTAAATCCAATGACAGCATTCATGAAGCTAACACGTCTAAACTTAGAATGCAAGACTTTGAGGAGGCTCTGATCTTGTCCGTGGAACTACGGATCCGTAAGTTCCTTCCAGGATGGAGATGTGCATTGATCGCGATGCGACCAGCATTGGTGACGACATCCCTGGCAAGCAAGGACAAGGCGCGTTTCATCGCCTTTCGCCCATGAGCTTTTGGACGACAACGCCGCACGCAAGCAGTTAATCCACCAGCATTATCGCCCGCCAAATCAAAAACCTAAACTGTTTACTGGGTTGGGATTCATGGCTCCACGAAAAGGTACTTGAAGACTTCCACGTGCATTTACCACGAAACCGCATTGTTCAAGTCCTCAGGTTCTGACTCTTCTGCAGGACTCGTAATTGGAGGCTCCTTATCGCGTGTAACCCATCTTCTCCCTCGAGCAACAACAGCCTCCACGACTGCTGCCGGGATCATTATCATAATCATCCTTATCATCACTGGTATCGCTGTGATCTTCTGCATCGTTGTAGGAATCATCATCGCAAAGAACAAAATCCAAGCGCGCAGGCGCCAGAAAATTATGGAGGCTTCACGACCCACAAATCAACACGAGTACCGGGCCCTCGAAGACATGGAACCAGGGAGTGGAGGCATTCAGGAGCTGCCGCCCGATAATCAAGTGGAGGATCCGGTGCCATTACAGAAAGTGGAACTACAGGCGGACACGAATGCCATTCCAACGGTACAGCAGTTAGATGGGTTCACTGCGCCAGTAAGACTTATGCTAGGATGTGTAGAGGTGCAAGGACTGACAGTGGTAGCCACGGACAAACAGTCAACCAATCGAACTTCCATCGAATCCCCATACTGCCGTAGGCCCGGGACGGTAGAATGCTGAATGTGGGCTTGGGTGCAAGAACCAAAAACTTTGATGAGGCACCCAATCGCCGTTTCCTAGCCATAAGAGTTCTTCCTTACTAGAGGGATGGAAATCTGTACCTGTTAAAGCGCAGTCTGATGAAGCCAAGCGTCCGTTTTCAAGGCATATGTTGCTCTGCGTATAGGAATATCGTAGTCTAGGGACGAGATATTCCAAAGCTAAGGGCCGAAGTGGAGGATTCGATAAAGGGTCATCATGATTCGACGTTTTGCGCGATTGCTAGGTTTGAAAGACGGACAGTGGGAGAAGATACCCCTTACGGCCGTCTTTGAGCGCGGCCGTGTTGATTTTCTAGCTGAGAGATAGGGCTTGGAAGACTTTCCTTTTGCTATATACCCCTTCGCGCAATTGCGCTCTCCTGACGCTTACCTAAATGACCAAAGTTTTCACTCTTCACTGTGAGTCACGTGCTTTGTGCGCTCACTACCGACACCTGCTGCTGCTGCGCAAACCAGTGGTTAAAGCTTGCGGTAAATACCTTCGTGTGAGTGAGAACATGAGCTACTCCTTCAAATAGACAGTCAATCTATCCTCACGTTCCACAATTGTTGGGGCTGACAAAGCGTCCTAGATAAGGAAAATAATATTCCTCAAGCAAGGCCACTAACCTCACAAAACCCTCCATTAGATCATGCCGCCTAGCCAAAGAACTTCGCATGCTTTCCCGACACAGCAGCTTGCCATAGTCGGTATGTAGAAACATATATTGACCTCTCAGTCCCATTAAACCCCGCCTAGCAATATGCCGATTCTCGGAACCAATCGCATTCAATAGCATCCTCGCCTACAGCTATGTCATGGTCAAGGATCTCCACAATGGCGACGAGACGAATGCCTCATTTTATTCCGGCCTATTGATATCTGCGTATGCGGTCGCTGAAGCCATTACGGCAATGGGTTGGGGAGCCATCTCGGACCGATATGGACGAAAACCAGTTGTGCTGATCGGTCTTGGCGGAGTCGCACTTTCGAGCCTCATCTTTGGGCTCGCGAAGCATTATTGGGTGGCTTTGTTGGCGAGATTTGTCGGAGGTGCGCTAAACGGGAATGTGGCTGTTATGCAGACTATTGTGGCGGAAATGGTGAAGCATCCGGAACATGAACGTAAGTGAATGGTGCGCTTGCGGTCTACAGTACCATTGAAAGACCGCTAACTGGTTGCATATTTAGCAAGAGCATATGCTGTTCAACCCTTTGTCTGGACCCTCGGCGGTATTATTGGATCAGCAATGGGCGGCTTTTTGGCTCAACCAGCTCACTTTTACCCTACCGTTTTCTCACCAGATGGCCTTTTTGGAAAGTTTCCCTATCTTCTGCCAAATCTTGTGGCTGTTATTGCTATTTTATTAGCAATTATCCAGGGGGCGATCTTTCTGGAAGAGACAAATCCGCGACATCAACAAGATCACAAGGTCTTTGAAGACGATGAAATAGATGAGCAGACTCCACTACATCACCAGAGGGACCGGGCATCCCTTGTACGCTGCTCACCCGACACCGCACGACCTCACTCTGACGTAGACAAGACTCGCCATATTCGAAAACGGCCCTCATTTCTAGAAGAGAGTCTACCGCTTCCCACCGAGCAGACCTTCGACATTCGTAGGAATTCTTTTGGAACCATGCACTCCATCAAGCTTCCCCAGGACTATCGTAACAGCAGCGGCTTAACACGAGATGACGATAGGCCGCGCCGAACCTTCAACTTGGCCATCATCATGCTAACGCTTTGCCTGGCATTTGTCGCATACCACCAAATGGCATTTGCCAACACATTCCCAGTCTATCTCCTTGACAAACCAGATACTCCGCCGGGACATCTCGACTTCCACGGCGGCCTCGGCCTCACATTACACGATGTCGGTACCTACCTCGCCGTGAACGGATTCATTGCACTTTTCATCCAAGGAATTGTCTTCCCATTCTTTGCCGAGAAAGTGGGCGTGTGGAAGTCTTTCATTATCATGGTTATTTTGTATCCAACTTGCTATGTCATCATGCCCTTCATCTCCGCGCTTCCGAACTCCCTTATCCCCGTGGCAATATACGTCGCGCTCATCCTCCAGGGATTTTACGGCATTATTGTCGTACCATGCGCTCTCATCTTACTGAAGAATGCAACGGCTTCGCCCCTGGATCTCGGCAAAGTTAATGGACTCGCCATGTCAGCTTCTTGTTTGGCTAGGACTGTGAGCCCGCCCCTTGTTGGTATGATCTATAGCGAGGGTGGATCAGGAAATGCGTGGCTGAGTTGCACGGCGGTAGCCATGTTAGGTGTGATACAGCTCTTTTGGGTTCCTAGGGAGCATATCGATGCTGTTGAGGTGGAAAGTGGACTCAAGATGCGAACTGAGCATGAGAATGTGCAGGGAATTGAGGAAGGAGTTGTTGAGGATGAAGAGCTTTGAAGATTTGTGGACGAAGACATTGTGGAGGTTATTGGTCTTGATTTTCTGCATTTGCATGTTGGTGGCATTGTCCTTTGCCATTGAAGGAACATAACTTTTGGGCATCGGGGGAATGGACTTAATGTGTAATGGCCTGAATGAATCTTATCTGTCTTTCTACATCAGCATATTCGAGTCTCTCTAGAACATGCCCTTCCGCTTGACCTGGCTAGGTTGACTTATTCCCGGTAACAGCTTCTCAATTCACGAACCGTGATCCAAGAAACCATCATTTGCTATCCACCAATCAACGCATACCTCGCCCCTCGCCCCAACGGCAATTTCCAGCGCCTGTTGCAACCCCTCCTCTTTTCCTCTCATTACCTGCACGACAAGCTGCACTTATATTAATGTACCTGCTCGTGTTAGAGATCTTCTCATCTCGTGTTCCTGTTTTGCGCGCTGCATGTGATAAATGGAGTTCAACCTTCCTGTTTTGTCGGTCTTCCGATCCCGAGCGCTCGTGGCCCGTTGACCGGAGACGTTGTACGGGCTGGGAAGACGAATGGAGGTACGGGAGCTTAACCGTAAGAGACGGGTATTAATGATGATGGACCTACTAAATCTTAGGGGCCTCTCGGTTTGGTTTGGTACGACGGGCCGTGGTGGATCATGGGTGTATGTTACACCCAAGTTTCCCCGTCGAACCTCACTGGAGAGGACTACATAACCTGTGGATGTCCAATTCTTCCGCCGCGGGTCTTTGGCCAGCTTCTATTTTCAATGTGGTAAACCGCAGCCATGATTTCTAGAAATATCTTCACCAGGCTTTGTGCCTTAGCCCTCGTTCTTCCTCTAGGACAATGTATTCCAGCGACGCCGCCAGTCCAGAAGCGTGCTGCACTCGACACATGGATAGCAAATGAGAATTCCATTGCCCTTTCTGGGGTGCTTGCAAATATTGGATCTACAGGGGCAAAGTCGTACGGCGCGTCGAGCGGACTTGTGCTCGCTAGCCCGTCAAAGGTGAACCCGAACTGTGCGCATCCAATCCCAATAATTCTTCTTGTCTAATCTGACGACTTTAGATTTCTATACTTGGACACGTGACTCTGCTCTCGTCTTCAAGGCCCTAGTCGACCAATTTATTACTACCCAAGAGTCTTACCTCCAACTTGAGATCAACGACTATATCTCAGCCCAGGCAAAACTACAAACCGTCTCCAATCCGTCGGGCAGCCTCTCTAACGGAGCCGGCCTAGCAGAGCCAAAGTATATGCCAGATGGTACCGCGTTCACGGGCGACTGGGGAAGGCCTCAACGAGACGGCCCTGCTCTTCGTGCTACGGCGCTAATAGCGTACGGGAGATGGCTTCTCTCCAATGGTTACGGCTCGGCTGCCGCGAACATTGTTTGGCCAATCGTGAAGAACGACCTCGAGTATGTGGCCCAGTATTGGAACCAGACCGGATTCGATCTCTGGGAAGAGGTCAATGGATCGAGTTTCTTTACGACAGCTGTTCAGCACCGTGCTTTAGTAGAGGGGAGCGCATTTGCTGCATCTGTTGGGAAGAGCTGCCCGAATTGCGACTCGCAGGCCCCACAGACACTTTGCTTCTTGCAGAGATATTGGAGTGGATCGTATATTATTTCGAATATTAACGTCAATACAGGAAGGAGTGGAAAAGACGCGAATTCTATACTGGGATCCATTCATACTTTCGATCCTAACGCTGGATGCGACGATTCCACCTTTCAGCCCTGCTCTCCGAGGATGCTGGCTAACCATAGAGTCGTGACGGATTCTTTTCGGCTTGTCTATGGTGTGAACAATGGTATCTCTCAGGGCTCAGCGGTAGCTGTCGGACGTTATCCAGAAGATGTGTACTTCAACGGTAAGCATCGTACTGAATAGAAGACCTTGTTCCATTCTAATCTGTGACTGAACAGGAAACCCGTGGTATCTTTGCACGCTTTCCGCTGCGGAACAATTGTACTCGGCGCTGTACCAGATCAACAAAGTCGGATCCATTAGCATTACTTCCACCTCTCTCGCGTTTTGGCAGGCCATCTACCCCTCAGCAGCCACAGGAACCTTCTCCTCGTCATCCTCAACCTTCACATCTCTCACATCCGCTCTAAGAACTTATGCAGACGGATACGTCGCGATCGTGCAGAAATACACACCAAGCTCAGGCGGGCTAGCCGAGCAGTTCGATAAATCTTCTGGGGGCCCACTATCCGCTGTCGACCTGACTTGGTCATATGCATCATTCCTTACTATGACAGCTGCAAGGAACAACGTCCTGCCCGCATCATGGGGTGCTGGTTCCGCCAACCAGGTACCAGGCGTATGCGCTGCTTCGTCTGCGACTGGATCATACAGCCCGGCGACGAATACAAACTGGCCGAACTTTCCTTGCACAACAGCATCGACCGTCTTTGTCACTTTCAACGTTCTTGCTACGACGTCGCTTGGACAGAATATCTACGTCGTAGGGTCAGTTGCGGCATTAGGCAGCTGGGACACAACAAAAGCCGTGAAGCTAGATGCTGGGAGATATACGGATAGCGTGCCGCTGTGGTATGGGACTGTGAATTTGGCGGCTGGAACAGTGTTGCAGTATAAGTATATCCGCAAAGAGGCGGATGGGAGGGTGGTGTGGGAGAGCGATCCCAATCGATCATATTCTGTTCCAACCTCGTGTCGAAGGTCAGCCGCAATCGGTGACTCCTGGAGGTGAGCTAGGTGGGATAGATGGGGGCAGAACTAGGTTTGCCCGATTCCCGAATTTTATTCGCGGTTTTCGCCCTCTTTGCAGCATCTTTGACTTTGAACGAACTTGATTGGTTCAGCCCCCAGCCCTGATCTGAACTTCAGGCTTCCAGTTGCAGGGATTCAGGTATCACCGGTTCATTACACCAATGATATCTTGGCAGCCCTACCCTGTGGTGGGGACAGGAACACAAGCTAAGTTTATGATGGGGGCCTACAGAATGTCAGCCTCAGTTCAGGCCTCGATCCTCACTTTCAGTCTCCCTCATACACGTCGCGATGTGCAGCATGATCTTACAATGTTTTGCTGCAACGACAGTGTTGCTCATTACTGGAGTCCAGAGTGCTACTGATATTGGCACGAATGCAACGACACAGCTGGATGGTTTTTGTCGTCGATTCGAGCATCGCACGACGGTGCTAAACAACAAGTTGTATCTTGATGGTGGCTATGTTAATACGAACCCCATGAGTTCGGATCCAACAAATTACACGAGTATATTGCCAAACCTGTTCTCGTATCGTTTGTCGCTAATGAGGTTTTACGTTCAGATTCGCTACTTCTCTACTCAGACCTCTTAGTAACACAAGATGGCATGCCTAAGATGCGGTCAGGTTCCGGCAAAGATTCATCGGTACCTTCAGTCGCAGGCGGAGCTTTGTGGGCCGATGAGATCAACCAGCGCTTCTACGCTTTCGGTGGCTACTTCACCTCCAGCACTCCTTCCGCATTCCAAACCTGGACTCACGATGAATTACACGGCTTGTGGAGCAATGTTAGCACGGAAGGGGACGTGATGTCCTACGTCGCTCACGGCATGTCTGCCGTAGCACCGGATGCAGGAATGGGGTATTACTTTGGCGGATATCACGACAATGAAACTGATCTAGGGTGGACGGCGCCGAGACTGTATACCTCGACTTTGGTTGAGTTTGATATGGTTAGTAGGAAGTATTCGAATTTCACGGGTTCTGATGGGAAGGGGAGAGGAGAGGGTTTGATGGTGTTTATACCAGCGTCGACGTCGGGTCTTTTGGTTTATTTTGGGGGAGTTGTGCAGGAGAGACCAGGGGGAAGTGTGGTTGGGGTGAGTATTCTATTCAACCTTCTAGATCAGATCAGATCTACATCATCTGACGTAAATTAGGTTCCAATGAATGTATGTGTGAACTTGAGGGCTTTTGATACGCAGAGCACGCTGACTAAAGTAGGAAATTTGGATCTACGACATCTCACTCCGAAAATGGTATCAGCAGAATGCCACCGGCGAGGTTCCGGATGCACGAACTCGTTTCTGCGGCGTCGCAGCTTGGCCGGATGACGAATCTTCTTTTAACATGTACGTGAGCCCGCACCTTGTCTCCTTCCTCGCTCATCGGGAATACCAGCTACATTTACGGCGGCCTGAGACCCGATGCCGAAAATACAAACGGCAGCACAGCCTTGGACGACCTCTACATCCTCTCCCTTCCCGCCTTCGTCTGGGTGAAAATGTATCCTGCCTCGAACCAAAGCCAGCCCTCTTTTGGCCACCACAGCGCCACCTGCAACATCATTAACGGTACCCAAATGATCGTCATGGGAGGCAGTTTCCCGCAAACCCAGTTCTGCGATTCCCCGGCCTTGTATGCGCAACATAACGTGGATTTGGGAGAGATCAATGCCGATAAGGATATATGGTATCTATTCAACCAGGACAATCCACCGTATAGACTACCTATCGCGTTGACGAAGGTTATTGGTGGGACGTAAGTTCTCCCGTCAAATTCTCTATTCATATCCTTTGACCTGCTCCATGGTGAAGTTTTTAGCTCAGAAGAGCGATGCTAATCATACCTTTGAGGGGGGTAGGGATAAAGGAGGCGCGAATATAACAGCACCGTTTACAAATCAAACGTACGACAAATATCTCTTCGAGAAGGAATATAAAGTCCCACAGCGCTATCCAACGCCTATTACTTCCGGTACTCCTCCCGCAAAACAACAGTCGAATGAGCTCAGTCGTACCGCGCTCATTGGCGCAATTGTTGGGGCAGTTATGGGAGGGATCTGCATTGGTATTGCTGTGTTTTATATTGTTGGGTATATGCGACGTCGACCACGCAAGGAAGATAAAAACCCGCACGAGAAGGATGGGAAGGGGTCGGGGAAGATGGTGGATGAGAGAATGCATTTGGAAGAGTTGGAGGGAAGGGAGAGGGCGGAGTTAGGGAGTGAGAGTGAGCAGAGGTTTTTGGGCGAGATGTGGGTCGAACCGGTGGAGCTGGAGGGGGAGAGGAGCGGTGGGTTTAGGGGGGTGTTTTAAGATGGATTAGGGTGGGGTGGGTGTTCTTTCCGATTCCTCACACGTATGTTACACACCTTCAATGACCACATACATGTCGGCCACCGATGTACGAGTGTGGCACAGTGCCTTCTGAAGTCCATGACGTCGATTCTCTCTCCCCTACTTCTTGAGCAATGTAGTACCAGCGGCACAGTACGGATCTACATCAGCTAGAACCATCAGATTCATGTCAACCTAACCTAACACAACTGCAAACGCTTTATAACCTCCCTTCCGTCCTCCTTCGCCTTCGCGATAGGTGCAGGCTAAGATTATTGCAATCGCTTCCAATCCTGGCTGGATTCGTTCGATTCTTGACGATTTCGCAGACGTTTGCCATTCCATGCTGACCCAGCTAGTCTATATACCATCGCAGTCAAACGAAAAGGATGGGCGTCTTCATGCCCCCCATTTTTCGGTTTCTTGCTAAGCTCCGTTAGCGAACCTCACAAATTCCCCCCTCTCCCGCAGCCTCCTCACCCAACTTACGGTCACAACAACCGCAACATACAATCTCTTCTTCCACCCCCTCCTCCACCTCCCTTGTCCCTTCTTCTCTCGAATCCCCTCTCTCCCATCCTTCTACCACGCCTGCGTGGACGACCGCCATATAGAACTTCCAACTCCACGGCAGGAAATTCCGGGCCGCACCGAACTTCGTAGTCTTTAATTCCCTAAGCGCATACAATTCAGTATTTCGTTGAGACCTAACGTCAAACGCTCTAGTTATTATGCCATCTGGTCAAGAAATGCTAACGATGTCAACACATGAATGACGTCCGACATGAGACTGCATGTTAGGAAGCGACGGTTGTTGAATTCGGCGTTTAATGAGCAATCTATCAACGCATCGAGTCCATTTATGGCGAAGCATATTGATATGGGTGGAACGAACTGTTGCTGGATTTGGGTAGGAACGAGCAGGTTGATCAGAGCGCGGATGCATGCCCTGCGCCTCGTGGTTGAGTTTCCTTGTTTTCGATATCCTCGGATATTTGAGCTTTAGTGCGAGTTTCGATACAAAGGAGCTTTGGGATAGTAGATTAAAACGGATTCCGGATGCTTTCGATACGTTGGTGGCATTTAATTATCCTGTCAGCTTGAAAGCCCATGGAGTCTATTTATCCGAGGCTATTCTTACTGAAGATAGAGGCATAAATCGCGAGGATCCCGCTACTAGACTTCTTAGTCTAGCTAAAACCCAGTTGTCTTAATAACCTTCTCAAATCTTACCGCTTAATGAAACCAGAGGTCATTATGAATTCGTCCAAGAGCCAGTAACACAGCGTTGAAATGCTGAACGACAACGAGTGGCAGAGGAAAGAGAGGTCGGAAGAGAGGACATGCTCCACTTCCTTTGCAGCGGGAAAGACCGGGAAACCGGAAACCAGGCGTTCAGACTAAAATCTGATCGCAGAAGCAATTTACTTATCCTCGCTAGATCAGATTCCACAGGTATTATGATTAGTAGGATTTTCTTCTACAATACACACAGTTGCTTGTCTATTTGAAGCTGGATAATGAGACTAGAGATACGTTCGCTAGCCCCGAGGAGATGGTGTATGGGCCAGAGCTATTGAAGAACTATAAGTACATAGGCGCTTGCATTGATGAGACGCGGCGTATGGCACTAGCGGCTCCGAGCTCGCTGTCCTGAGAGGTAGTCCCGGCGGCATGACGATTGACGGCGAGTACTACCCCGTAGGTGTTATTGTTGGTACTCCGAATCGGGCGATGGGGCGGAATGAGGAGCACTGTGAGGATGTGTCCACATTCCGGCCTGAAAAGTGGATTGTGTCGGACGATCTGGACTCACCAAATGTAACACCGAGGGCGATGCTCGCAAGCTCAAGTCGCGGCTCCTTACCGTCCTTAATGAAATGGGGGATTGTGTTGGGCAGAAGCCCGCACTGTTCCAGTTGTCCGTGGTTATTACAAGAAAACTGTGGCGCATGGGTGTACGACTGGCTCCTGGCACGGATGTCGGAGCGGGCAATCCTAGGCTGAGCTGGGGTAGAAGAGATCCCAAACAGTATACAGTTACAGGCGCGTACATAGCGCTGCTTGAAGGACCGACGGTGCAATGCAGATCTAGGCAAACGTGACCTCATTTCATGGATACAAGCTCGGTTCTGAAGTCTCCTTGAGGTGTGGATGAGTCATTGCGTTAAAGTTTAAAAGTACTTCTCCCGGTTCTCTGCAATGTCGTTTCCTATTGCAGCTGCTCGGTTCTCTCCCTAACTTCCACTTTCCTGTGTCGCCTGCATTGGATGGCGGGTGGGGGTGACAAAGGATTGGTAGGCAATGGGTGGTGGTTGGGCTGAAGCTAGCTGTCCTGGTAAGGTTTAGCGCATGTGCTTCGTGTCACGCTTCACTGCATAACCCACTTTGCCGTTTCTCCTTCACACAACACATGATCCAACACTCAACACTAAGCATCTAAAGGTCTTTAATCGTCTTTAGCTCCTTCAGTTAGTCGTCAATCTAGAGTCGTAGTGCTTTTCGGAGTGGAATATGGAGCCCAGCAACACTCTGGGGCCTGATGAAGGTGGTATGCGTCCAGGAAGGTACATCAACCCAGATTCGTACTAATAGCCTTCTATACGTCATAAGGACTTTCTGATTGAAATAGCTTTCCGTTACTGAGCCTGCCACGTGAGCTTCGAGATATAATATACGTTTTCGCTCTGGAGCCGAGAGCAGACTTTCTCTTCCGAACATTGAATGGTTACGAAGACAAACATCATAGGCCAATGAGGATTGGTTTACAGGGCTTCCGAATTGTTCAAGAAGTGTTTAGTTCTGACATAGAGGAAGAAGCATCTGGTCAATATTGGAAAGACGGTATCATGTGGCTGTGGTATCGACTCTCGGCTTCCTCGGCCCTCTTATTCACCTGTAGGCAAATTAGCCTCGAGGTACAAGAAGCGATGGCATTTTTGGGCGGCTTGATGGAGTCATCTCTCCACTACAATCGCTTCGCGGAGTCCCCTGACACGAGATTCCTGGATATCTGCTCCCGTAGTTGTTTCGCCATCCTCAGCATCTCGGCTGCGCCTTCGATCAAGGTCTTGCGAGGACTTCCACAGCCAGTCCGTTCACGGATTAAGCATGTTGTCTTTGGTGTAAAATGGCGTAACCTTTCTTCTCGTTCCTTTTGGGTTGGTGCCTACACAGATGAAAACCAAGTCTGTATACTCGACTACCTTGCCCAAACAGTGCCACACGTCCGTGAAGTTGGGATATTTGTCCCATTTGATCATAGCGATCAAAGCTCAACTGTTCCGGCGCGGCTCGTAGAGATGCTGAAAAGAGGGGAAATCGATACCCTCCGGCTTATGGACTTAAATTCGTCTCTGCCAGAGGGTGACTGCTGGTTTCTGCGAGGTAGCACCCTTGTGGAAAATGAGCCCAGTCACGAGCAATTCATTCCAGTGGACGGAGTTGTCACATTTGAAGAAGAGAAACTTGGAGGGGGGCTGTGTCATATTATTGAACAGTGGTACCATATGAAAAGTAAGAAAAGGTGGCCGTGGCTTGACGCGGGAAGCGTAGTTAAGATGATTAGGATTGAGAAAGGTGTAGAAAGGAGGCGGAAGATGGTGATCTGGGATTACAACGAAGAATTGGACTGTTGAGCTGTACGCCGCTCTCTTCACCGTCACTGCCGCTTCGCTCGCTCTCAAGGCCATCCACGGATATTCCATGTCAGTTAAATTCTACAGGGCAAACAGACATCGCTTCTCACTTTTTGCAGGCAAAACTTGAGCGTTTATAGGTGAGAGCTAAAGGCATGGTATAACCAGTGCAACTAGCTCAGTCGTGAAAAGTCAGCTAATATTTACAACCTTCCGCCCTGCCCCAATGGCAAGCGGTAACCGCAACCGGGCTACCGGACATTCAAATGCCATTGTAGAAGAACTCGGCTCTCTAAAGACTCTCCTAGCTTACTATTCTTAGATATGGACATATCATGGAATTTTGGTTAATGAAACTCAAATGCTGGATGGATAACCACGGGCCGGTGTGCTACTTGCTAACGAAGGAATTGTTGGCCCGTCGTGGATCCTACCAATCGGACAGTGTCATCGCTCTTTTATTCTATCATCGTCGCTTTACTTACGTATATCACACCTGGGTCAGAAACTCACAAGCTCATATCGAAGGCATGTTGGATTGAGTGCGAAGGACCATTATGTTCTCAGTATAATGAATCTTACATCCGAGCAATCTTACGACTTTGAGATATTGGAGCGCTTTTGAGCAGCTATGTGTGCCAACACGGTTGCCCGGAACCTAAGATCGTTTCGACCACTTCCGCTATTCGGAACTCTCGGGAATTAACAAAGTCGATTTGGGAATGCTTCGGCAGTGGCATCTTGGCTAAGAAGATGAGGGGTTACCCTATCTAGAGAGACCGTCCTTGTTTCCACTTCTGGTCCAGCTGCTGCCATCACTGCTACCCTAACTCATCTAAGTCTCAATGTCTTGGTTAAGGGTGATTGTATCGTTTCAAAGACTAGAATTCCCCTTGCAATATCGGTACTCCCCAAAAGACCCTCCCCTAAATGGACATGACGCAAACCTACAATTGGGTACACCCCCCTGACCGCCATTCAATAATATTCCACTAGCCACCACTTTCTCACAGCCCTCATCTAGTCGTCCATCTTAACTATCGCTATCTAGATGTAACCTGCTTCACCGCGCCGTTCACGATAAATAGTATCAAGCCACTGACTTCTATCATCCTGATCCAAGATTCCAGGCCAATAAGCTTTCTTCGCCCTCAACTCATCTCGAAAGCGGATATACTCCTCAATCTCTTTCTTGTCCCGTTCAATGCAATACTCTAGGAACTCTGTCGGAAAGTCCTTGTAATCCGTCCAACCATGCTCATCACATTCCTGCGGCGCAAGCTTTACAACAAACACATCTCCCGCCGCCAAGCGACTTGCACGACAGAAAATGAGCGGGACGGAAGCATTTTCTGGGAGATCGTCCAGTGCAAATGAGAACCATTTCAAGTAGACTCCATTCCAGGCCTCGTTTGGTTGGTCCGTGAATGTTATTTGCTCCACGTCTCGAAACTCCCAGCCTCGTGTGACCTTCCAAAATGCGCGCAGATCGGGGACACGAGAAAAGCAGCAGTCCGGCCCCTGATTCTTAGGCTTCTGATGGTCGTCGGTCGTTGTGAGAGGTACTAAGCATGGCGCGGAGCCGTCTGCTGGAAATCTAGCGCCTATGATTTTGATTGTAGGCTGCGCGGGCTTTGAGAAGGATGAAAAGAGCGCCCACATAGCTGCTGGAAGCGTGAAGGACCAGAAATCTAGGACTTAGCACCGTGTTCTTGTGCCAACATCAAAGCAAACGTTGATTTAAAATATACCCTGGCAATCCAAGAAGAAGGGGCGATAAAGAATCTGAGAAGCTGTCGAGGCATCAGGCAGCCACACCCCGCAACTGCACGTGACACTCTTTTATACAAGGGAACTTTGAGCCTTTAACTAAAGTTAAAACTCGCAATTAAATAGATAATCACAGAAGAAAAAGAGCTTGAAAGTCAGTGGGCAATGGCTTCAAACAACGCGGACCTTTTCAGCAACACATATATTCAACTAGTTATGTCCCTCACTCACTAATTATAGAAATATCGTGGAATTCTATCGCGAAGTGAACGGAAACTTGCATGCCGCGCATGGGGAGATGATACCTGCTGACTTGATCTGGTCTGACATGCAGTACAGAATTGCCCGATCCCCAATCCCCAATCCTTCACTCACTCGGATCCTTTCGTTACGCAAGCTGCATTGATCGGTCAACAGCGTGCATAGAATAGAAACACAGCTCGCATCAGTTCAGTTGCACAAGAGTCCAGGATCCAGTTTCGTGAGAAAGAAGTCTATTTTCCACTGCAGAAATCAATTCGGGTATCACACGAACGCCAGAACCAAAAATTCCCTCCAATTCTCCCCTCTCCCCGAACGAAATCCTTACACACCCACTCCCGCTTCCCATCCTAACCCGGTCTCCTTGGGTCCCAGATCTAGACCCAACGCACTTCTATATGGGTGTACGGGAGTGTGTCAAGGCTTTCGTTTATTTCTCCAACGCCTTGATGTGATCATACGGAATCTGTGCTCTCTCAACTGTAGTCGTCATATTCGCATATGTATTCCCGCGCCCACCACTCGCACCTTGTTTATCGAAATCTGGAAACGCCCATTCCTGCAGATACCGGTCTTGGTAATGTCTCTCTCCTCCCTGACCATGACCCTGATTCTGGCTACCTAGACTCGCGCTTCTGGTTGGTTCCATGACACCGTCGTGGCCTGGTGAGGAAGATAACGAAGTGCCAGAAGTCTGGCGCGCGAGATTGCGGTCTGATTCTTGGGACATTCTGCGGCCGAGTTCGATAGCAGCTGTGCTGTGAGAGGATGCTTTCGATGGTTTATGCTTATGAAGTTTGGCGCTCCGACTCGTACTCCTCTCCATCCCCCCTTTCCCCCCCATAACAATACTCATCCTACTAACCCTCCCGCCGCTCTGTTCCAACTCGGGGATTCCTACAAACCCACTATTACTGTGTCTGTTCTCCACAAAAGCGGTGCTCTCGCGACGGTCAGTGCGGACTTCAATTTCGTTTACGACGAGGATTTTGTTTGCGGCGAGGGAAGTGACGAATGGCCAGAAGGTAGGGATGCTAGCGCATAAAATGGCAATGTTGACTTCGAGGACAGAGAAGACGAAGACGGCAGGGGCAGCGAAGGTAGGGTCGAAGACGGGGACCGTGCCGGCGCGGCTGATAGAGAGAACGAACATTCGGGCGACGGAGAGAATAGCGACGCTGTAGGTTGAGGATGTTAGATGATATGAGATGGACGGTGAGGGGCTGGTTGATGGAGGAATTACTTAGAATGGGTAAAGGGGAAAGTGCACTTACATTGAACCCATCGTAAACAAGCCCCATAACCCCATCCTTGTCCTTCCCTTCATTCTCAAGCTCTTGAGAAACGGAACCGGGAGAATCAAACATAAGATATCTAACAACATATTGCTTGCACTATGAGCCGCAAAACTAGCAAACAAGACATCTCCATCCTTACTCCCCCACGCTACGCATTTCCCTGGAATCCTGAAGTCCCAGTTTTTTTTTATCGGAATGCATGAGAATAACGCGAGGCAGAAGAAAGTAATGCCCCAACAACTAATGAAGACTATCATGCATTTACTCAGGCGACGCGCGATGGTGCTCTGCATATCGAAAAGACGGAGATATTGGAATAAGATGGCGAGTTTGATGAAAGTGGTACTGGAGGTGTATGTCACATTTGAGGACCAGACCCACTGGGTGGGTGTAAGCAAAACTAAGTCTTGAAGCGTTCGAATAAGGGGGACTCACTTTGAAGTACTCTTCTAAATGGCCGTTATCGAGGGTCCAGATATGCTTTCCCATGCCAGAATCTGGCACTGTAGTCCCACGTTATTAGGATGTCCATTTAACTTATTTGGGCCATTTAAACCTACTCAAGCACACTATACACGATCCTGCGATGGTCGAAAGCTATTGCACACTTAGTAATGACAAACATCATTGGATTATGCACAAACCTACACCAGCGAAGAGGACAAAAAGGTCATCCCAGCCCCATAGTCGTTCTCGAAACCTGATATACAGCCGTAGGCTGACAGCCAGACATGCAACAATCTTTTTGGTAGATATTAGCTCAAGATAAAGTCGCATTACGGAGATGGAGTACTCACAAGAAACGAGATCGTACATCCCAGCACCGTCTCAGCCCGATTCACCACAGGTAAATTCGCGTTATCCGGGTGCTCAACCATTGTCCTTCTCCTTCTCGGGATTCCGCCGCTCGCAGTCGGATATGAGTATCGATGAGATGAGGAGTCGTACTCGTGGCATTCAATGCCAGCTAGGTAGCAACAAATAAGACAAAAGGCCCCCAACCAGCCTTCATATTCACCAGGGCAGATAAACAGACGTCGTACGTTCGTAAGGCTGTGTCCTGGAAAAAATGGATCTGGTGTCAGAACTCAAGATCAACCTGGGCACTGAAGGGAAAGATGCGGAGAATATATGGATCTAGAGGTTGGCCAAGAGTGAGCGGGTGTGCGTTCGAGGCGTCAAGGATCTTAAAACTTAAACTGAAAAGGGCTCTTTGTCTGGCACGCCAATTCCAGCCGGGTCCCATTGCTTTGGGTCGGATGGACTGCGAGGAGGGGTGCAAAGCCCTGGACAAGGGGATCGGGACTTTGCGTCGTCGTGATTGCTGTGCTCTGACCAGCGGCGGGATGACACCTGCAGCAAGCCGGGGTCCGAAAGATGATGCCCTGTGCTGCTTTGAAGTTGGCCTCGTACATAATTAGAGAAGGTAGTCCAAACGCCTGAGGATGTCATTACAGATCCTCCTCCCTTCAGCACTCAGCTTTTCCACGCCTTCATATCCACTGAAACCAGCTTCTCCCCGCGAACTCGGATTCTAATCGACATCAATGGCTCATATGGTGAAACTTTGCAAACATTCTAGGAATGTTAGCGACGCTATCGATTAACGAGGCACGATGCAAACGTGTGATTTGTCCGCACCCTTCCCGCCAATCTTTCCTTTTTCCCGCATGATTTTGAATTTCACCGCGACTCATGATCCTCTTCCTGCAGCACCCTAGGGTATCGTTGAATGTCAAAGCGTTTTCGTGTCGAAGCCCGGGGCTAAGATTAGTCGCACTAACGGGATACAGTAGGAAGCGTTGGTGGCGTTGGAGCCAATTCCAGACGAAACTCCGGGGTGAAGTTGAAGGAACCCTGTTCAGCACGCGATTCGTGAATGGAAGATCAGCAACTAGCCGTGGGAAACGAGTCTCAGCATCGTAGTGGGTGATGCCGATTGTGACGTTGTGTGATGAGATGCGTGTGACAAGCCGACTATCAAGACCTTGATTTTGACAGGCGGGAGGATGTGGTGAAGCTTGATAAACCTGCAGTGTGGCCACGGACAGCAAGTCAAACCAGTCAAAGCGAAATTTTCATTTTGCCAAAGTAGTCCCAAGAAGCAAATGTCCGTTGTGTACCTATTCTGTTCGACGGAAAAGCTCGAGACGTAAACCGCCTGCGTAGCCTCGTTCTGAAGGGCGAAGAGAAAATAGATCAGATCATGTACGCAGGCGGCGATGTTCCTGTCGCCCTTCGCAGAACAACGCCGTCCTCCCTCCAAAAACTCAAGATTTTGCAGTCGCAGTGGCGTCATTTACGTCATATTCTGCACGCAACGATGAACTCCGACCGGTGCACACCAGTTAGATGCCATGAAAATTGGCCTTACATGCCTAGGTAGGTAGGAGGACACAATAGTTCCGGGAACCTTTCCTGCAGATGCAGTCTTGAACAAGCGAAGTCCGTCGTCCAACATTTCTCTTCCTGACCGATCAGATGGACTTTTCAGAGCTGAGCCTCTTCCTGCAACTGTGCCTGCAGGCGTGCATGCATCAATCATGTGCCTCTCGTTCAGAACAACCTGTCTTTGTAGCGACGTCCCACAACAGCGGATAGAAAGGAGCGTCAAGTTACATTTCACAATGCTGGTAAGAGCACAAAATCGGCATTTCCGAGGGCCGTTACAAATGTCTCACTTCGATCGGAAGGATGCCGCGAAACGAGACGCACGTGCCGAATTTGGTGTTGCCGAAAGGACGATAGAGATTGGATTGAGGACATGGGATGGTGAGATGGGGATGATATGAGACACGAGGCTGATGATACTCGCCAGGCGGTGTGTGCATGAGGATGGAGAGATGGAATGAATGAGGGTTGATTGGTGAGTGAGGTGTGGCGGTAAGGGGAAGAAGCAAAAAGTTCGTGAACGTATTCAGGGTTCCTGGTCGAAGCTTCCCGGGTGGTTCGGCTTCGATTCGTATTCGAACACCCCATGTCCAGTTTCTCTCCCGTCACATATCCCTCCCTTGGAGTAATCTCAGCCTTACAAAACAGCACGCACACTGTTCTCGACCAAAGAAGCATACAAAATCTAGCAGTGAACTAAGATAGATCTGCAAGCTACGTCCAAGGCCCCCTTACATCTCTCTTTACCTCATCCCAACCTAACAAAAGCACGCACGCTGGTCTCGACCAAAAGAGCAATCAAAGTCTCCACTTAAAAGTTCTCTGTCTAAGAACCTCAGAAAGCACTAAACGCAGGCCTTTCAACACTCTTTGGTGCATGTCAGCGCATTTAATGCGAGGCAGAAGTCACACCTTACCTATACGCGAGAGCTATTCACCCCTGCCAAACTCGCCAAAATGCATACGCAAGCTCTAGATATCAAAGACCTATAGTCACGTCCCTGCATATCCATCCCCTCTGGTTTTCTTCGAGGGGGGGGGAAGGCTTGACCTCACAACGCCAACCACACATGAAACCTGTCGTTCTGCCACATCCACCATCAGACTCCAGATGTAGATCAGGGGATTCTACGAAAGTATACTGTATGCCTAATTATGGCAAGAATGACGACGGAAGACGGGAGTTGGAACGGCAGTTGGGACTTGGGAGTTTACTCGTGGAGCTTAGTGGGAGCTTAATTGTTATGTTTCCCCTCCCGCGTGGCAATCCTGAGTCGGTCCTTTATGCTTGTACGCTTGCTCATGATGTGCTGCTGAGAAGAGAAGGTCATCCGAACCATTCTCGCGGATACCGCGTCTTCCGCAACGCTTTATTATATCCACATAGCCCATCCATCCAGACCTCATCAAGCGCCCTCAGTCTTCCCCTCGACCTTTTCATCCTCAACACTAACATTAGTCACACTAACGCCCCCTAATCCAATCTTACTCGTATCATACCCATTATCCTCCAAATACACCCTGAATGCCAGATCCTCCTGATCAATAGTATCTTGTCCCACATGTGGCAGGAGTAGCACAAGTCCTGCAGCAAGAAATGCCAGCGAGCTAGCGACGAAGAATGGATTCCTACCGGCAGCAATCTCGTCGTCTCCAGCGTTTTTCTGGATCGTGTCGAGGGCATAGGAACCTGCGAATGCGCCGATTTTGCCCATGGCTGCTGCGATGCCATAGTATTGTCCTCTATCCGCGTCACAGAGTCAGCATCTAGGCGTAAGATGGGTGAGGGGTGAAGGAAAGAAGTCCCGTACCGAATACCAGTCGCAGACGTCTTGCTCGCAAGAAGGCCAATATTATCCCCAGGACCAAACTCTCCCAACGCAAGGAAAACACCATAAACGACTACAAACCCGGCTACGTTTTCCGGCTTATTAAGCCAAGGATAACATCCTGCCATAATGAACCCAATGATACCCTGAAGAGCTACACCGATAAAAAGCGTCTTCTTCGGTCCCATTGACGGCAGATCCGCCACGAAAGCTCCAGCAAGACAGCCCGGCATGTAAAAGAAATTGATTAAAATATTCCATGCCAGACTCTTCCACAACGGCGCGCTGGGCCCGAGTAGATTGGCTAAGATGGAGGTGGAGTAGATGCCGAAAGAGTAGGCGGAAAAGTCGTAGATGAACCAGATGATGCTGACAATGGTAAGGCGGTACCAGTAGAATTTTATTACGAGGAGCCAGGGGGTTTTGGTGTGAGCTAGGGATTCCCGCTTGAAAGCTTCAGGTTCTTGGAGTTTGATTCGGAGGTAGAGAAGAGATAGTGGGGGGAGGATGCCAATTCCAAGACAGACCCGCCAGGCGACTCGGAGATGGTTTTCGCCGGTAATGACAACCTAGCAATTCTCAGTAGGTGCATTTCGTGTGTTCGCCAGGCGTATGCTTACCACTATGGTGGCGACGATAGCAGATATCAAGAAAGCTAGGTCAATCTGAACATTTGTGAATAATATGAACCATTTGTTCCTTGTTCCCTCTTTTAGCTCTCCCGTACTTTCAGCGCAGCCAACACTGCCAGCTGGGTACTCCCCACCAATGCCTAAGGAAAATTAGCGCGCTTATAGTCAGACATGTTAGCACTGTTCTTACCAACTCCTAGAAAGAATCGATAGGCGACCAAGGCAGCTAGTAATCCCCGGGGACTGCCACCTGCGCCGTATGCCCCAGAACCCAATGTGGCGAAGAGAATGATGATGATGGTCGAGCTACGAATTTCAGCACGAAAACGGTTCCGCACCATCTTAGATTACTTACGCTAGCAGGGACCATTTCCTAGAAAAGTGATCAGATGTATACCCAAAGAACAGCATGCCCAACACTGTTCCAGCGAAAGTTATAGACGAGACATTGGCCTGTGCCGACGAATTCTTATAAGAGTCTGGGTAAATTGTCTTGAGCATAGTGTTGACAGGACCAATAATCTACCACCACATCAATGTCAGCCATCCCACTCAACTCACAGCTCTGAAATCTATGTAGCGCAATCGTGGGAATTAGAGCTTACGTTGTTGAGGTATCCATCACTAAAAAGCCCAGCGCCACATGCAATTACCGGCCACAGCCTCTCCCATCGGCCTTTGTCCGTCTGCGAAATGCTGGCGCGACGAGGCGGCGAAGCTCCGAGCTCGCTAGTAGGGTTGTGCGACTCGATGTCTTTGGACATGATGATGTCTGCGATGGTGTCGGTTGGAAAGCCTGGAGTTGTATCTACACAAACGTGCTGGTTCCTATGCTTTGAAGTCAACAAAAGGCAAACAGCGCAAGCAAACGCGACACAGAAAATTATCCCTAGGCAGTTCAGCTGGGCCCGCGAGCGAGCTATTTATCGGAGCTCGCCCGGCTATCTCTTGGTCTCATGCATCAAGGTTGCAAGCTTTCTGTTCCCTTCCCTTACCGGATCCTTGGTCCAACGTGAACCCTGTGATCTGTTGCCCGCAGCTGTGCTGTAAGCCAGTGAAAAGCAGCCATTCACACCACGCGGATTCTTTCGCTTCTGCAAGTCCCGTTTGCAAGTTGCAATGTTTCGCTATGTCCGATGCAGCGGTGCACTCACCTGCTTCTTCGAGGAATGGCTCGTGAGATGGATTGTGAATGCTCACTGGAGCACTGACAGCCCCGGGCGTGAATCGAACGAGGAGGGTGTGCACTCGTATAAGGGCATTGCAACCCTCTAGCTTCTTTCTTTGCAAAACGGCCTATTCGACCGTGATATTTGTGCTCTTGCTCCCAGCCTTGCTCGCTATCAGAGAGTGGTATGCAGGCTTGATTGCGGCAAGCAAGCTCTCCTCCGCGTAAGTGGCGCCGCTTTAGCCCTCCTGTTTCGGTTACGGGCTGAAGCTTCTTTGCCGCTAACGAAGCTTGATGTAGTATTGCTAGGGGGGGGCTGATTGGCTGATGAGAAGAAAAAAGGAACCCAGGCATAGCTCGTGTGCGCGAATCTCGACGAGATACAGTTTAAAGACAACCCGTCACAATCTGGACACTATTTCGGTGCCATACCTACGTACCTACTGCTTCGAACAGGCCTTCAAATTCCTCCTTTCGACCTTCTGAGCTTGCTAAGAAGCAGGTGAGAGACGAAGATGAGATTCAAGATAGTTATAGACAAGACAAACATAACTATAGACATCTAGTATGTAAAAAACACAAAGTAAAAGCTAGGACGTCTAGTCCGCGAAGAGTACGACAACCTTCTAGATAACAGCTAGATTGCAGCCAAAAATTTCTCAGATTTTGATCCTCATCGCTCGACCCCATCTTCTCGTCCATTCCCGCATCCACACCCCGCCCAGACTGTCCCCTCATCCCCCTCAACCCAGCCTAAGCCGTCTTCTTCCACTGCGTCCAAACCCCCAAAGCCGAACTCAAAGTTCCTGCCAGACCTACGAACCCATCATCAAACCCAACCCACCCCAACGCCGCACTCGGAATCGTGATGTCACAAAGATCGCTCACAAGCTGGATCCTCACAGCATTGGTCTCCCGTTCGAGTTTTTTGCGCTCGACGACGCCCTCGCCGTTCTTCTCGTTTATTTGAGTAGCGCGAGAGTTCAGCTTGTAGAGGGAGTACAGCGAGGAGAGGATCGAGCAGGTGATGCCCGCGAACCAGGCGCGGTAGGCTTGGGTTAAGAGGAGCTGGGAGCGGGAGGAGGCGAATTTGTGGATGGATGTTGCGTCCAGCTGGGGTTTCTCAGTTAGCTTGGGACCTGGGCATTTGCACAAGATCTCTGAGAGCTCGCTCGCATGTCCATGCCAACACAACCCGGATGAACAACGCTTCAGATAAATAAAAGGAGATTTGTAATCTCCGCACATACCACAGTAGCATTATCCAGCAACATATACCCCGCATACCCTAGCTGCCTGCCCACCGCCAAATACCTCAACACAGGATCCATACTCTTCGCGTCACTCGCCACGGCTGCGGCCTTAAAATGCTCGATGAACTTTCCCACGCGCATGAGCTTTCGGGTTAACCCGAATTGCTTCTTTGTGGTTTCGAAGGGTGAGATGGTGGACTGGGGGTGGTTGGTTCGGTATAGGTACCAGGCCAGGAAGCGCGAGAAGTATTGGAGCGTTCGGAGCACCTTGTCGCGACCCACTGGGAGGGGGATTAGTGGGTAGTAGGTTGGCTGGCTACATGATTGGGTGGTTTGAAGGGAGTTTGGATGGGGGAAGGGGGTGCGGTGCGGGTGCGGATGCGGATGCGGAGGTGCGGAGGAGAGGAGGGGATGCTAGGAACATCGCGCAATGACTCTAGGAAGCACGCGGGTGCGATGGAGACATGAGGACGGGTTCTAGGAGAGAAAGGTGATCTTACCAGTCGTCGCGACATATTTCAAGTAGTGCGACACTGTCGGATGATAAATCAAAGCGTCCGCGACCATATTGTCTGCCTCTGAACGGGTAAACAGGAGACTGAGAAGATAGCGCGAGGGTGAGCGATCCAGATCCGAATTCAATTCCCAAGAACCTGTTAATTCTGGGAGATTGGAAGCTGGTCAGGAGGTAGTGGAGTAGAAGTTGGGGAGCGAGAAGTGAAGTTGATGAGGCTTGAGGTTGTCACGGGAAAGCTTGTGATTATGAGCTGGCTGGTGAAAGCCGACTCAAAGACCTCGGCAAAAGTAGCAATGTGAAGACCCGTGTCACGGGATTGACACTCCACTCGCGAACTCGAGTCGTGCTCACTTGTGAATTCTGGACGGCCTTGATCTGGGGGTTGAAATAATATTGCGAGTTTTGCAGGTATCTCAAGATAATTTAAATGTTCAAAGGCACCACGGTCCACTTCTAAATCGACCTTTGAAAGACCGGTTCCAAAAGCAGCCCCACATTCAGTCGGTAGCAGAAGCCTCAAACCCCAGACTACACCTTGTAGAAGCAGAAAGTGTGGTAGAAATCGGCAGCATCCAACTCCTCCTCAGACACCATTAACTTTCCAGTCACGCGATCTCGAACGCCCATCTTCTCACTAAGAGGACCAAGCTCTGGATCGTCCTTCTGCTCGTCCCAGACCTCTCTGAAGGGTTTCCGATATTGAAGCTCGAGATTGTAGTCTTCGGCCAGAGCACGGAACGCTTCCCATGGCACAACGTACTCGGGGACTTCCTCCACAGCCTCTTGCAAGAAGTAGAAATACTTCCAGCCAAATGGCGGTCGGAAAGTGCCGTCTGGAGGTGTCTTTCCGGGAAACTTGACCCTATAGATGCTGTTTCCCCACTCGAATCCCTCTTCCTCGACTTCTCCGTCTTCCTGCGCTTCCTTGGCTTTCTGTTTTTCGTCCTTTGGTTTCTCCGGCTCGCCTTCTTGGGGCTTTGGGTCGTCCAGGCTCTTCTCTGGATCCCAGTCATCTTCGTCGTCGTCGCTCGCGAACGCTGGCCGGTCATCCTCTTCGTCTGCAATTCCGTTGGTATTGCCGACTCCAGTCCCTTGCGCCTTGTGATGCTCGATGACCTTGGCCGAAAGAACGTCGGAATTCGGTATGCATCCAATGAAGCGGCCTCCTTTCCTCAGGGCTCCGGCTACGTTGCGCAGCATGCCCCTTGCCTTCTCCTCGCTCTCGAACGCGTAGTGCATGCAGAACATCATGGTGACGATGTCCCACCCGCCGCCGCCCCAACGCTGACTGACTGCATTGCCTGGGCCAACACCAGGATCGATCCCGACATCTTTGATGATGGGTATCTCGCCCAGAAACTCTCCGAAGCAGTCCTTGGTATAGAACTCAGCATGGAAGATGTGCTGACCCCGCCTTAGCCTCTTGCGCATCTGTTCGTATCGCTCCCTAGCTTGGGTGATGGAGACATCCGCAGGATCAGCTCCAACATACAGCTCCAGCTTCCGCGAAGACTGCCACTTCTGGAGATCACCGCCCTTGCCGCACCCAATATCGAGCACTTTGATATGCCGCTCGTCGCCGATGAATTTCTGAATCGTAGATGACTTTACCCAATTGTTGAAGCTCCGAAGCCCCTTGATCTTGCTGTCTGTGACTCGCCATTCTCGGCCTCGCTGGGGAACTAAGTTGTAGTGCTGCTTGACGACATCGTGGACGCCTCGCGATGCAGCGACTCGCTGAGCCTTCTCTTCCTCCTCCTTCTCTCGTTGCAACTGTCGCTGACGAGCAGCCTCGCGTTCAGCGGCGGTGAGACGGGAGGCAGCGCCGGGACGCTTTCGCTGGCGGGGAGGGGATCTTGACCGCGATCGAGATGGAGACCGGGATGGCTCGCGGGCCCGCTTTTTGCCTTGTTCGGGGCGCGCCGTGTCAGCCATGGCTGGAGCTGTGAAGCTCAAGAAAGTGGCGAGGGGAGCTGGGGGAGTAGGACTCTTCAGGTAGGCGAACCGACGAACTTAAAGCAAATTAAAGTAAGCAAATAAGTTGCACTATCTAAAGAAGGGGACTTGTCGTTTCTGCGGTTGTTTCAATTGCTGCTTTAGAGGGAATGTGAAGTGAAGGTGAAAGGAAGTAAGGGAAGATGAAAAGACGCCAGGGCTGGGACCAGGTCCAGGTGTGATTTACCATATCGCAAAGGTCATTTGCCCGGCCAATGATAGTTCCTCTTAGCGCAGGCACCATTCGCCGACGTTCACCCGAGGCGCGCATCGCCGCTTCATTTCGGAGCTTCAGAGCCTCACAAACATTGTCGCCTTATCTTGAGTAAACAATCCCCTCCTACATCGAACGCCCTCTCTTCCCCTGTCAACGCCTCTGAATTCTCATCATGGGCGATCCGCAGTTCGCAAAGTATCCCGACCTCCAGCTCTCACAGCACATCTTCCAGCTCACCAATCCCTCGTCCTCCAAAACCGCCAAACAAGCTTCCCTGAAGTCGGTCCAAGATGCCATCAGCGAGCACAAGATGGCGCCTCTCTACCGGCATCTTGCCCATCCGGTAGAAGGCGTGTTGAATGCACCGGGCGAGGGAACGGCGCAGCCGCCTACTAGCCACCGGAGACCGTCGTCCAGCGCCGCAACTCTGCTTGCTACCCGGAACCCGACCCTCGAAGTCAGCTTGCCGTGGGATGAGAAGCTGTACGAGAGTCTGAAGGCCGAGAATGAGAAGGAGTTGGAGGCTATCCAGAAAGAGGAAGACGAGGCGGCGGAGAAAGCTGGAGAGACTGAGGTACAGGCAGCCCGGGGTAAGAGGGCTGAGTATTACACTCGCATAGGAGACAAGGTAGGCCATGTCGTGTCCATTCTGGTACCCCATAGCTGAGCATGGCATATAGGAGAAAGCTATCGCCAGCTTCGAGGCCGTGTTCGAAAAGACGGGCATCCTCGGCACCAAGATCGACCTTGTTCTAGCCATAATACGAATCGGGCTGTTCTTTGGTGACAAGGTGCTGGTCAAGAAAACGGTAGAGCGGGCAAGTGCGTTGGTCGAGAGCGGTGGAGACTGGGATCGCCGCAACCGCCTTAAGGCCTACCACGGGCTGCATCTCCTTACCGTTCGATCCCATGCTCAGGCTGCTCCTCTTCTCCTTGACAGTTTGTCCACCTTTACAAGCTACGAGCTGTGCAACTACTCCTCTCTGGTCATCTATGCCATCTTGGCGGGCTCGGTAGCGTTAAAGAGGGTAGACTTCAAGTCTAAGGTGGTGGATGCTCCCGAAATTAAAGCTATCGTGGGCAATCCCGAGGACAAGCTTTCCGCAATAACAGGCCAGACTTCCGCCGGTCCGGCTGCAGGTGACGAGGAGATGGCGGATGCTTCAGCGTCGACTGCAGCGCCAGTGGCCGCTCCGGTGAATCTCACAACCTTGGGCGTGCAGCAAGATGCGGAGGTATCAATCGACTTCGCCCCTCTGGCTAAGCTGGTCAAGAGTCTATATGAGGGAGACTATAAGAACTTCTTCCGGGCTCTAGGAGAGGTCGAGGTCAGCTTCCTCAGCCAAGACCGGTACCTGCACGAACACAGGGGATGGTATGTACGGGAGATGCGGCTGCGGGGTTACCAACAGCTCCTCCAGTCGTACCGAGTCGTGGGCTTGACGAGCATGGCACATGACTTTGGAGTCACAGTCGACTTCCTCGACAGGCGAGTTCCTCGCACCAATTTTTGTTGAAGCGTTTCTAACACGTCGCAGGGACCTGGCCAAGTTCATTGCCGCTGATCGGATACCATGCACCATCGACCGTGTCAAGGGCATCATTGAAACCAACAGGCCCGACGACAAGAACAAGCAGTACGCCGATGTGGTCAAGCAGGGCGATCAATTGATCACGAAACTCCAGAAGTACGGTCAGGCAGTTAGGCTAAGGGGAAGTGAGCGCGGTTGAGGTGCCGATGGCCCGTGAACAGGTGTCCCGACTTGTAGACATACATACAGTACCTTATTAGACAGCCAAGCGAGTAATGCGCTCGAATATCTTGGAGACACGAGCGCTTCAAATGTTCTTCGCCACAGTTGCACTATCCACGCGTGTCTGATCTTCCGACACATCCCTCGTCTACCGCCCGCGCTGTCAGAACGCGCTGTCACGGCTTTCATTCCGCCGAGGCTGGGCCTGGGCTCCTTACTCCCCCCGCCCAAGTGATGGAGGGGACGAAGACGGGAGACGGAGACAGACGCGAACACTTACGTAGAGGCCACTGGTAGAAAAGCAAAGCTTCAACTGCCCAACCTCGGACACTGGTCCAATCCCATTCACCTGCTCTCTCCCATCTCCGGATTGCTCCGTACGCAATCGATTCTCGTTTACCGCGCTGGGCCAAGCCTAGCGAGGGCCTCCCGTGCTCCCGCACACGGAGAGAGTGGGTTCGAGTGGGTAGGGCAGAGCCGACGATAAGCTCGGGACCCCGCGATGTGGCCGTCATCGGTCTGCTGGCTCCAGTCATACGAGTATCTGCCCAGGCGAATTTCCAGCGCCAATGCCTCAATTCAAAACGCGCAGACGGTTTTGACGCCGGTGCGCGTGGGAACGAGAGGTATTTAACTCCCACCGCCCATTGACTTGCACTGTTATCGCTGCACACGACTGCACAAGAAAGCAAACTCCCGCCCGAATCTTCACCCTAGTGGGGTACGCTTGCAGCGCAGAAAAAATTACCTCAACACCTAGTCTACCCATTGTTACCTCGTCCTGAGAAAAAGCAATTGCGCAGCTTGAGATAGCTATACTAAAGCTGTGGTTTCTCTTCGACAGGTATCAGGCCATTGCTCACCTCCCCTTTTCCTTCTGTCACTTGTAGCTTCACTGTGACACAGCGCGCAACATGTCCACCCCGCAGTCTGCCCGCGCCCTCAGCATCAACAACATCAACCCGCACGTCAAGGCCGCCAAATATGCCGTCCGTGGCGAGCTAGCTGTGCGGTCCGAGGAGTATCGCGCGAAGCTGGCCAAAGGGGAAGGCAAGGACCTGCCGTTTGACACCGTCATTGCTGCAAACATCGGCAATCCCCAGCAGCTGGACCAAAAGCCGATTACCTTCTTCCGCCAAGTGGCTAGTCTTCTCGAGAATCCACTGCTCTTAGAGCACGAGGACGTGCTGATCAACAGCCTGGGGTACAAGTCAGACGTGGTTGAGCGGGCCCGATGGCTGCTGAAGGAGGTGAAGAGCGTGGGAGCATACAGCCAGAGCCAGGGTGTGCCGGGAATTAGGGAGAGTGTTGCAAAGTTCATCGAGAGTGTGTCTCGTCCCCGCCCCTTCGCAGATCCATTAGACTTGCTGACATAGTGGCCTAGGGCGTGACGGATACCCGGCTAGCCCCAAGGACCTCTACCTCAGCAATGGAGCCTCGTCTGGTGTCAACACCCTCCTCCACATCATCTGCCAGAAACCCTCCACCGGCATTCTCGTTCCCATCCCTCAGTACCCCCTCTACACGGCCACTCTCGCTGTGCTTGACGCGGTATGCGTGCCATACTACCTCGAGGAGGCCCGTGCCTGGGGAACTGATCTCGAGGCGATCCGCAACTCCTACAGCAAAGCCGTTTCCGAGGGCACTGACGTCAAGGCCATCGTAATTATCAACCCCGGAAACCCCACTGGTGCGAGCCTACCAGCTGAGGACATCAAGGCCGTGCTAAAATTCGCGGCGGAGAAGAAACTTGTCGTCATCGCCGACGAAGTCTACCAAACTAACGTCTTTATCGGCGAGTTCATCTCGTTCAAAAAGGCCCTGCGTGACCTGCAAAAGGAGTCTCCCGGAGAATTCGACAACCTCGAGCTAGCCTCGCTTCACAGCGTTTCCAAGGGCATGGTTGGCGAATGTGGCCATCGTGGCGGGTACTTCGAGCTTGTGGGCTTCGATCCGGAGGTTGCGGCGGAGATTTACAAGTTCATTAGTATTCAGTTGTGTCCGCCTGTCCTCGGCCAGTGCTTCGTCGAGCTTATGACCCATCCGCCTGTTGAGGGCGAGCCCAGCTACGAGCTGTACAAGTCTGAGTTCGATGGCATTTTCAATGGCTTGAAGGAGCGGGCTTATGCGTTATTCGATGCGTTCAAGCAAATGGAGGGTGTGGAATGTCAAACCCCTGCCGTAAGTTCCCTCCCCCCTTCCCCACGATATCTTCCCCCTAAACCCCAGACACAGGGCTCCATGTACCTCTTCCCAACCATCACCATCCCCCCCAAGGCCGTCGAGCAAGCCAAGAAAGAAGGCCGCCAACCAGACGAATTTTACTGCTTCCGCATGCTCGACGCGACGGGTGTGTGTGTTGTCGCTGGCTCCGGGTTCGGGCAAAAAGAAGGCACCCTACATTTCAGAACGACGTTCCTCGCGCCGGGGACCGAGTGGACGGGCAGGATTGTCAAGTTTCATCAAGATTTCATGGAGGAGTTTAGGGGTTAGAATAGTGAGGAGGGTGAGTGCATGGAAGAGGAGGGGATGTGTGATAAAACAGTGAACGGGACGAGAGGGAATAGGAAGAGGACGAAATGCCTGGATATCTGGTCTATCATTTGAGGGTGGATGTGCAATTATTTAGATTCTGGATGTGTGTTATGTAGCAGGACATTAGATATAGCTGCCTCTGATCTAAGGCGGGAATCTCACCTTCCTGATTGATTGACACCCTAGTTTCCGATCCTGGTTAGAAAACATGGCTAGAATATGCCCAACCACAGTTAATTTAACTCTACCTATTAGCTTTAACATGGGGCTGGTTTTTTGTGGACGTCATTTTGGTTCGACTCCCCATGCTGACCAGGTTTTATACCGGTACTTCTTGCAAGCACTAGCACTACAATCGTGGAAAGAAAACACCCCTTTCTTCGCAGACATCAAATCAGTGTCTTTTGGAAATGGTAACATTATGAGCATGTAAAATTCAAAAGTACGAATCTAGCGAGATTAGTTGTTACATATCGGAGATTTAACTCGGCGTTGACGACGTTGAAAAGTGCTTGATAAGTCCCACCATTTGTGTACGGAATAGAGAGCAATTTTCACAGCTCCTCTAACGCTCGGAGTAGACTGTAGGAGTTATTGTTCAAGAGGATAGATGTGAAAATTGATGCATTCTTTCCGGTAAGTTAAGGGATAAACGTCCCTACTAATTGAGTTTCGTAAACCCTCCTCTCTAGTATATTTCCTTTATAACTATATAAAAAATAGAAAAGTTATTCAATATTAAATTCATAGAGCAAGATGAGGATTTTACAATAAGCTGAAAAATGGTCAAAATCAGTTAAGGCTTAGTCTAGCTATGAAGGTTGAAGGAGAGCGGCCTAGGAAAGGTGTAGGGCGCAAGAAACTCCAAAGTAGGTCGACTCCCCAAAAGTCACCAACTTCTAGCCTTTGGATTTGTAGCCTTGCAGGAAGCAGGATTTATGAGAGAAGTTATCTATTGTGGACTGAGGGTCGGAGTTTTTATAGCATTGCGGGACGCCGAGCCCATGGTTGATTGGGCAGCCCATCGTCAAGCCCTGCGGCTTACAGAACTATTGATATTCAGAACTCCACAGCTAAGAACTCAGCAAAACAAGGGAAGTACAAGAATAATAAGGGCGTGTACAATTCTCTCCTACTTTTCTAATTGCACTTCATAGTAAATCAAAACCTCCGTGCATGCTAAACTTGGGACGGTAAGTCTTGGCACCCATCACCTGGTAGCTGGAATCGGAATTGTAGTGGTCTAAGCTTTGACCTCAGATTTCTCTGCTTCCAAGCTGTCGTACACCCCCTAAATTTGGCGTACAAGAAGCATTCCTGAATAAAAACCTGACATCCTTCTTTACTCTCACTAATTTCAACCCTTCAAACCTTTCAATTTCTCGTCGAACCAAGGGGGTCTAGCTACCTGTGGGTCTTAGTAAGACTAGAGGGCGGCATCCCAGGGGAAGCAGAGCCTGCTCCTCTGGCTGTACTACCACACTTGCTCATTTGGTTACGGTATCTCTCTTTCAGCTCCTATCATTGTTGTCATCAAGGATATTGTGGCTGTCAGCCACAAAACTGGAGACATAGCAAGGCTGTGAACGGGCAAGGCTGTGACCGCTCCAAATTCCCTTTCCCGTCCCCAGCAGTTCTCCCCGGGCTGCTTCGATCATGCCTCAATCATCCTCAATTTATATTTGAATGATCGATAGGATTACGAAAATGCTAATATGGACCAGAACAGGATTATGTTTTCCACATATGGATTTTTCATGACGAGCAGAAGAACTAGCGTGGCCGACTTACCTAGCCCATAACACCGTCAGGGATCCATCAGCTGATGCCTCTCAGCTCCTAGTAAGCCATTGCCCTAACATAGTATATCACTCAGCAAATCAGACAGCGCGGCCACATTTCTCCCCAAGCCCCAGGGCTGGCCTGCTATATAACTAAAGGCAAAAGAGCCTCCTAGGATGTAGCATACTGACCTTTGCGAACTAATTCACATCTTCACTCTTTGTTACTACACTATCATGGCGCAATCGACGACGGTAAGTGATGTTGTTGCAGTATCTACCGACCAAGACCTTCAGTTGTTCCTACGAGGAGACTTTCCAGAGCCTGAAGAACGAGTCAGCAGAAGAGGCGTTCCAGACTACCGCCCACAGTTGCGCGAATCCCGCCCAGTTGCCGATATTATGGAAAGCGCAAGGCCGAAAATTTTAATGCGTGCAAGAATGCAAATGAAAATCAGCAGATTCAAATACACACCCATATCTGACGATCAGATTCGGCTGCTTAGAATACGGCCTAATGAATTCGAAGAACCCCTGCTCTGCGATCTTTCTATAGTAAAACTGGCCGACATGGAAGAACGATACGAGGCTCTTTCATACTGCTGGGGGGATGAAGATCCAAGTGAGATTATCAATATCCACACGCTATCGCCTGATCCCGCGAACTCCGATCAAGGAAGATATTTATACAGCCCGATGGAAGAGTTCCCAGTTCGACCCAATCTTCATAAGGCATTACGATATTTACGAAGCAGAGAGAGGCCAGTGATAATCTGGGTGGATGCCATATGTATGGATCAAAGAGATACACCTGAAGCTAAACTCGAGAAGGACCACCAACTCTCGATGATGAGCGAGATTTACAATTCAGCAAAAAATGTCTGCATCTGGCTCGGCGATGCCGATGCAACTTCAAAAGCCGCTTTTAAACTGGTTCGGGATATCATGAATTTCCAGACGCTTGACACTCGTCTCACCGTCACAGATGCAGACGGGGTTACTAAGCAGAGGTGGTGTGATTTTATTGAGTCACTGAAGGCACCATGGTTCAGCCGACGATGGATCATCCAAGAGGTGGCGCTCGCTCGGCGTGCATCCGTTCACTTTGGAGACGATATCGTACATTGGGATGACCTTGCCGACGCTATATCCCTCTTGAACGAAAAAATTGATATTCTCAAGCAAAAATTCTCAGATGGCGCCTTTTCAGAGGTACCGATGCTTAGTGCGACCCATTTGGTGAAGGCTATCGTCAATGTTTGTCGTAAATCACCAAATGGCGATATTTTGGATAGGCTTCTCGATTTGGAGACCCTTGTCTCTACCTTCCAGCAGTTTCACGCTAGGTTTTCTGAAGATATCATTCATTCAGTTCGGTCTCTCGCAAAGGATGCTCCTGTCCAAGAAGATGATGCCGACTTTCGCACAAACCTCGAGCAGGAAAAGAGTACGCGGGATTTATTCATCGCTTTCGTGAACCGTTGCATTAGGAACTCGGGTTCACTTGATATAATATGCAGGCACTGGGCGCCACCTGCAACCGATACAGCCGGCGAAGAAGTCAGCTTCCCAACTTGGGTCTCCGCGCTCTCTAAAGGCCCCTTCGGACTGGCCGGTGAGTCTCGCGAAAGACAGAATGGAGAGAACTTTGTGGCCATGTCGCCAAACGATAAAAGGAAACGCTACAGTGCGTCCTTGGGCTATGAGGCATTCAATGATCGCGACCGCCTACGGTCAACTTCTATTATGAAACCTGTGGTGCCTCCGGAAATCTCGATATCAGCCCCAGGATATGTGGGTAACTTGGATGACACCCGATTTGGACACAGTTTAACTGGTTCTGACTTAACCTTGTCTCCCGCAGCCGTAGAGACGAGTAACCCTTTCCACTACACGTTTGAGAAAGTAGTAGAGCAAGTTTTGGAAGATAAGAATTTAAAAGGGACGGGAACAAGCCCCGTCATACTAAAATCGCCACCTCCTCCACTTGTAGTTAAATTCCCTCCCATGACGTCAGTCCCTACTCCCGTCCGCCCTGTTCCCATGCAAACGATAAGCGAAGCTCACGGCAATGGCTTGCAAAAGCCAACAGAGAAAGTACAGAGTGAACCAGTCAGCTATTCAAGTGGACGAGATCCCTCACAAACACCCATACAAACACCCATATCACCAGGTACACGACCGCGTGCGAATTCATCTTCAACCCTTACCCCAAATCTAGGAAATCAAATTCCAGGCTCAGGGCGATCTAGAATTATACCACAGCCTGATCTATCGCCGAACCCAATGCGTCAAAGGAGAGAAAGGAGAGACTCTGAGGCAATTCAGCTTCAGAATAGCTATGTCCAGCAAGATAAAGAACATCACAAGGATCTTGGTGGTACACTTCGAGTTCATGGATTCGTCCTCGGAACCGTCAAGCGACACTCGGATGTCATGAGAGGTGGTATTATTCCGGGCGACTGGCTGAAGATACTCGGCTGGGATCGAAAGGGCAAAGACAACATAGTTCCTGATATTCTCTGGCGCCTCCTTGTGGCAGATCGTAACCCCGAAGGTGGAAATCCTCCAGGCTGGTATCGAAGAGCTTGTCTACACTGCTTGAAAGACACACGAATCACGAATTCAAAAGGCGATCTGGATTCGCACAGGGTTGATAAGGTGTCCGAGTCAATGACATCGAAGTATCTGATGCGAGTCGAAAGTGTTGTGTGGCGTCGTCGGATCATTGGAATCGACTCCCGTATTTGTGAGGACCATCTTGAACTCTTTGGTCTCGCACCCGAGGAGACCGAAAATGGGGACCTGGTGTGTATCCTCTTTGGATGTTCTGTACCCGTGGTGCTACGGAAAGTGAAAGATTGTCGTAGCCAGGAACTATTTGAACTTATTGGAGAAGCGTATGTGCATGGAATGATGGATGGAGAAGCCGTCCAAGATGCGAAGTTAGTCGAGAGGATTCGAGGGAGGTTTCATATAGTGTAAAAGCCTTTTCATTCCTTTCCTGCCTAGTAATAGATTCCTCGTCAATGCGATCCTGGAGGTATGCATTGTAATATACACACATTAGAAGCGTTTAGAATCACGGCGAAAGCTGAGTACGATAATTATCAAGGCCCAGGCGCCAGCGCACATTCGCTAGACATTCTATCCTTAACCTCCCAACTCTCGTCAACGTCAAACTCATCCGCACCCGCATCCGCATCCGCATCCTCATCATCCACACCCTCAATCACAGGCTCCACAGGCTCCTCGCCCTCCCTCCTATCCCCTAAACCCAACATACCCCCGTGACACGCTTGCTTTACGCATTCCCCTACACCTTAACCCTAACCTTCTGCGTCCAGAACCCAACTCACCCCAACCCCTATCTGCCCTAATCTCCTGCCCAGCTTCCAGGCCCGCGACACCGGGTGCTGACCCATATGCCGATGGTGCCGGATTAGGTTTTATCGAGTTTGAGAGTGTAAGTTCGCGTCGAGTAAGTGTAGATTAGGGTTGTGGTAGAGTCGAGAGGAAGCAGATGGCTTCTTAGATGAAAGTCCGCGTTGAGTGGACGTGTTAATATTTCCGAGACAGACGCTATTGATGGAGGTTCCACGTATAGGACGAAGGAAGTAGAGTTTCTAGGTTGAGGGAGCTGTGCTACAGTGGGGAGGAAATATGATGAACTTGGTGAAATGGTATAGAAATTGAGATGTGGTATAGTGATTCAGTGTCGAGGGATCAAGTAGCTATTTGAAAAGGAGGAGAGGTCCTTGGGATAGAGTAGTGGCGCAAGGCTGGGGTTCGGCCTGACGCAGCTATCCTCAAATGCTTAAAACCCTGGTTGTGGCTTGTCCTAGCGCTTATCAGCTCGTGCGGGGAGTGTTGGGTGAATGGTTTGCGGGTTGATCTTTTTTTTTTTTTGGCTGATTTGTTCGCTCATGTGGCAAGCTTTCGGGATTCAGTTGTCTGTAGTTACCGAAAAGGACGCAGTCATTAGAGGCGTCGAGCTGGATCGTTAGAGACGAAATTCAACCTGGAGGATGGAAGCAAGTGGAAAGCTGTGGAAAGCTGGAGGAGCATTACTAACATGACCAAGAATGATTGTCTATTGCAGAAGCTCTGGAAGTGAGGGACAAGATTTTAAATGAGTTCTGATTGAAGATCGTGGTAAAGATTTAAGCGAATTGGATGACAAGATTAGATCAGAGGGGCTTTACCTGAACCTAAGAGACAAGCTGTAGAGGTGTTTAGAAAGCGCAAAAGCGAGCAGAATGAGTGGTAGATAGCATTCTCTAGGCTTAGAGACCGAAATGTGTTGGACAAACTGACTCGCGCCGTCTCAACAGCACGTTCTGGAACCCCTACCTGTAGAACCGTAGACGCAGATTAGAAAAAAGACTAGCGGAGAGGCATCCCGGCGCAGCATGGCTCCAAATCTGGAATAACGCTCCATTTCCGAGAGGTTGAATGAAGATCTTGAGTGAACGATTCGCACGACTGACCAAGGAGAAGGGGCCGTGGAAGCGGAACTAGGAGTCGAAACTAGGAGAGTGACGGTGACGAGAGATTTCCAAGGGAACAATGTAGAGGACATGATAAGTAGGTTTGCTTCTACTTTGAGAAGATATTCTATGAGAACTAGGGAAGTAAGAGCACAGGAAAGGTTTGATTGTCTTGCTAGGTGATCACACAACTTTACTAGAAGAAAGGGCATGTATCAGGAAGTAAAAAAAACTCCGTATCGCAGTACTTTACATCGGGTTTACGAACAGTAGCGATGCGGATAATCAAAGAAGCAGGAATTAGTGATACGGTCGAGGGGCTTTGGAGCTTCCACCCGGCGAACGGTTAAGAGATAGGAATAAAGAGGAGATAAGACATGTTGCCACTGCAGCATACCAGCTCGTGAGAGTATCTCCGAGTGCGAGGCTTTATGTCTACTACTTTGCAAAGTGCGCTGCTAGTGTCGAGGCCAGAGCTGACGAAGGCGCAGTGGTGAGAGTACTAAATGCTACGATCGACCGCAAGATAGAGATTACCAACATGCCATTTAGATAGGAAGCCCATAGGATCTTTTAAGCGACAAGGAAGGAACCTTTGGACGTGACTGCGAGCCGAAGTTGAGGAGATTCTATGCAGGCCAGTAGATTATTTTGGATTCTAGGAAGGAGTTTGGATATGAACAAGGCATTGGAGAGGCTGTTCCGGGGTAACGACCAGGAGATCGGATCAGGTCCTACAATAGCTTCGCTACGACGTGACAGACCATAAAACCATTAATTTTTGATATGAAAAGAAGAGTTCAAAGAAGGGTAAATGAAAAGATTAGAGAAGTTAAAAATTAATCAAGGAGGAAGTGGGGAGCCAAGTACATCCACCGCAAAAATTTCCATCTCGACTAAGCCCTTTCTAGCCTGGTTATGCCTGGAGCTCAAAGCCGCAACATTATTTTGAACTTAGGTTTCATTGGATTATCACACCAGCGTATTACCTATGCATCAAATACACGTCTTGCTTTGTTAGAAGGTTCAGGAGTCATTCATTTCAATAAAACCTAGGAGCAAAACATTGCCCTCTCTCCCCTCATGTTGTGTGAGTAGCAAAACAAAAAGTTCGTAGTTTTGAACCCTCACAGAGAGGAGGATCATGGCGGCACAGGGATTCCAATTCAAACTGCTCCATTGGCAGAAGGTGGGCTTTGCTAACGTTCTTAATGAGGACTAGCGTGAGCAGCCTTGCACAGGTCATTGAGGAGTGTGGCTTTCTAGGGTTGGGGATGTGGAAACAAGGCTTTTCTTAAATTAGATGCTGCTTTCTATCTTTTTGCTAGGGAATCTACGTGTTCTGTTAAGACTTGGCACTCACGTGCGTGCTAGAGTTGGACAAAGGTTCTTAGCCTTCCGCATCCAAGACACGCTTCACCTCACAACTCTGATATTCCTCTTCAGGTACTAAACAAGTGCATATTGTCTAATAAACCAGGCTAAATCACTTACGCTATTCGTTTTTTCAGCTGTGGTCACTATCGGCTTTTAGCCTATTGTGGCTGCAAGCCACCAAACTCGCGAACGCCTTTCACATCTGCTCACGCGCATGATGCAGTCTCAATTCGCTTCTAGGCTCAGATAGCGACCACGCTATTCCAAGCCACAATGGCTGTGTTAGCGTCAAGCAAATTAGGACGCACTCATGAGCCACGATAGAAAAGCCCAGCTGCTGCTCCAAAACGTTATCTTTTTCATGTCTGCCCCATTCAAACCCGATGTTGAGAGAGATCTGATGTCCTTTGACTAGCATTAGGTTTCCATCGTCTTAGTCATGGGCTCCTTGTTTGGAGAACATCCAAGGAATGAGTCATTAACATGGAGAGCGGAGCCCCATTACAGAGGTAGTTTTGGGATCCTCTCGTCCTGTCTGACAACGATGATCCTCTGTATCTGGACAGCGATTCATCTGAACATCCCGGAGAGAGGACACACGGTGAAAAACTTTCTGATAAAAGTGGGATGGCTGATTATGGGAATATTTGCTCCTGAAATTGTAAGCCTGAACTGACAAGTTGAGAGTCTGCGCTTAGTTGACTCTTATGGATAGATAGTATGGACAGCATTCCAGCAACGTCGAGATGCTAGTGATCTTACGAGACGGGTACGCCGTATCCTCAGTCAGACTCCGCCTCTTTCTCGAGGCAAGAAATGTCTTAAATCCATGGCCAGGCTGCTTGGGGTAAGAGTGAAGTTTCATTCGGAATTCAGATTCAGCAGAAGGACATCTTACACTGCTACTGCTTTTCGTGGTAGTTCACCACTGATTCTGCTTAGAAAAAGGTCCCTGAAGATGATACTGAGGAAGAGTCAAGCTGGACAAACACGCAGAGCTTCTACGTGTTGATGGGTGGTTTTATGATCGGTTCGCCCTACGGTACGAAAGGGTATAATGCCATCAAGCCGGACGGTATCGACTTCTTCCTTCGAGAACAGGACACCGAGAACTTAGCTATTAGGAACCGACATCAAATTGAAGACAAGAGCAAGGCTAATAATCTGGCTAAATTGATCGTATGTCTCCAGGTACTGTGGTTTTGTTCTCAATGCATCGTTCGACTAGCAGTGGGTCTACCGATATGCTTACTGGAATTGAACACGGTTGCGCATGCCATTTGCGCCATATACATTTACGCACTCTGGTGGGATAAGCCATTTAATGTCGAGCAACCAACGTTCATTCCAGCGCGTGGTGACCTGATACCTATCCAGGCATATACATACATGAACTCGACAGAGGGTCGAGTGCGCCGAATAGGGAGGCATCTTCCTAACACCGGATACCGTGATCGTAACCTCAGGGTGGACTTCAATTTCATGTCCAGCGAGGAAATCCGTCAGAGAAGACAGGAGCAGTAAGTGATGCTTTTTGAGGGGGGCTCGTTCAAATTCAACGACGGATGTGATGCTAATTTTGTCCCTAGAGGAGTTAGGATTTTAAACAACGGCCGTCGCATTGAATTTCGCGTTCAGTTCTATAATCGCGGTGAGGAAAAAGTAGTGACCGCAACACCGACTACTTGCTACCTCCACAACTGGCAAATCCGCATCGAAGCGAGCGACTCGTATATCGATTTCTCAGACCAGGATATCCAAATTCTGCAAGAAGCGCGCAATGCAATCACTCAAGAGGGCACTAGTATATTGGACACCGCATTTGCTTCCGGGGTGGCCTCGAATTGGCCAGGCTGGAGGTCCGAAAATCCAGCTGGGATACTCTGTGCTCCCATCAAACACGGATCGATATCTATGCTCGTGGGGTTTGCTGTCGCAGGCTTCGTGTATGGTCTAATACACCTTCTAGCTTGGAACGCGCCGTTCCGTACACGGACAGAGCAATTGCTATGGCGGCTCTCAGGATGCATACTCGCAGGCTCTGGCTTCGTCATACCACTCATCGAACTAGCAAGCTCGACGCTTGAAGGCTTTGGCGAAAGATGGAGCGGAGTGACGTTACTATTTTTCATGCTTATTGCAGCGCCAGCATTCTTTTCCATCTCGGTGCTCTATGTGGCTGCGAGAGTATACCTTGTTGTGGAGTGCTTTATAAGCTTGGCTTATCTTCCAGACAATGCTTTTAAGGTGGTAATATGGTCGCAGTATTTGCCTCATGTGGTGTAATGGTACCTTTTTACTGGAACCTATAAAGAATATTTCATGGTAAACATCTGCTTTTTGATTTTAACGTCCGTTTCTTGCTTCCAATGGATTTTCACCACACTGCTCTTAGATGCTCCTTCATGCTTGATGAGCAGGAAAAAGGCGAATCTGCCAAGCTTCTTGATGAGGACTAGCGTGACTAGCCTCGTACAAGATCATTAAGCTTTACTTCAACCTCACCTTAACCCATCTCTTCTCTCAAACGCCTCACTACACCCTAACACCTACGAAACAGAATGATGCTAGAATTAGTGATATCAACGCTCGGAACAAGCTTTCTTGCCACATTCGCCGTCGCGCGGGTTCGGGTTGTTCAATGCGAATTGTGGGTTTCGAAACGCACTTGGTTGCGGGCAATGTTTCGGAGATCCTGTGCGGGGATCTGGATTACTCTTTTAGGAAGGCAGCATGGGGCGAGCTAGTAGGTATGTGCAGTTGATGCTGTTTGCAGATGGACTTCAGGTTAGTGGTTACTAGTAGGGTAACGCTATGGTCTTCAGAAAGGTGAACAGAAGGCTTGTCAAGTCTTCCGACGAGAAGTGCGATCCCAAAGTGTTTGAGGTTAGAGAGTGTAAGCTACGCCCTTGTTTCTATTTGTCAAATATATCCTTTCTGTCGTCATGGGTCTGCAACTCCGCAACGCTAGATCCTTCCCCGCGGTGCTGTCCAGGAAACTTCGAACGGATGCTCTGTTCGCCGAGCCCTCATTCCAAACATGGCCAGCACCCTCAACCCAACACCGCATCCATGCTGATCACAAAATCTGGAGTTCCCCTCACCACCATTGTTTTGAACTCCAGGACATGAGAAGTCACAGATCGGGGATGGCGCAGTAAGATCGGACACACGATGCGGCCTGAGGGCTTCCAATTGGCCCAGACTCTTGGCCACGCTGTTTTTGGCTACTTAATTTTTCTATACATGGAAGCGCAGATCTACTGGATTGGAGACTGCCCGGCAGGATGTGAGACCGGATGGGAATGTTGGCATATTCCCGATGGGACTGGTGTGAGGGTATATATCATATCTTCTCAGGACGCCCCATGAATTTTCTATTATTTTAATCTTCGCTAGACTTCTTAAGAGCGAGTGGTGATTGGGTTTCTTGTTTTATTATCCTTCCTTTGGTCTGTGGACTTGTATTCCATTCTCTTCTTTTGCTGCTAGACAGCTTCTCCTGCTGCCGGACAGTACTTATTTATTGTATAAATTTATTTCTCAACCTCCACGTATCAATATTTCATCATGCATTTTTCACGAGCTATTGCGGCCATCTTGGCTGCATCTCCATTCGTTATGGCCGCTCCAGCGCCATTTGTGAATGGTCGTTATGTTGTAAGTACAATCTTATCTCCCTTTCCTCCATCTATACACTCCATTCCGTCAATTACTAGCCACAGTATTCTTACCTTACTCGTCTCTGGCAACGACTTACATATCCAAGGATACCACAACTGACTTCACCGGCGACAAAATTCCTGCCCACTACGTCGCCTCGGTCCGCGACTTCCAAGCCCGCCGTGACAGTGAAGAAAAAGCCCTAACCCGAGAAGCCATGCGCTATAAGCGACAACTCGACCAACTGCTCGGTGGGTTGACCGGGGCTGCTGGCGGTCAGGCCGCTGGTGCTGCGGGAGCTGCGGGAGGAGCGAAGGGAAAGGGGAAGGCAAAGGCTAAGGGTAAGGCCAAGGCCAAGGGTAAGGCAGCCGGTGCTGGTGAGTACAAAGTTCTTGAGCTTCATACTAGTTACTAATATGGGGATACAGGGGCTGCTAAAGGTACTGGGAAGGCTGCTGGCGCTGCCAAGGGCACTGGAAAGACTGCTGGTGCCGGTGCTGCGGGAACTGCTGCTAAGGGTAAGGGTACTGGTGCAGGCGTAGCAGTATGTAAATCCTTCATTTTCGTCAAATAAGTTCAATCGCTAACGTCATCGATAGGGAGCTGCCGGTAACTCCACAGCACCTGCTGGTAAGATCATAGCCCTCATCCTCTATATATCCACCCACTGAGTGTGACTTAGGTGGTGCTGCTGCTAAAGGCAAAGGCACTGGCAAGACAAACGGTGCTGGGGCTGCAAAGGGCACTGGCAAGACAAATGGTGCTGGTGCAGCAACTCCTGGAGCCGCAGGAACCCCAAGCCCGGCTGGTAGGATTCCCACCCCATCTCTGTAAAGGCTGTCAATCCTCTAATACCCTCCTAGGAGCTGCGACCCCGGGAACTTCAGGTACTGCTGGGACCGCCAACCCAGGCGCTGCTGGAACCGCCAACCCAGGCACTGCTGGAACAGCTAACCCAGGCACCGCAGGA